TCTTGTTGAACTTGACCAATATTCTCAAGAACAGAAAAAACCCTCAAATAGGTTTTGAACTTGAAGGTCCCCAAATGATCGTGATCCTAGTGCATAAAACAATATTTTAGCACAGGACGCCTGCAGGTAGAACTGTTAAGGTGAGGCATAGATGTCACTGGTTTAGACTGGTACTGGTGGAAAATGGGAAAACAGGGAGATTAATTGTCTGTTGGTGAACAAAGATTTAGATCAGGATCTTTCTGTTCTTGTTGAACTTGACCAATATTCTTAAGAACAGAAAAAACCCTCAAATAGGTCTTGAACTTGAAGGTCCCAAAATGTTCATAATCCTAATGCATAAAACAATATTTTAGCACAGGACCATGACACACAGATTTTCTCATGTGTGTGAGCTGTTTGATGAATAATCTAAGCTTGTCTCATCCTTCATGTTAATATCTGTTTTTATGGGGTAAAACTAAGTAGATACGAGCATTTGTGTGTGAACCATTGCATGAGGTGCTGGTTTTCTTCTCTTTCCTGGTAATCTCTGTCATCCAATACAGTCTTAAACAGTTCCTCGAGGCCCATAAAATAATCTGGGTTTATGGTAACTAGTTAGTCAAAGGATATGTTGCTAACACTTATGTATCCTCTTCAAATAGGCAAAATGAAGAGATTATATACCTCTGTTTTTTCTATATCAGTAAGAAAAAAAGATATATGTTCATATATGACTGTAAAGTATATGGATACAATGGCTGTATGGACACTGAAGTCCCCAGCTAACAGTTCAGTACTGCCTGCAAAGAAGAACCTTAGTTCCTTGAAAGCCTGCCATGAAATAAACCTCCATCAAGCTATAGAACTGTATGATTTTCTCAATACCCTAATAATCCCTCTGCTTCTTCAGCCTGTGTTCTTCATTAGGGCTCGGGGACAATTTAATGATACAAATTCTGACTCATATATAGACTTGCCAATTTACATTAATAGCTTGAAAAATCATTTGAGAGCTACTCATTTTCTCCAATTAGCCAGTAAATCAGTGAATGTAGTAGAAAGTATGAAATATAATCTGTTTAGTGATAATTTCTCATTCTGACTTTATGTTATGGCAGTAAACATCTTGCAGTACACATTTGTGGGGGTAATGAGATTGGAGTATTCTGTCTTCACCATGAATACTCTGATGAAACCATTGTTTGGAAATGAATGTTATATATCATTACACAATTAATTTTGATTTTTCAGATGATGCACCAAATCTAAACATACAGACAGAACATGATTGCACAGCTGGGCTTTACAGGAAAGAAAAATGTAGTTCAGTTCTGCTTTTCCAGGTCGCAGTCAGTATTCTTCCTTTAATTCTGGATGGTATGGGATCATAAACTGGAGGGAAATTTATTGAAATAAACAGTGCTCACCACTGGCCCAATAAACTTGATGAGTCCCATTCCACATGCTAAGGGGAGAGGTCAGTCTCCTTCTCAGTACAGCCATGGAGAATCATTTCCTATGGGTACAGCAGGAGACACTTGGGGATAGTGAAACAAAAGTCAAGGGAAAATGTTCTCTTTAGTTTGGGGAGCTATGGTGTTTTGAGCTTTGACATATCTCTAGAAGCAGAATAGAGAGCTGAAGTATTGGTGTACAGCTCTTAGCAAATAAAAGATGAAAGGAAACTGGGAAGGGGATCTCAGATTGACAAAAGGAAAGGAAATGAAGGCGAGGATCTGATTTGTGTGGGCATTTCCATTCAGGAAGTGCAGGACTGGCTGGGAGAGAGAAACACACTGTGGAGGAGACAGACAGATCAGAGAAACCATGTGGGGTGGGAGGAAGATGGAACACCTGGGGTCCAGTGGCCAGGGGAGAAGGAAGAGCTCCAGCAGGGCTAGCACATAATCCCAGTGGGCACAGCTCTGCCAAGGAGAGCAGGCATACTGGGAATCCTAAAATAGGAGTTTCCTGGCCAAGGGCCAGGACTGTTGCAGTTGGGGACACTGCAATTAGAAGCTCTGAAACGAGAGCTTCACTGAAAGCACACTGAGAAAGCAGGCTTGTCCCTGCCAGCAGACAAAGTCAGGCTTGACCTTGCCAGGGGGAGAAATTCAGAGGAATGTTTTCCAGCATGTCTGGTAAAGGCAGTTTGCACATAGCCCTTAGCATATTGTAGTTCCCAAAATGAGCCAGATTTCAACAAAATATATACAGTCATTTCAGACTATAAATAAAGCCTGAAGGAAAACAAAGATACTATGGCTTTCTGTGCAAGAATTTTCTTTCTCCTAATTTCTGTAGTTTTGGGTGTGATTATAGCACAGGTATGATAGAATGGGCACACTCTTCTGGATCTCTGTGTAGGAAAACATTAAGTATTTCATGGTATTAAAAGGTCATGAAGTCATGTACACGTTGTTTATAGTCTCCTAATCCAGGATTTATTGTCCTAGTTCTGTTCCAGAACCAGGGACTCGAGTTGATTAAAAAAATTAGATTCTTCAAAGCTTTTAAGCAAATTGATTTACTATGGCTTGAAAATAGTCATGTTCACCCAATTCAGTCAGTGTGATCCTTGTAATATTCCAAGCTAGAAGGATTTTGCAAATGACATGTATTACATTTGAAAGATTAGACTTTACCATGAAAATGCTGATGAGGCGAGTGGAAAATTACTACGAGTTATCCCTCGTAGTTTGCCACGTTGGTTCTTTCCGGAGTGGGAAGGAGAGCTGCAACAGTGAGCCAGCTGGGTTACCTGCAGGCTCCTCTGTGCTCTTCCCTACAACTGCAGTGGAAAAGAACCCAATCTGTTCCTAATTCCCTCTGCCAGCTCTTGCCTCTGCTTGGCAATCCCCTGCACCTTCCCAGTTACTGGGTGAACAGCCTTCCTTCATTTTATGTTAGGGTGGGATCTCTTCTCCCCCCATCCCTGTTGAGAGCTGTCTGAGGAGCAGCTGGGAGACCAGAGTCTCCCTGAGTCCCCACCTCCTACCCCAGAGGGGACATGGGAGAGGCTGGCTCTGTGGGCTTCCAGTTTGCTGCCTGCTTTTAGCAGTGATGTGGGAGGGGGAAGCTCCCCATCAACCTGACCTTATTGTTAAGAGGCTTTTCTTTATGTCTTACCTGAATTTTCCCTCCAGCAGCCTTGTAAACTCTGCTTTTTTTAGTTTTCATGGATATGCAGAACAGACTCCCCCCCTTTAAAGACTGTTTTCCTACCCTTTGTCCTTTCCAGCCAGAACACCACCATTTATTAGCATTTTCTCAATGAAAGATACCTTTCCTAAGGAGATAAATTTTTATGGCAGTGCAAGGATTTTCTTTATTACAGCAGAATGAGCCCCTTGACCAGTGACCAGTCTCTATAAGACTGCTGTAACCTTCAGGGCCTTTTCTGCAGAATTCTTCTCTTACTTGTTATTCCTTGTGTGCATAGTTTGTTTTTCTGGCAGTAGTGCAGAAATGTGTTTGCCCCTACTAAATCACCTTTGCAGGTATTTTGAGCACAGTTTCAAATGATGATCCTGTGGTGTGATGGACTTGCAGACTGTGTTGGTCATACTGTCTGTGACTATAATGAGAGTCCATCATTTGAATAGTTTTTGAGAATATTGGATAATAAGTGACTCCTGTGCAAAGCCACTCAAAATACATCCCCCCGGTTTTGGCACCGAACTGCTAAGTGTTCTCTGGGTGTCATTTTTTAATTCTGTGCCCCAAGATTGTAGATGGAAATGTCAGGATATTATGCAAAGCAGTATTCAAAGATTTGCTACAACTTTTATAACAGATATCATCCAACATCCACAACATAAATTTTGTTTATTGCCTAAATAGTCCTCTACATTTGTAAACACAGACGGGTTGCAAAGACGTCAGTTCTACAATCTCTGCATTATCTAGTGACTGAAAAATTAGATTTCATTTCATTAGGAAATTATTGGAATGTTTCCACAGCAGGTTTCCTAGAAAGAATAATATTGGCTTCCCTGAAACAAGGTTTTTTGTTATCAGCATATGTGTATTAATTCTGATTGCTTGTGTGAATGCACAACCCTATCATTCAGTGTGGCAGCACAAAAGACAATAAAAAATCAAATAAATTGCGTGTTTGAAGTCTGGTTTATGGTTTATTTTCTAGTTAAAAGTGACATTTCAAGGCAGAAGATTATATTTTATGTTACATAGTAATCTATAGAATATTGCAGAATTTTCTAAGATCTTCTTAGAAATTCTAAAAATTCTTACAAATTATTGATCAGGCAGACAGCTGAATTCCATGCCTCTCTTTCATCAAGATTTTGTAGGTAATTAATTGCAAATGTTTGCATTAAAATACTTTATTGCAAAGAAAGAATTCACATTTCTACTGTGGGTTGATTGATTTAGAATAATTTTTTCAAATTTCATTTTATCCAGAGCAAATTGTTTTAATAAATTCAGGTAATTTTAATGTAAGTTTTTCATTAAATGATAACTGAACCTGCCGTATGGTCAGAAATGCAGTTCCTTTGCAAGGCTCAGTTCCTTTATGTTGGAGGCTTTGCAATGTTTTATGTATTAGAGGTATTTCGTAGTATGTTAAGCCTTTGCCATCCCTACTGAGCTTGTCAGAAGGTATGGACTTCATGGTCTCCAGGGGACGACGTCTTCGGTTAAGTAAATGTAATAAATGGAGGAAACTCTTGCTTTCCTGTCAGCTTTCATAAAACTTTACTGCCAGCTTTACATCCCTGAGCATTATCAGCAAGGAATAGCTATATTAAAAATTAGTGCGTCCATTGCTTCCTTAAAATATGTCAGAAGAAAATGAGTGTGAAAGGATGGAGAGTTCTGTGTGTCTAAATGGCATTGAACATGACTGTGTTAAGGGAAAAATACAAGGTTGTTCTTTTTACATTCAGTTACAAGAACACAAATGCATTTTTAGCTGTGTATCCACTTGTAGTTCATTATTGTTGGTACATATCATTTCAATATGACATTATTTTCTCCTGTGTCCTTCCTAGAATGGCTTTACTCCTTTGTACATGGCAGCTCAAGAGAACCACATTGAGGTGGTGAAATATCTCCTGGAGAATGGAGCCAACCAAAGCACAGCTACCGAGGTGAGGGGGTTTTTCTCACATTTTTCTTTGCCTGCGTGTTCAGATCACTTGAAGTCAGAACTGTGTGGGCTGTCTCCAGAGGGCTTGTCTGTGTCAATTGGCATCAACAGATCATTGTCAGCAAGCTTTGTTTTAGAATCACAGAGTTGTTTAGGTTGGAAAAGACCTCTCAGATTGAGTCCAACCATTAACCCAGCTCCTGGATCTTGGGATTTCAGTTGAATTCAGAAGTGCTGAGGCTCTCTGTGGTGCTGGGTTCACAGAAGCATTTGGGAGATCACCTGCTCCAGCCTCTTGCTGCTGTTCCCTTAAGTTACACTGCTTCTGAGGCTGTCCTGTGACGTGGTGTAACTTGTGAGTATTCATTATTGGCTGTGACTGGTGTGAATTGGAAACCAAATGGCTAACAAGGATTGCATCAGTGAGCTTGGCAGGCTGTCGTCTTCACGGATGCTTTATTTCTGCTGCTGGACCACGTGGGTGTAAATAGGCAGAAGGATGGTATTAACTGGGGATGTGGATTGTAAACCTGCAGTAACTCCTGTGCAAACAGGAGTGACATCTAAATTGGAGAGAGGAGACTCCATCTCAAGAGGAACAGAATCCCACAGGCTTCCTTCCACATACTGAGGCGATTTAGGAGTAATGGAGAAAACTCCTTGGTCATTAGGACTATGTGCATTCTGTTTCCTCTTTCTGCCAAATGTTCTTTATTCCAGCCAGGGGAGTGAGCAAACAGGCTCTGTGCTGCAAAAAGCGTCACCTTCCTGTTCGTTCTATGGATGTGGACGTGACATGTGAAGTAGCTACAGCAAAATTCCTCTCTGGCCAGAGCTTTTGCTCCTGTTTATTGTTTTCTCTAATCTGTCCAGAAACATTCCCTTTCTGGATTGCCTTCACAAATGGATCAATTTGAAGTGCTGGTACATTTATGCTCCCTCTCCTTCCCTTCAAACCTGTCAGTGTTAACAGCTGTCTTACTGTCTCTTCTCTCAATGGGTACTGTACTATTTGATGACAGCTCATAAAATAATCCCCTCATAGATGTGGCGATCACATTACACATCAGCTTTCTGAAACACAAAATCCCATATGATTGCCAGGCAACGTGGCAGAAACACACTCCTTGTGAAGGAGCCCGGTGGAACTGGGGATCTCCATGAGCCCAGCCCTGCTGCAGCCCACCATCACCTGCTGCAGCCAGCTCCCAGCAACTTCTGCTGGCTGGGAACTCAGTTTTCAGGAATTGTGAGGGCGAGATGGTTCTAGTTCATGTGGCCTCTGCTTGAATGCAGACATTCACAGAATGCACACTGTAGTCTGGATTTGTAGAAAAGGCAGAGAGGAGGAAAAATAAAATATATTCCTACTCTGACCCTGACTCCAAATTTGTCTTCTGCTGTCAGAAAGATCAGTTTTCACTCTATAGCTTGTAAAGTAAAGGCTCTTGACCTCTTTGCTGCTGAACTAGGTCAGTATTAGGTTCAGGTCCTGCTGAGGGGATGGTTTCCATCATTGTGTGAGTGTTCCTGAAGGAAGTCCTGAGCCACCATCGCTCTCATATGTGCCCAGAGTTCATCTCATGAATAGGATGAGGAAATGGTACATTCAGTAAGGTGGGATGACAGCTTGAACTGTGGATGTCACTGAAACGCAGGGAGAAGGTCCTTCTGTTCAGCATCAAAGGTTGGCCCTCCTCATGGGAGGTGAGGACATGAAAAGCTGTCTCCAAGCTTCGGTCAGCCATGCTTTCCAGAGGCAGTAGGAGGGGAATGCAGAAAGAGTTGTGTCCTTCCAGAGAAGGGTGCATGATGACATGGTGCAAATCAAATGGATGAACTTGTCTTTGAAGCCTTGAAACTTGCCCTGCCTTTGGATGCATTTCATTTCCTCTCACACTTATACATGTGCAGATAAAAAAGGAGAGTAAGGGTGAGCTCAGTTTCAGAGTCTCTAATCCAGGATTTGTTCTCATGTTCCCAGAGGCAAAAGGCAAATGCATTAGGCCATTTCAACACCTTATGTAGCCCAAATCTCAGAATAATCTTTACAGTTCAGCTGTTTTGTCAGCTGTTCCCCCCTTTTTAATTCACTGTACAGAATTTAATCTCTCTTACAGGCAGAACCCACAGCAGTATCGCTGTTACAATGCACCTACCCACAGCTCGACGCAAAAGGGAGAGAAACTTATTAGATTACTGAGGGGAAAAAATTGCTTTGGCAATTCTTCAGATATTTCTTTCAACATATGTTAGCTCTCATTCCTTCCTAACTTGGCCTTTATTCTTCTTTCATGTCTCCATATTCCTATTCCAAAGCAATGCTGTCCCATCTCTCATGTAGTTACAGCACACCTGTGCTTTTGGAGGATTCATGACCAGAGCGAGGGCTCAGTTTGAAACCAGAATGGAATATCTGGTAGCCTGTAGTACTTCAGCCAGGAGAGCAAGCTGCTATCTTGTTATCACAGATTTTAAAGCACTGGCCATCCCAGGCATGTGTGGAGGAGCAAGACAATTTTAAACTTATTTAGAAACAAACCTAAAACTATGAATTACAAGCAAAGAGATTTTTTTGATTTTCCTTTTCCAAAAAAAACATAAATAATGTGAAATTTTCCTCCCTCAAATCATGTTCCTAAACATGATCTGGATTTCTTGACTCATGGTTCATGTGTAACTTGGAATGGGAACGGCAGCAAACACATTTGATACACTTCCTTCTTGCAGAGATGTGAGATATTCATAAACATGTTCTCTCTATATTTTTCCCACTGACATTGTTCAGTGCTCAGTGAATTTGCCAAAAAACTGCTAAAAATATGCTTTGTGGCCCATTTTAAGGTGAGAAGTAATTAAGAGAGATGTTGTAGAATGATCCTTTGCTTGCACTTGACTTAAAAAAAGATTACTTTGAAGTGTGGAAGACCTTTCAAAGCATTTCAAATATTTGAAAGCCTTTTGAAGGTGTTTGAAAGAGTTAAAATGTTGTGCCTCCAATCTCATGTCCCTGGAGATGGAGTGCAGAGGTGGAAAACAGCTGGGAACGTGCTCCCCGAGTTGGCGTGCGCGAAGGGCGCGGTGCAGCTCCCCGCGGCTGTCCGGCCGTGCTGAGCACCCCTTGTTTCCTGCCCCCAGGACGGTTTCACCCCTCTGGCTGTGGCACTGCAGCAGGGACACAACCAGGCGGTGGCCATCCTGCTGGAGAACGACACCAAGGGCAAGGTGCGGCTGCCAGCGCTGCACATCGCCGCCAGGAAGGACGACACCAAGTCGGCGGCGCTGCTGCTGCAGAACGACCACAACGCCGACGTGCAGTCCAAGGTAACGGGGCGGGCTCCAGGGACAGCGCCTTGAACCCCTGCATCCTAATGGGGAAACAGAACTGCTCCGGCGGGGAAGGACAGCTTGCTCCACCACTGTCACCAGTAATACCTAAAAGATTGCAGAGTTAAGCTACACAGTTATTACAAAGTGCTCGTTTTTTTCACTTTTTAGTTATGCCTCCCATTTCTTTGGTAACCAGTTTTTTCTCATTATTTGCAAACCAGAAGCCACTGGAACGGAAGCAGAACCACTGCTTCCCTATTAAGTAGGATATTGGTTTATTGCCCACGGGAGCATAGGTTGTGTTTAAAGTTAATGCATGCTTGAATGGCTTTTCTCATAATTAACAGCATAACTCATTTCAGAAAAAGCAACATAGTTCTTCGTTTTGCGGCCAGTCTTTAATATTGTTCCTCTTTTTCCCAAACCATGCTGCATCAGATGATGGTGAATAGGACGACTGAGGTACCGACATCAACAATTTTTAATTACTCTTTCTGTTACTTATGATTATTTTCATTGCTCTTTGCCAATATTTCCTTATTAGTTAACAATAAAAGTGAAGATATTACTCTTTTTTTTTAATATATAGAAATTTCTGGCTCAAAACTTCCTATTTTTATTCATCCTTTCTGTTAGAATTTCTTTTTACTTGTGTCAGTATTGAAGGACGTTTTTGAGAATTCAGATCAGCCCAAAGGAGTCTGAAGCAAGTATTGGAGCTAAGAGGATAAAGATGCTTTTTTAACTCAATTTCATTAATTATGAAAATACACTCACTTGGTATTACTACATCTGGGTGTCTGGCTCGGCCAGAATAATGGTAAAATTAATTTTCTGTCTTTTACAATAGTAAGCATAATCGAATTCCCCGGGGTAAATCTTCAGGGCATCTGCTTATTTTTACCATTCTTCTTATTACAATCTTTTCCATAAAGTTTTGCAAAGCCCTCAGGGACAGTATGTACTCAGAATTTACCTGCAGTAAATAACACATTTCTTATATGGATTTTACTTCCACTAAAAATCACAGGGTTGATTGGCTTGGACTGGGATTTTCCCCAAAGATCATTGCCACTTTTAGGAGAAAGAAAAAGTTCCGAGCATGAGATTGTTGTTTCAATACCTGCTTTTGAATAATGGAGTTTCTCTGCTGGAGGAGGGAATGAATTATGGATGCACGTGCCCACGGGAAGGTGCTTCCCTCCTGGTGTGTGCACACATGAGCAGCCTGCCAGGAGGCAGCAGTGATGTGAACTGAAGGGTGACAGCTTCCCTGGGCACCTGCTCCATGGGGCATGTTCATCCCTGAGGGAAAGGGCAAGGGGTACTGCAATGCCTGCTGAAGGAGGGCAGCACGTGCCCACATTCCTTTGTTCCAGGAGTAGTTTAAAATGGTGGTTTGGATACTGAGAGGAAGGAAAGCTAGCTGAGAGCACGCTGTAGTCAAGAAGACTGAAGTATTCCTCCCTTTCTGTAACTATCAGCAAGATCCAATCAAATCAGTGTAAAGCTCTTCAGGGAAACCTCAAAAGCAAGTCCCTTTCTACTTGAATTACTTATGAGAATAAAAGCTTGCTCTCTGCCCTAGTTTCTAAAAATTTAATCTTTTTTTATGTTATTGCCAAGAGATTCTACATCTCATAGCTGGAACAGGTTTCATCTTCTAGTATTCAAAACACAATAAATAAAATGTGGGTTTTTTTTATTTATAGATTATGAAGTTTCTTCAGCTCCTTTGCAATCCAAATTGTATATAAATAGAAATAATTATGATTCTTTTACTATGCTACTAAATAGTTTCTCATTTAAACCAAACTCTTTAATTACATTTTGAATAACTACTGCTTTCAAAAAACAAAAACAAACAAACAAAAAACCCCAATAGGAAATATGTTGTCCATATTTCTGTTTCTTAGAGGAATAAAATAAGAGTCCAACAACTTTGGTGATAATTTTTTGAACCCCAATAAATAGATGCAGCCTAAAAGACCCATGTTGCTTCCAAATGGCAATAAGGAACTTGCTTTATTTTCTTTAAGAATGGCTAATATATTAATATGTTCTGTGATGAAAACTGCTCTTATTGTCCACTGATGCAGGGGGCTGAGCTGGGGAAGGCAAGAATCAAGCACTTTTGATAACCTTTCTGTGATGAAAACTGCTCTGATGCAGGGGGCTGAGCTGGGGAAGGCAAGAATCAAGCACTTTTGATAACCTCCCACCTGAAAGCTGGCCTCTGTGCCTGGAAGGCTGTGCTCTAGGATAGGTAGACACGGTCTGGATAAAATTGATGTGATGTATTAGTTGGGCAGCACTTGAAACCCAAGCTCTAGCTCAGCTGGTGACCTTGTGTGAGAGGATTTCCGTGACGAGGGCTGTTTCCCTTTGTAGAGCGGCTTCACCCCTCTGCACATCGCCGCGCACTACGGCAACGTCAACGTGGCCACGCTGCTGCTGAACCGCGGAGCTGCAGTCGACTTCACAGCCAGGGTACGCGCTCATCCCTTCTCCTTCCTGCTTCTAGCGGCCTGCAGAAATGGGAGGGTTTCTGTGGGGAGCTCTAAGGCAAGAGCTGAGCGAAGAAAGGAGCAAAGTAATGCTGAAGTTCTGTTGGGATCAAAGGTGTCTTTTTTGCAGTAGTTCTGAAAGGTTGTCTCCGTGCAATGCCCTGGAGGCCTTGGGAGTTGTGTAACAGCCAGTATTCCCAGCTGGAGGAAGCAGGATCCTTTGGCAGCTCCAGAAAGCTGATGCTCTTATAATGTGTCAACTTCCTTTGGCTTTTCAGTTTGTTGGCTGCTCTCTGGAAATAGATGTAGGATTGATTGGCTTTTTTGGTATTCAATATTTGCTATACCACTTGAATTTGATGTTTTTACATGTAACTACATTTCAAAACCAGAAAGTAAAGTATACTGCTGTTGTACAAATTCAACAATAAAAGAACTAATCATGACTACTCTTTCATGGTAATCAACTGCAGAGTTACATGGTACAGTCTCTTTGCTGTTGCACGTTACGTAGTTTGAAGTGAATACCTCTGGTAATCTCAACCCAGCTCCCAGGTCACAAGTTTGCTGTTTGATTTTGCCAGACACACTTTGAATTACTTCAGGGTTCTGCCTTCCAGACTGACTCCCTCCTGTTTCCAATCTGGAGTAGCTGCTAATATTACCTCTTGCCTCACCCAAAGTGTTTTCAAGGACTTTCAGCCTACACAGCCTACACAGCCTACCACGGCACAATGCTCTTGGCACTACACAAGAAGGTTCCTTTGTGTAGGAGTGACGCATTTGTGTCCTCTGTGTACGTTGCAGTGATTGAAATGCTTCAGTGTTTTGTGACTCTTGGCTCATTGGGACTCTGATACGTGTTTGTGTATTGTCTGGCCCTGGGGCTGCGATGTTTGCTGCTTGGGCAGATGCGCTGCTTCCTTCATTCAAGGACCCCAAAACAATGGAGAAGGAATCTTGCTTAGGAAGGAATTACTAACTCTAGCTTATATGGTGTGTGCCTAGCTCTGATGCTCTAGTACTTTCTCGTTTATTCTCTACGATGTGATGGTCTCATTTTTTGTGATCCGAACCCGAATTCACCCCCATTGCACTCCTTCAGATCCATCCAGCTCATTGTTTGTTCTTTTCATGGTGTAGAATGGAATCACCCCACTTCATGTGGCTTCCAAAAGGGGAAACACAAACATGGTGAAGCTCTTGTTGGATCGCGGAGGGCAGATCGATGCCAAAACCAGGGTGAGTCTTTCTATTCCCTGAATATGATATTGTCCCTTCTGGGGAATGGACTGGGATTTTCTCCTTGCTTGCTTTTGGGGATTTTTTGTGTGTTTGTTTTATGTAGACTGTTTTCAGTGGTATCAGACTCAAGAACAGCTGGTTTTAGCAACAATAGGAGGCAGAAATACTATTTCCTTTATTCTCCTGTATAACCTGCCTACATCATACAAGAAAAAGCTGATGGAACTGATTGTTTTCAGGGAATAAGCCTGTTAGTTGGTCCAGCTTGACATGACATGAGATGATGCACAGCCAAAGGAAACGGAAGGTCTGGACTCAGCTAAGTCTTTCAGTCCCCTGACCCCTAAATGTTCATGCTAGTTGCAGTATGCCCTGTGGAAGCTCTAGTGAGCTCAGTCCATTTTTATTGGAGAGCTGATACAGGGGCAAGTAATCTTCTCAGAGCCAGCAGCCATGTGTCTCTTCCTCAGACAAAGTATGGGGTATTAATTAGGTGACTCTCACTGGCTTCCTTCTCCCAGTTGTCCTATTGAAATGTCACATCATCTCTCTGCCCTTTATTTATGGGTGAGTTCACAGTCATTCAGGGCAAAAAACCCTCCATCATTTTATATGGACAGGGTTAATTATTTCAAATGGGATTTTGGAATCACCTGGGAAAACACTGTCATTTATTCAGACTGAGCTGCACCGGGCTCGTTCTTAGGAGCTGCTGGTATTTAGGCAGCTGGTCTGCAAAATTACATGTGCAAGCTTGCACATGTAATTTTGAACACCAAGTTTAGAGGTGGACATGAGAGTTTTTGTTAGGAAGGTGGAAGGTATTGCAGTCAGCTACCCTTGGGGTTGATTCAACCTCTGCAGATACTTGGATATTAATTACATCAACCATTTGTTGGTTCATAAGCTCTGAAGACAGTCATGATTATTGTGAACTCTGTATGCAATTGTGATTTGGTTTCTGATTATGAAATGATATCTCACTTTTTTAAAGATTATTTTTTAGAAACTACTGCTGATGGAAAAAGCTGTATCTCAAACAGATGTGCAGAAAGTCACCCCTGCTCACATTTTCCACAATAAACAGCTAAAATCTCATGGAAAAGAGGCATGAAATGCTAATAATATACTTCAGTCAGGATATTCCACATGCCCCTGAGCATGTCATACAGAAATAGCTCATCTGACCTTTGGAATGGCAGTATTGAATTCATCTATTTCCTGTTCAGTAGCTAGATATTGTTCTAGACAAGTTGATGCAGATGATTGTGAGGGATGTTTTGGGTTTCAAGAGGTCCAAGTGTTTTCCCATCCCTGCTCATCCGCAAAGGTTGAGCGCGGTTGCGAATGAACCTGAGAGAACAGGATTTGCCCAGCATAGGTGGGAAGGACCAATTTTAGAGTCGTCTCACTGTCTCTGCTCCCTACCCTGTGTCAGCTGCTACCTGGGCTCAAAATGTCAGTACCAAGAGGTCCCTGAAAACCCATACAGGTATCCTAAGGCACACATATTCCAGCTTGCACCAGCTCCCCAGCTTCCTGTCACCTTCACCTTCCGCCTCCTCCCTGCTCCAGGGCTCGCGGTGGGGAAGATACGCCTCATGGTGGGGAAGATTCCAGAGCTTTGGTTTTGCTGTCTGTGCTTTGTGTCAGCAGTTTATGTTATCTGGGTGTGCCTCTCTTCTCCCTGTGCTCTGTCCACTCACCTCGAGTTCCTGGCTCCGCCTGAGTCCGTGCGGTGTGGAGGAGGCAGGGATGTGCTCTGTCTGTGGCAGCACAGACCCCGCCTGCCCCACTGCAGTACTAACACACCTTGCCTTCCCTGCTGCCTTCCCTCGGCTTCCCAGGAACACCTGCCTGCTTCCAGCAGGTCACAGCTGCTGCAAAACAGCGGAATTAAAACACTAGGATGTTGCACTGCCGAGTTCTTGTGCTCCACACCACATCAAAATACGCCCTTCAGTTAAAACACTCCTCGCTGCTTTGGTTCCGTGTATTTTTAGCTTGCTTTGTTACATGACATCTGACGCTGCATAAATTAAGATGCAAAAACTTATTTTAGAGGATTGCAGATGAGCTTCAGTACTTCAGGTCTGCAGAGTTAATCTGTGAAAGCTTTCTGTGTTTGAAAATGTTCCACTGGAATGATTCTTTAGGAGCCCCTGTGTTGTCTAAAAATATAAATTGTCTGTTCCTCAAAGGGAGTAAATGATGCGTGTGTCCTGCTGTTCCATAGTTAATGCAGCATGTTAAAGGAAAGCTCTGCTTTCTGTCAGGAATTAGTGTTTTTATTTTCTATACATTTCAGAATGTGTTTGCTGAAATTTTTTGGCATTTCTCACAAAGCCATAAAAATGTAGAAACACTAGTAAATCTCTTGACACAATTACATATTTAAAAATATTATTTTACTTATTTTTTTGACAAGTTATACCATTATTTTTTCTCCATCAAGTCCTAAGTAAGTTTCTGAACTGTGAAATTTAATTTCTTTTATATTGCATCCAAAGCAGAAATGGAAACTCCATTCTCAAATACGGTAACAAGATACTTTTATTAGAACTATCTGTTAGAGATAGTATTGTAATATTATATAATAAAAAAATACAGTCTTTAACAGTAGGTAATTATTGTATTATAATAAAATTTTACAATGTTATTTTAGCACATATTATTATCTAATATCTGGTAAATGTTTTGCAAATTCCATTTACATACAAACCTTCTTTGGACCTTTGTTCACTAAATAATTAATGGGTAAAATTTCTTATACTACAATATTTAATATTCAAAATTTTACTCAAACCTATATTCTCTATATGTTTTCTTAGATTAGTAACAATTTCAGTGGCATGATTTTATTTAAAATTTTAATAATTGGCCAAAATTCTAACCCATGCAGATTCTGATCATTAGTTAGAGTTAGGGGTCAGAGAAATTGTGCAGAAATTTGTTCTCTGAAAGGCAGTGGAAAGTTCAATTTATGATTAATTCACTGTCAGGTGATCAAGGGTAGTGTGGCAATTACCAGTTCTCACTTTGAGGGAAGGAAAGCACTTACAGTCTTTCTGGAACATACTAAGGATTCTTAGAGGGAATTATTGTCAGCATTTAAAAGCAATTTTAGCATGGCCAAAATGCATGTATTTCTATAAAAAGGAGTCCTCATATAATGGAATCATAACAGTGTGCACCTTCAGAATATGAAAATGTTACTGGCTATTACAAGGTTTTAGGAATACCCTTTCTGAATGCAGTTTTTGTATTATTTCTATCATCTCTCTCTATAGATTGTATGGGGAAAACAACAAGAATATGAGATTTTTTTGGTTCTGCATGCTTTTTTTTCCATTAAAATATGGTTTTATTCACAGGCTTTTATCACCTTGCTGGGATTTCCATTTTTGTGGGAGTAAGCAAACACCCTTCAGAGGGGGAGGAACACTCTCACCTGTCTCAGCCACTGAAGCTGTCACACATTTTGTCGACTTCCTATTCAATCTTGCCAACATTGAAATTAGATTTTTGTTGCTCTGGGATTTTTCCTTACGTCTCCTCTTGCAGGTTTTCATCCTGAATATTTACAGTTGAATAAAATCCATGGAATGAAAGGGAGCATCCTGTCTTGGAAGGGCAAGCTTATTGTGTGGGATAGTAAGCGTGCTGTGCAGCTGGAGCTGGAGCAGGGATAGGTGTGGCAATGGTGGGACAAGGTCTGGTGCACCATTTGGGCTGGAGAAGGGCCATGGAAAGGAGGAGGCTCAGCTGGAGCTGGGAGGATCAGTACCAATGGGAAAACAAAAGGAAGGAAACCGTGGGCAGCACAACTCAGGTTTGGTTGGTTTGGGTTTTTTGTGGGGAACGTGCTTCAGACACCCCTTAACACTCCTTCTGGAAACCTACTGAGATTTATTAGGAATAATATCTCCTTTTGTACGTCTGCATCCTGACAAAATAGGCTTGCTAATACTCTGCTGTTTCCACATGGGAGTGGTAACCATTGCAGCAGGATTCTGGTCCTGCCTTGGCACTGTGCTCTGTGCAGTGTTTGTTCCTGCAGTAATGCTGCTGTGACATTCTCCTCATCTTCTTACATGCACAGAGCACTAATAATTCATTGGCAGATTTTGCTGCTCCTAAAGCCATGTCAGATTATAAATATCTTATCACAATGCAGATATTTCCTATAAAAAATTCAGTGGCTCCATATAATGTTTACAAGGGAGTGGGAAGGGGTGTTGAATGAATTGTCTATGCAAGTTATCTAGAAAATGACTGTTATTTGGAGTTACTTATGTTGCTATCTGAATACTCAGTCAAGCACATGGTATATTTTTTGCTGTATTTTTCAAATTTGTGCTGTGAATGGCAGACCTGGAGGAATACTTTACAGCATGTTTAATTATGCCAAGAGCTTAAAGCAAGAGGGAGACTCACCTTGTTCATTTTTAAAGAGATGAGGTTTAGTCATAATGAAAAATGAACAAATTAAAAGCCCTTTATTTGTCAAGAAAATTTAGACAATTTTGCATATTTGACATATGAAATACTAAAACTTTACTTCACCCTTATGAAAATGAGAATATGCAACTGCAGTTTAGAATAATTCATTGATAACTTGGCCTTTGATGTTCATTTCTATCATCAGTTTTTGGTTGAATGAGCACTGAATGTGAGCAACTGTCCTGTGAATGTGCTGCCCACATCATTTCCCATTAAAAATCCCTCATAAGCACAGCTTCTTTTTGTCTCAGTGTCTCTGCTAAGCAGAAAGAAAGCATTTGTGAAATGACCAAATAATTCATCTTTGGAAGCCCTACAGTTAGGAGTCATGCACAGAATTCAGAATTCATTTTGCAGGTTAAAAAATAATCAGTGATTGATTTTCAAGGAAAAAAAAAAGGCACAAGTTTTCCTATATTTTGAGAACCATTCAAGAGAGAATTCACATTGATGGAATTTCCTGGCTTCCATGCACATAGAGGGGATTGCATTGGTGACCCAGCTGTTGGTTACATCACAGGGTGTGAGTTAGGAGAGTACCACATGTGGCAACAGCAGAACACCAGGTGTGGGATGTCACTTGAAAGATAGAAACATTTAACTCTTCATTCCACACAATCCAGGGCAAGGAGATAATTGTTGACTTTCTCTAAACATAAAATTGCTGAATTTCTTGTCTCCTGGTGTGGCAGCCTTTGTGTTTATGGGACATCCATTATCTGTGCTTGTAAGTCTGTGTCTCTCTGACCCAGAGCTGGATGTCCTGTCAGATGATGTGCCTGATGTATTGGTCACACTGTGTTCTTCAATTAGCAAAGGAATGACTGACAAAGTACTTAGGCCAGCTCCTGAAGTCGCTTTGAGAGCACTGAGGCTCATGGCAAATAGAAAATGGTGCAAAAAAGGATTTGTTTGCTACACCCGTGTGTCTCTTTATGTTAGCTCATGTGGATGGGTGGAAGGTAGGAGAATAGAGACAGTGATGAAGGTAATCTCACCCCTAAGGGGTTACAGCTGTGCTAATTAGCAAGAATTAGGAACAGGCCTGCCCTTAATGGGCCACAGCTGGATCCAATTAGGATGGGTATTGTAAAAGAGCAGGTTGGCTGCTCGAGAAGTTAGATGGAGTTTGTTGGCTGTGCTGAGAAGTCAAAACAGCTATGGCAGGGTAGAGTAGGATAGGTAGCTAATTTCTACTTCTGCTTTTAAAGGGAAGTGTAGATAAGACAAAGAAGGAATCATTGTTTTAAATTATTTACAGGGTTTTTTTTTGTTTTAGCCAGACTTTCTTGTGGAGTTGATGTGCTTCTTAGCTTGTATTTTTCTTCCTTTTCTCCCTCTCGAGATTTGTCCTGCTTTTGTTCAAGGATTCACACAATTTTCCTTTTTTTTTAGTTTTATTTGTAGTTTTATTAAATAGAGTAACATCAAAGCCACCACACAGAAGGAAAGCGAGCCTCCCACACTGATTAAAAATGTAGAGCACAAGAGGCCAGAAACTGGAAAGATATACCAAATAAATACCTTTCCCAGAAATGCATTCGGGATATATTCTTACCTTTGTAATGCCAGTGGGAGTTATCTGTAGGAATCCCTCTGACAATGAGATGATGACATACCTCAGTTGGTCATAAAAAGACTAGGTTTAGAGGACTCTGAAATTTCAGTGCATAAAAAAAAAAGTAAAGTAGTTCCATCTAATTCTTCACACTGACCCCATCTACCCATGCTGAAGGCCATAAGTTCTGTTTTTGGGTTTGATTTCCATCTGTGGAATTTCAGTGCAAACCTTCTGTGGGATTTAGGAATGCCTCTGAGACAGTGAGCACCAAGGCACACCTAACCTTGTCAGTGTGCCACAAAAACCTCTGGAAAAAGGAGATAAATAAGGGGGGGAAATTCCTCCTGTGGTCTTCAGCCCCTTGCAGCTGTGGAGCTTGGTGGTGCTGCTCACTTGGAAGGACTCTGTGCTTTGGAAACTGGGCATGAGAGAGGCTCTGCTTCTTGGAACTGCCTTTTGTAGGGTCTTACAGGGCAGTGCTTGCCACAGTGAGGTTGCAGTTGCGATGGCACTGTGTAGTCTAGAGCTACATTTAATTTAAAAACATGGTGATGCTGGTTTCCTCCAAACCCCAGCAAGGTAAACAGTCCATCTGTGTATGAAGCAGGGTCACCAACTCATCCTTAGTGCCATGTTTTTGTAGTTTTTCTGCTTTTTTAGCCTCTGAGTAATTCAGACCAGTGTGTTGTCCTTTTAATCACGCTGTTACTGGATTCTTCAATGGGCTCCTTAGAATAACAACGTCGATGTCACACAAGATGAGCGGCATGTCTCAAAAGGAGAAGGCTTTTCTTGCAATTAAAAACATTCCTGTTTCACCTTTGTAAAGCCACCTCTGTTGAGTGAGTGCTGATGACATCTCTGAGTGCATGCTTGAACAATGCTGAGGGCTAATGAGATGAAAACATGGCTTTTCATATCCTACATGTTACCTTTTTTCAGTCATTCAGCACTAATATTCTTTCACAACCATTTTTCTAGCCTCATACTTATTTTTCTGCATCAAGTCCCAACTATACAAAAGCTACCTAGAATTCATTCTCCCATCCAAATAATTCATCAACACATCATTTGCTACCACTTTTGTGATCATTAATAGTGCCCTGAGTGAGTTTTTTGTACAGAATGATGCTCTGCAATGGAAAAAAACTATTGTGGAGTTGGTGGTCTGACAACAATTTTAGAAAATAATTCTTAGGTCTGTGTTCACCCCTCAATCTCAGAAGTGAAAGATTTGGATATGTTTCTCTCTTTTGCTCTTGTTTTAAAATCTTCTTTATCTTGATGCCTGTTTAAAAGCAAAAGAAAATTCTAGAGCACATTTTCTAGTATGAACATCACCTGTTTCATCCCAGCATCAAAAGCAGGCCAAAGCACATGGGCTGGTTTATGGAGCACCCTCAACCCAGCAGGCATTACCCAGGGAGAGGCAATGCTGTATCCAAGCCATGCAGAGAGGAGGAGGCAGTGCCCCCTTCTATTATCCTTTGAGAAGAGATTTCAGCACACAATGAGCTTCCTCTCTCAAACAGTAACCTCAGAGTGTCCTTTACTGGTGCAAGGAAGAACAGGGATGGACCATCATGCTGTGGAGCCAGCTTCAGTTAGGAGTCAAAAAAGGAGCTTTTTCTCGTGTGTGAGGCTGCATTCCTGGCAGGCTGTTCCCCAGAGTGCCAGGACAAACAGTTGGGGATGTGCTCATTTGTTTTCTCTGCTTTTATTTGAAGGATGGACTCACCCCACTGCACTGTGCTGCACGAAGTGGCCACGACCCAGTTGTGGAGCTGCTCCTGGAGCGAGGTGCCCCACTGCTCGCACGGACCAAGGTGTGTGTGGGCCCTGTTAGAGTATGGAACACCTCTGTAACCCTCCACACAGCTTTCAGTGTCGCTGAGAGGACAAGGAGGAAGACAGGAATGGAGCTGTCCTCCCAAAGGAGACGTATTAATGGGAAGAATGATCCAAAATAAGGTTTTCTTACATAATCCTTTCCAAAAATGTGAAAAGCATACACTTGCTTGCCTGTCTCTCTAGTATCAGACTGAACACATGATGTGCTACTGCCAGCACCTCCCTTGTGTTGCTTCCTGAGACTGTAGTACACAGAGATGTGAAAGCTGGGTCAGTCACTCCTCAGAGTAATTCCTGGTACATATTTTCTGACCCGTCACGTACGATAACGAGGACCGTTTCTCCTAATTATTTTTACCGACTATTTCAGAGTTGGAAAATCATTTCAGTGTGTTCTTCCTCACATCTGGAAAACATGCATCTAAAATAAATGTGTTTCCTACAAATTCTGTCTCTTTGGTGAAACTAATGAGGGGAAGGTACTTGTATAATAGCAGAGCCCACTGAGTGGCACAACAAAGCCAAAGCCTCACATCAACAAATGTCCTTCTTATATGTGCCACAGTCTAAATGGGGATTACTAGAAGCTGCTGTTCTGTTCTGCCACAGAATGGACTCTCCCCACTCCACATGGCAGCCCAAGGGGACCACGTGGAATGTGTCAAGCACCTGCTGCAGCATAAGGCTCCCGTGGACGACGTGACGCTGGACTACCTGACTGCCCTGCACGTGGCCGCTCACTGCGGCCACTACCGTGTCACCAAGCTCCTGCTGGACAAGAGAGCCAACCCCAACGCCCGTGCCCTGGTAAACCTGTCCCACCTGGGTCGTGTAACAAAGCTGGCTGGTAGCTCTTACCAGGGAAACCAAGTGAGAGCTGTCAGTAAACTCCACAGCCTTAAGTAGGTGCAGTAGCTAGGGGTGTCACACCTGCTGCTTACCAGTGCTGTGCCTTGTGTCCTTAGGCCTGGTGATGAAATACACCCTGAGGCAAGTGACTGTAGTGTCAGAGTCCCTAAAATCAGAGCTGGTGCTGGCTGATGTTGCTGTATGCATTGGTGTTTTACAGAATTCATGGTTCAGTTTTCCATACTGGATGATACAATACGCAATTTCTGGGCTTTCAACTGCATTAGCAAGTTAATTGGCATAGGCAAAACATATGAAAAAGCTAATATTTCTGCATTTATCAAATGATGACATATTCCTCTATTAGGTGCCATTTTTCTTTCCAAAAAACAGTTCTTATGCTTACAGGACACCAGGTATGATTCCTTTCACTCACTGATCAAACCATTGCCCCTAACAAGGAGAAAAACATCACAAGACAAGAGAGAGTGATTTTGAGAGTCTTTAATGTATCCAAAGCCAAACAAGATTACAGTTTTCTCTGCTAGGAACTGTTAGCTGGCAGGGAGTTGATGTACCAACAAATTGCACTCTGTCAGGATGAGAAGGAGTCTGTGAACCCTTGAGATGTTGCTGTGTGGCCAGAGTTCTGCCATGGCCAGCTGCACTGGGGGCCTCTACAGAACCCCCACTGCAGGGCACTCAGATGCCTTCCCCAGCTTCCTGCCACACTAGGACCCACTGTTTTGTTGTGCAGGCTCTTCCTGTCCTTTACCTCCTTGGAACTGACACTATTTTCTTCTGCCCCCTCATTTTTCTTGGCCTTTCCATACCCACAAATCCCATAGCCCCTTTTGCTTCCTCCTCTTATGCTTTTCTTGCTTTGTTTTTCTCAGTGCAGTGCTCACTTGAGTGATCTTTTTTGACACAGTTTTTATCCTTGCTTGTTTTTCTTGCCAGTGTTCTGATTAGCTGCACTTTCCTCAGCTACTCACAAATACCCCCTACATCTTCTTTCTTTCCTTCCATGACCAGAAATATATCTTCTGTTGTCCTCTCTCCATGCCTCCCTGTGAAACATCTGAAACAGAAGGAGAACACCCTCGGGCTGCTGCCTCTCTGCTCTCTTCCCACCAAACTCTTTTTCTCTCCCTGCTACCCCCCTCATTTTCTCTCTCTCCCATCAGGGACTTGTTGCCTTTGGCTTGTTGATAGTGTTTAATATATTAAATGAAGCTCATAATTTCTGTTAGTGATGCATTTTTTTTTCTGCCTTCTCCTCTCCTCCGTCAAACTGTTCCACACTTAAATAGAGGTAGCAAAACTAAATCAATTGGGGTGGTGAAATTCAGTGAAAAACATGGAAACTTCTGCAACAGTAAAACTCCCTATGAAATATGCTGAGAGATGTTTTGTGGGAGGTAAAATATCAAATGGTTTTGATTATTTCTTTAGAAATTGAAGAAACAGCAGTAATATTCAGCAGAGTTCAGTGATGGAATAAATATTACAAATAATTAATTTTCAGCTACTTTTAAAAAAATAATTGTTAATGTTTGCAAAATGCTTTGGGGATACAAGCACTATGTGAGTTGTCAGCTTTTTTAATGCGTGTATGCTTTAAAGCACTTTCAAATGAACTAGTAATTAACATTTCATTTAACAGAAGCAGCCTGTAGAATAATTGTCACGTGATTATCTCTTTCCATAAACTAAGATTTCACTGCTTAGGTGCTGGTTGATTTTTGGCAATACTGATGCTCTTCATTAGAAAATGTACCAATTTTTCATCATTATCTAAAAGATGTTACTTGTGCTTTTCACTAAAATGTTCACGTGTGGTGAATAATGTGTTTGTTCAGCTTCAGACACACACTTAACCTGCATTAACTGTCATCAGGCTACCAGGATACCAGAGCTGAAGGGGTGGTTCTTTGTTTAAGGTACATCAGAATGTACACACACAGATATTATACCTTAGGTTAGTGTATAAGTATAAAAATAAATGGACACGGATCCTTAGATTTCAAGTGAAATGACAGATTAAGGTGGAATCTGCAATAAGCACTCTGTTCCTCTCTCTGTCTCAGTTTAAGTAGCTTCAAACTGAAAGAGAGTAGATTTAGGTTAGATATTAGGGAGAAATTCTTCCCTCTGAGGATGGGGAGGCCCTGGCACAGCTTGCTTAGAGAAACTGTGGCTCCCCCATCTGTGGAAATCTCCAAGGACAGGTAGGATGGGGCTTGGAGCAACCTGGGATAGTGGAATGTGTCCCTGCACATTTTAGGAGGTGGAACAAGATGGGCTTTTCCAACCCAAACCTTCCTTGATTCTCCTAGAGAAGTACAGGAATTGCTTTGTAAAGGCACTGATCCTAAAGTGTTCACTGTAATTTCTTTGGTTTCCCTTGTGTTAGGCAGTCTTGGGAAGCACAGGGAGTGCTCCTCACAGACACGTGTGCAGCCCCAGGAAGCACAGGCACACACAGGGCGGGTGTCTCTGTGTGTGAAGTGTGGAGGTGGAGCTTTCCTTCCTCTCCCCTGCCTGGGAAGAAAGCAGCAGCACTGCTTTGTTGTGCCTCAGATAGAGGGAGATGTCTGTAGTTCATAACCTGTTGTGCTTAAAGAAGAGTTGCTTGTGGTAGCCTAACCCTTGTGCTCCCGTTGTGCCAGCATGGAGCTGTGTGGGAGGTGTAGCTGCATGTTCCTGACTAACATCACTGTCTTTTGCACAGAATGGTTTTACTCCACTGCACATTGCCTGCAAGAAAAATCGCATCAAAGTCATGGAACTCCTGGTGAAATATGGGGCTTCAATCCAGGCTATAACAGAGGTAGCAAAAAGTTTCATGTCCTGCAGAAACATTCCTTCTTTATCTCTCCCTTTTCACTTCCTTCTTTCTGTCTCTCCTGTCGTGCCTCACTTTCCCATGTGCTTTATTTGAATGAAGAAGCCCATCCCTCCAGCCATGCAGAGGAGTAAAACTGTTCTTGCTTTGTTTCACAGTCGGGCCTCACACCAATACACGTGGCTGCATTTATGGGCCACTTGAACATAGTCCTCCTCCTGCTGCAGAACGGAGCCTCTCCCGATGTCACTAACATTGTGAGTATGGCTTTCACTAGAACCTTCTGCTCAGGACCCTCAGGAAGTCTCTGGGTACCATGTAGCTCAGCCCAAGGTCACATTTTCATCATACTCTGTTGCATTTTAGGGCAAGTTATTGTAGCACTTGTAGTGAGGAGGGGAAAGTGATGGCTGTATGTGTCACAAGCCATCTCTGGTTTTGTGTGCTCTGCAGCAATGCTCGAGTAGGAAAAGTTTTCCCTAGAAACAGACAAAGCTCACCAAAACCATCCAAAATTAACTGTAAGCTAAATCCCACAAAGTCTGTGTTTCTGTTCTGAAGGATGAAATGCAAGTCCAAATGGATCTAATTTCTGCCTGCATGACTTCGCTGGCTGCAATGAAATTGTGTCATTCCTGTCAGTGAAAGAGTATAAAATGCTTAAAACCCCAACAATTAAACAAAAGGCAAAACTGGGAAACTCAAGATGCTCCTCTTAAGACAGGAAATTCCAGGAACCGGTGATTAAATCTGGAAAATGTGACCTTTGGGAAGTAACACAAAATGCAGAACCTGACTTACCATAGAAATCAGTGTTTGTATACCAACAGCCTAGCTACCAAAAAAAAAAAAAAAAAGAAAATAAAATAAAAGAGGAAAAAAAAAACCCAACAAAAATAACGTTATAGTTTTTAGAGATGTATTTAGTAAGACATTGTTTGAATTTGTCAACATAAACAAATATTCAACTTGGGACCACCTGTACTTGGGAAGCAGCGTTTTTCAGTACATAAGGTAATAGGTAAGTGTTCCCAGCAGCAAAAACAACAAAAATTTAGTAATCCTGGTACTCTTTAGTTTTTCTTAGCTAGAAAAATCTTACATGGAACCCAATGAAATTGTTAGCATGCAGAATTGTTAATGTGAACCTTAAAATAGACTTCCCATACTTTGTTATGGAAGCAATCTTTATGTAAGAACTTTGTTGATAATAAAAAAACTGACACAAAATCCTTGTGGAAGCAGTTAAAAATCTTGTGCTACCAGGCATTTGTGTGCAAAGTTTAACACTTTACAATTTCTGCTACACAGGTGTCTTGGCTTTCACTTGGAAGCTGAGTTTCCCTGTTGAATTACTGTTTCCAAAACCTAAATTGCTTTGCTAATTCAAGCACAAAAGGGTCATTGCAAAAATTTGATCTTTACAGTGTTTTTCACATATTAAACAGCTTATTCTTCAGGTAATAAACTTCGTATGTAGATGGAATTATTAAGATTTCTAGCTAGGGCTGTGGGATTTTGTTGTTGCATACCTACTCATCACTGCTGGTAATACAAGGTTAATTTAAGAATGACAGGATAAGTCAACTCCTGGTGAAGAGGGTTTGCTGTAATTAAAAATCCCTATTAGCAGGCAAGCTAAAGCTACTTTCCCTACATCTAGACAAGGACAAGAAGACATGATTCCCTATTCAGATGGAAAAGGTCTTGAGTAGGGTGTTCATTTTGGCACTTGCAGTTACAGTGGCAGTCTAGGGGAGAAAGGCCTTACAACAGAATATTCTCCAGCTCTGATGGAAGAAGTATGAACAATTAACACAAAGAAATGATGGGTCCTGCTGTGTTCTCATGATACAACAGATGAGTAGAGCTCCTGATTGCAGAGCTGTCCCAGGACCTGATGTACCAGATGCTGGTGGGCTGCCCAGAGACTGTTTCAGTCCATTTTGGAACACTGCACTCAAAGAACAGAGCCCAATTAAACTAGGAATGCTGTCCTCAGGGAATCCTCATTTCAGTGTTTTTGAAAACCTATGCAAAAATAAATGCTTTGAATATTCCTGATCTGAAAGTGTTTTCCAATATTTCATATCTCTCAAATTCTGTGAGCTACAAAAGGCTTGAAACAGGATTGATTCCACAGCGTGGAGACAGAGCCGCACTGCTGAGTACAGATTTTACACATTCTGTGTGCTCAGCATTGCAAGGCCTCTTAATGCTGCCAGCTCCACACAGTGTGCAGGAAGGGACCATCTGGAAAATTATCCCCTTCCATCTTGAGGCTCCTGTGCCGTGCAATCCCTAGAGAGAGACAGCTCAGTGTACTCTCATCTCCTGTGCAGCACACGAGCTGATGCCCTGTTACGTAGAAAGCTGAGGGACATATGTGACCAGGGCAAGTCTATCTGGCAGAATTTTTCCTAAGCTGGGATTTTTGTTCTGTCTCTCAGTGGTTTTTGTCTCTCTGTGTTTGTCTGGGGTTGGCCAGCTGGCAAAGCAAGGCATTCCAGGTACAGCCACACGTACTCACACCCCACCCTGGGGCTGAAGCCAGAGTCTCAGCACCAGTTGTTATGGGTGGGACTGACACTGGCAGAGATCTTTCTTCATGGAAGTTTAGGACACTGAAATGCTTTTGCTTTCCTGCAGCGTGGAGAAACTGCATTGCACATGGCAGCACGTGCCGGGCAGGTGGAAGTGGTTCGCTGCCTCCTGAGGAACGGGGCCCTGGTGGATGCCCGAGCCAGGGTAGGTGTTCTGCTTACACTGGCTTTTTTTTTTTCTCTTAAAACCATGGCTGAAGGAATCATTCACCACCCTCCTCTCCTCCATCACTCTGTATTTTCACTTCCTATGACTCTGCAAGACAAATGCATAGGAAGGGTCTGTGTGGGGAGCAAGGAGGATGCTGGGCTCAGGGTGTCTGCACAGCGCTAACGACCCACTCGATTTGAGTTGTAGGAAGAACAGACCCCGCTGCACATCGCCTCTCGCCTGGGCAAGACGGAGATCGTGCAGCTGCTGCTGCAGCACATGGCGCACCCCGACGCCGCCACCACCAACGGCTACACGCCGCTGCACATCTCTGCCCGCGAGGGCCAGCTCGACGTGGCCTCCGTGCTCCTCGAGGCGGGCGCCTCGCACTCCATGTCCACCAAGGTGAGGATAAGCACTTCTCCTCCGTGTGCCAGCAGCACAGGAGCAGGTCTGCTCCGTGAGGAGTGTGCTTTTTCACCCTGAGAAATTGCAGCGGTTTGGGTCTTTTGTTGTCTTGTTTTTGATCAGCAACAATCCAGGAGGCTGGGGTAATGTATCACAAGATAATCAAATTTCGACTTACTCTGCTGTCATCTAAAATTGGGTTTGGTTGCCGCTGAAGCCAAATGTAGATCTTGATGCACAGACGGTCCCAACAGGTTTAAAATGTCCTTGTTTCTCCCTTTCCCTTACAGGCACAGCTTTTTTTGTGCAGTATTTCAAAAACAAAAAAAGGGGATGGCAATGATACATTTTTTATGAACAGGTCTCCTTTTATTCTTCAATACGTTATTTACTTAAATAGCAAAATAATTCTGCCCTGTGCTAGCTGAAAGGAATGTTCCGAAAACAGAGAAGTCAGCATCTGCCCAGTCTCATCGAATGCTGGATCTATTTTCAGTGGCTCTAAAATGAGATGTCATGTGACACAACAGGCCATTTTGTCTGGGATTATAAAAGAAATGCTCTCCAGAATCACTAGTGGGGCTTTTTTGCCAAAAATGATACCAAGAGATTACTAACAGGGACATGAATATGTAAGAAAGTAGAGAGCTGTGATGAGAATGATATACTGAGATATCTTTTCCAAATTTAAAACATTTGATAAGTGAGAATCACGTAATTTTCACTATTTATAAAAGTACCCTTGGTTTTACAGCTGGAGCTTAAAACATGTTTATGAACAAAGGCGTTCTTCTAGGGTTTAAAAGACTAAACCAGCAATTTTCAAATTATGATCCATGGATTACTGGGAGGGCTTGCTGTTCTTCTTTTATCCAGCTGTTAAATCACATTAGAATGGCTAAAAATACACTAAATACTTTCCTAATTTCCCATATTGCTTGATGGCAATTAGTATTGCAGGAACATTCTATGATTATGAATAGGAGAGGATGGAGCCCACTAGATAATGTCTTTATAGACCTGTGATTTGTGAACTGACAATGTTTGAGATTACCCAATATAAACTCTTTCTGAGGTGGGATTAATGGAACTAAATGATAATGATAATAAACATTAAACATGACTTATGTGCCAGGCAAATAGGTCATTGCAGCTTCCCAAAGTTACTGTCAGGCAGCAGTGCAGGCTGCCACCTACTGTCGTACATCCATGAGCTTTCCTTAACAATTTTTTAATTAAAACAGGCAAAGAGAAGGGCTCTTTTTAGCTTCAGTAGAACTTTGTGACTGCATGAATACACAAATGCAAGTACAAGTAATTTTTCACCAAACCCTTTAGGAGGAAGGGAATGGGAGTTTGGAGGTTTTATTCAATGAATTTAATTGGTGTTTCTGTGTTACTGGCAACAATTGATGCAGGAAATACTTGTAAAGCTGTTGTCATGGAACAAAAAAAGGTGCAGCTGGTTTGGGGTGTAAATTTGAAGAAGTGCCTTCATTGCCCCCACGCAGTGTGTGTTGCTAGTACAGTCTGTATCTGCTAAAATGTCTGCCAGCCTGAGAGCACATAAGGAGGGAAGAATAATAAAAGGGAAAGTATTTTCTTGTATTTCGTGCTTCTCAAAATGCTTTCAAGAGAGGCTGCTCTTTCTAGGTTCAGTTCTCGATTTTGAGGTTGAAGAGTAAGTGCTTAACACATAGCTCTTAAACAAGAGGTGTCATAGTGACCTTTAACACAAACAGCTGTGTTTTATCTCCTGGAATTTTTCAGAAGGGATTCACACCGTTGCATGTGGCAGCCAAATATGGGAGCCTGGAAGTGGCAAAGCTCCTGCTGCAGCGCCGTGCCTGTCCTGATTCTGCTGGCAAGGTACTGCTGGGGAAGAAAAAGTCTGAAGACTTTCCTTAAGGAAGAACTGTGTGAAATATGCACCCTAAGAAGGCTGCAGCTTCTTTTGCATGGTGGCTGTGCCTTTGCTGGGGTCATGTCTCCCCTGGGTGGTGGCTGACTGCTGCTGAGTTTGGGTCCATGGCAGGAGGGTGCACGGCTGCTCTGAGGGCAGGTGTGTGTCTTTGGCTCAGGAAGAACCGGTTCCATCAAGCTGCCTAAATTCCCAATGGATAAACACAGGGGCAAAGCCACACCATCCCCTGGTGATGAAAGCCAGCGGCTGCCACCGTGGTTCGCCTGGTTCGCTGCTTCTCCCCACTAACAGCCACCTGCCTGCCATGGCCTTGCTGTCCATCCCCACCGCCTGCCCCGCGTCCCCTCCGTCCCTTGCAGCTCCCCGCACCCTTCCATCCCACCTCACCTGAGTGCCCCCCGCCCCATTTCCTCCCGGTATTCCCGGTGTCCCGTAACGCGCTAACGCCCTCGCCGCCCTTTCAGAACGGCCTCACCCCGCTGCACGTGGCGGCGCACTACGACAACCAGAAGGTGGCGCTGCTGCTGCTGGAGAAGGGCGCCTCGCCCCACGCGACCGCCAAGGTGAGCCCGCCCGCCCGCCATGAGGGGAGCCCGGCGGAGCCGGCCCCGGCGCGGCCGACAGGCGATTCATTGCTGCGCAGCGGCGTAAGAAATGTGTGTTCTGGCCAGGCAGACGCGGAATGAGCACAAGGGGAATTAATTTCGGGTTTAGCGCTGGTGCCGTGGTGTCTCTGCGTCGGTGAGGGCAGCCCTGAGGGGAGCCCTGACGCTGAGGGGAGCCCTGACGCTGAGGGGACTCTGTCCCGCCGGAGTTTTAGTCGCAGCTGGAAGTCACTTCACTATTGTGCAGTGTTAGTGATGGCATAAGACATTTTATTCCGGGGTTAGGAGTATCACGTTGTGGTATCACGGTGCAGGTGAGGGGAGCTCTGAGGGGAGCCCTGACCCTGAGGGCAGCCCTGACGCTGAGGGGACTCAATCCCGCCGGAGTTTTAGTCGCAGCTGGAAGTCACTTCACTCTTGTGCAGTGTTAGCAATGACATTAGACATTTTATTCCGGGGTTAGGAGTGGTGTTGTGGTATCACGGTGCAGGTGAGGGGAGCTCTGAGGGGAGGCCCTGACGGTGAGGGGAGGCCCTGACGCTGAGGGGAGGCCCTGACCCTGAGGGGAGCCCTGACGCTGAGGGGACTCTGTCCCGCCGGAGTTTTAGTCGCAGCTGGAAGTCACTTCACTCTTGTGCAGTGTTAGCAATGACATTATACATTTTATTCCGGGGTTAGGAGTGGTGTTGTGGTATCACGGTGCAGGTGAGGGGAGCTCTGAGGGGACACTGTGGAGCCCCCGCTCTGTCAGAGCTTTGTTGCAGTTGGAAGTCACCTCACTGTTGTGTAATATTAGCAATAACTTTAGAAATATGTATTCTGACCACGCACACTAATCCTTCCAGGGTTAGGAGTGGTGCTGTGCTATTGCTGTGTAAAGCAAAAGCTGCTAAAAGGGGAAAATGGGGACCAGATGGGTGCAACACCAGAGAGCGTCCTGCCCTGTGCAAGGCTGCTGATCTGCAGGCTTTCCGGAAATGCTCAGGGATTGTATTGGGAATGTGGTTTCCATGGCAGTGCATGGAAAGCAGGATAGTTTGGGAAACTCCCACTTAAAAAAACCACAACAAAACAACCACAGGACAACCCAACCAAGCACCCACCACAGGACCTGTGTGCTGGCACCTGGGATTTTCCCTCAGGATATGTTATAAAGAAATTAGGAAGTTGTCTTGTTGTCAGAAAATGCCGTTCTTCTGTGCTTAAATGATTACTTCGATCACAAAAACACTCCACCCCATTGCTGTTTCCAGCCTGTGACCGACACATGTATCAACTTTACAAATGCAAACGCATCTCTACTCACATGCCCTGAAAAAGCATAATGTGGTGAAGGGTGTGCACCCATCAGTCATCATGGGCAATGTCACTCACCAGTCAAAAGGGATTATTTGCAACATAGGCTGAACGAAATGTAGGTGTTGAACTTGGACTAATTTGAAGGTGTTGGTGGAACAGTCCTGCTCACCCTGGTGAGGGCTGGCTTTGTTCTGGCTTAGGCGGTGAAAATAACAGACAGACAAAGCAACACAACAGCAGGGCCATGTGGGACATGTCTGGCCCTGCAAATTTAATGAACTCCCCTCTCTAATAGCAGGCGTAACATCAAATAATCCTGTTCCGTGCTGCCTGACTTCTTAGGCTCACTTGGCTGATGTGGTAACTTTATTTTCCTTTTTTCCCCTGCCTGGTGTCAGAATGGATACACCCCTCTGCACATCGCTGCCAAGAAAAACCAGATGCAGATAGCTACCACTCTGTTGAACTACGGGGCTGAGACCAACATTTTGACCAAGCAGGGAGTCACCCCACTTCATTTGGCCTCCCAGGAAGGTCACACTGACATGGTGACTTTGCTTTTGGAGAAAGGATCCAACATCCACGTGGCAACAAAGGTAACTCACGATTGGAAACAAAGTATTATGGGTGGGAGTATCCAGTAAGATGCAACCTTGGTGTCAGTGGGTGGGTTTAACAACCTGTACCAGAAACCTGGGAGCTCCAGTCTGAAATAATTCCGTGCTCTTACCAGCAAAGGCTCTTTTCTGCATGTCTGTATCCTTCAGAGGTAAGTGAAGACATTTACATTCTCTGGCAAATAAGAAAACAGCTGCATTACTGGAGTAGACTAAGAAAAATTCTATGAAAGACCTTTCCAATTTTTTTAAATTATTGTGCCTATCAGCTTTTTACAGAAAACAAGGTCATCAAAAAAAAAAAAAACCAAAAAAACCAAACCAACCCAAACCATTACTGTAAATTTTCATTATTTTCATGGGTCACTGGGTTTATCCAGGGATGTATGCAAATCTTATTTATGCAGGTGAAAAGCCTGCAGCTTCTGCTCACACAAGTTAGAATAGAAGGCTCTGGTATCTCCTTGTGTGGAGTTAATATATTCTGCTAATAGAAACAAGGAGATTTTCATTTCTTATACAAAATTTTGCAGTGCCTTGTTCACGGCGAAGCACTGCACGTTATCACAGTGAGCTGTCAGTTAGAGGCTGCATCCTTTTCCCTGCTGTTTGAATGGCATCTATTTCTGGAGTTAATGTCTTCATCTGGCTCGTGCCTGCAGTTGTCAAGGTTCCCCTTTCTGTCTGAGGAGTGGGAAGCACATTTTATTAATGGGCTTCTCAGCTTCCCAAATTGCATTATTGTAGCAAATCTTCAGCATTCATGTCTTAAAGTTTTCCTCTGTGGTTATGGTGAGGTAATTGGTTTGGAGCTCTTTGTCAGCTGGAACAGGAGCAACATCGACTGTACTTTGTTTTAAAACACCACCCATACTCAGAAGCTATAGTTAGGGTCTGATCATGTTTTAAAGATGAGGAAGTGGAGAAGTCTAGATTTTTTGCTTATGTAAAGTCAGATTTTATTCTCACTTTTATCTGTCTACTTACTTGTTATATTCCCTCTCCAGGCTGGACTGACATCCTTACACCTTGCAGCTCAAGAGGATAAAGTGAATGTAGCCGAGATACTCACCAAACATGGTGCGAACCAGGATGCTCAGACAAAGGTAAATCACCTTGTGAGTGGCTGCTGTTTCCAGCTTGCCAAAGGGTGCTACCCTTGTCCGAGGAATGTTCCACTGAGCTTGCAGTTTTACTTCTTTGTTCTCCTCCTGTAGCTTGGTTATACACCTTTAATTGTGGCCTGTCACTATGGAAACATCAAAATGGTGAATTTTCTCCTCAAGCACGGAGCAAATGTCAATGCTAAAACAAAGGTAAAGAATTTTCCATTGCTTTGCTTTTGCTCTTTATTCTGAACATGGTAGCACAGCACTCCTACATGACACACGTGCTTTTTCCCTTGGGAGCTGTAACCATGGCATGGGAGGTGTCAGCCTGTGGTAGCTGTGATGGAATGCCCTCTGCTCCATCTCGTGGTGTGGTGTTCAGGAAAGAAAAGCCAGATAACCCTGTGTATATGAAAAAATAACACAATCAATTTCTCTGGTTTTTCTTTTTCTTATTACTTGCAAACTAACAAATGAAAGTCTGTTCCTGATCTCATTTCCACATGGTTTACACCACTGTAATACCAGTGTGCTGCCAAACTAGCAAGTAACAATTCAGACACTCTCAGGGTGATGCCAGGTTCTCTCCAATATGCTGGGAGAAGAGTGGGAAGAGTTACTGCTGTTCACTGTGTGGGTGGGATGACTCTGGGAGAGGAAGCAGCTGTGGTAAGGGAATGTGGTTTGCTCAAGGAGAGTTTGGGGTTTTCTGAGGGGAATCTGGCTATGCTGAAATCTGTCCAGATACGCTGAAATGGGCCTGACTGCGTGAAATTCTGAACAAAGCCCACTGACTTCAACAGTTTCTCCAGGGATAAACTGGTGGGCACACCAGCTGAATGGGATGCATTTTGTAGCAAAAGCTGTGTATCTGCTGAGAATACAAAGAGAGGTTCTGATGGCAGCAGCAGTGTGTTGCATCCCAGAAATCATCACATCACCATTATCAGAAAGAAATGGAACTTGGGAACTGTAGGGCTCCAGCTTGGTTAAAGCTGACTTCAGGCAATTCCTAGCTACTGGATTCAAGCTGGATGTCTTGGGACCAACAGGAAGCAGCCCACTGAGAGTGTCTTTAAAATCCCATTAAAATTACTGGCTTGAAGTTTGCTTGTTCCTCTGGTCAGCTCCCCTGTCCCCCCTGGGACCTATGGGATGATTCATTTCTCAAAGCAGCATTATTTTGTCACTGTGGTCACAACTCAATGTAGTAAGAAAAATCCAAGTAAATAAATAAAAGATTCTGGCCCATCCCTCATGGGATCACCCAAAATCAATGGGCAAAACTTGGGGATTCCAAAAGGACAGACAGCACTGCTAGAAAAACAGCTGATGAGAATTAATAAAACAGACACTAGCAAGATCCAAACTATAGCTGCCAAGACAATCAGCTGAGGTATTTGGAGGCTAACTCAAGGGACAGAAAAAGTTGTGTCTTTAGGATTAGGTCTCTCCTTTTGTTAAAGGGCCACTGGGACAGATTATGATTCCATTCACCCAGGTATTTTACTTAATTAGAATGCTTTCATTTTAGTCAGCAAGTTTGTATCAGGAAGCAGTTCTCCACAATCTCACACCTAGGGACCACTAAAAATACTGGCAATCTGTCAGCTGGTGTTGTGGACTCAGTTTAAAGAATAAATCCTGGATTCAGCATAGGCATGTTAAAGAATGAATAACCCCTGCTGCAGCTTGGGCTTTCACTAGAGAAAGCTTGCAGAATGCTTTGTGCAAGGAACACATGGCTTCTATTTTTGAAGGACTACATTACTCAGGCAAAGGTGGTGAATCTACTTTCCACTAGAATGTACACTAAGCAGCAGTTCTTAGCAGTCTGTGCATATAGGAACTGTATATATTGTCAGTCTGAGAACTGTAACAGTTCTGAAGTATCACCATCTAATTAGCAGTGCAAAGCCTTACTGGCATCTATTTGTTTGCAGTAGAGGTAACTCTCAGATGATGTTTTCAGAGCCTGCCCCAGGCTTTATGTAAGTGTTCAGTGAGATCAACCCAGGGTTTTCTTACAGTTTCTTCTCTGCCTGGTTTCAAAGCCAATTTCGAATAATTTTGTAAATCAATTGCCTGACTGGACTTGCACAATACCACCTCAGATCAGCCAGCTTAAGCACACTTTGGTTATGTTTCTGTATTGTGTGACATGGGAACAAAGCGCTGGAGCGGATGAGCATCTCGAACTAAGCCTGTTTATTAAGGTAGACACTGTGTACACATTCCTAAGTGTAATTACATCTTGGTCCAGCCTTTTGGAGACAAAGTGAAGCTAAACTTGATTGACATTTGTAATAGGTATATGTTGTTAGCTTTTTAAAAAACAAACAGGCTTTAATCACTGCTGTTAAAAATGATGTGTTTTTTAATAGACTCAGATATTTTAAAGGCAAATCTTGAGCCTTCTGTTGAAAGCTAGGATGTGAGAGGAAGAGGAATGTTCTCTGCCTCAGCTGTGATTCTATGCTCTCAACATGCCCCTGTAACTTTGCTATTCCTCATTGTTCCTTCTTCTGATTTAGAAAATGGGGGGAAATGTCTTTTCATAGACTTCTTTTATTGTGAGAGAAACTATTTTTGAATAAGTATATTACCTTCCTTTATATTTCCATTAATCTGGGGAAGGAGAATTATTATTACTGAAGGTTTATTATTTTTGGGTCTAGTGGTGTCATAATTATATTTGAAATTTCTCAAGAGGAGCAGAAGGAAGCAAAGTGAAATATCTGATCTAATGACTGGTTCTTGTTCTTTGTTTGCTTTGCTGTCACCGCTGTGGATAACAGAATGGGTACACCCCTCTTCACCAGGCTGCTCAGCAGGGCCACACTCACATCATCAACGTTCTGCTGCAGCACGGGGCCAAGCCCAACGCCATCACCACGGTGAGTCTGACGTGCCACGGGGAACTTGTTTCCCTGGACAGTTCTTTTCTTCCCTTCCTTAGGGCTCGAGAGCGGGCCCTTATTTTGGTGAAAGTATTCCTCGTACAGCTGCTTGTCATATGTGGAAATGTAATTTCCTCTGCTCTTCCTTATCCTCTTAAGGCAGTTCACGTCCGACCTAACTGTGCACTAAGCTAAATGTGAGGCAGAGAAGCAGATTTCTGAGCTGCAGGATCAGGCTGGACATAGCTGTCTGTGCCAGGCTCATTCAGTTTCCTCCACCTCAACGCTTCTCTCTGGAAATTAATATCTCCTGAAGGAGTTTTCCTTAAAAATCAAGGGCAGTTCAGAACCTGGTGGTGGTTTTTTGGGTGTTTTTTTGTTTTTTTTTTTTCAATTTAGAACCAGATTTCTGTCCCTCTATGCACTGAATTGGTTTCAGGTTCTTAGTGAGTTCACCTCAGTGAACTCAGTGAAGTTAATACCTCCTCAAAGACCATCGATAGCTCCTGGCACAGCTCATTGTCTGCAGTCAGCCAGCCAGGAATGCGACTGTCCTGTTTCACGTTGATGTTCTTACTAGTCACCTCTAATTGGGTAATCGTTAGAACACTGCCAGAGTGGCCCAAACTCCTGTCATTCCCCAGAGTGGATCAGTTTTCCGTATGCCTTACTGTGTGTGCTTAAATCAGCACTGGCACCATGTCTGGTCCTGGAACAATCACGTGGAATAATCTTGTGTGAAAGTTATTCAAAATACCAGTTTGTGCACTGGATCATCAAGTGAGAGACCAGTGTAGTCAGCTTCTGGGGCTGTAGGTACTGTTTGGGGTGTTTGACTGAGGGTCCCTTGACTTGATTTCAGCCCTCACACTGAGGCTGTCATGCCCAGGTCTAACCCAAGTCCAAGCAGCCTTAGGGATGTATCTTTGCTGCACAGTTGGCTGCTCCCTCAGGTACTCGATCTCTCCTTGTCCACACAGAGCAACTTCTGGCTTGAGATAAGAGAGGATTTCAGCCTGAGACATCTGGCAGGGAGATATGGGAGTGGTGGATGAGCAGCTAATGTGCAGGCGAAGTAACAGTCAAATTATTTGTGCTGTGAAGGTGTTAATCTGTTCATTTTGTGTGCTAATCCACAAACTAAGTGTTGCTTCAGGGTGGCTGAGCTAGACTATTACAGAAGAGTTTACATTATAGATAGCTGAAGTTGTTGCTGAAGAACAGAGAGCCCTCAGACTGATAAACCTGCACATGGTGCAGTGGGGTCACAAGAGGAATCATTTCTGTGCAAAGAGTGATACAGTGACAGTCCATGATTCCTCAGGAGACCAGCATGTTGTCCCTTGGTTCAGTGCAAAAGAGCATGGAACAGTCCTGTGTAGAACCCTCTACAAAGAACCATGGAACACAACCCTTCCTCCCTTCCCCACACTCAGTGCCATGGGGACTGTGGACTGCCACTGTTCCAAGAGATGAAATGGAGATAAATAGGTCTAAACTCTTGTTAAATTATTTCAGTGTCCTTTTGATGAATGACATGTCTCTGTATTTTACGAATATTCAAACTGCAAATAAATGTATTTAAATGGAACTATATTCTTCACCCCCAAGCCTTTTGTGGCTTGTACTTGTTAAATCATTAGCTTTTGTGAACTGTTAATGGAAGTACATTTCTGTTGTGTGAAGGAATAGGAGTATATGTGGACATCACAGCTGGAATTTTGTATTCCCCAGACAAGCAACTGTACCTGGTAAAGGTGTAACAGTTTCAACTGGGAGTGAAACTGTAAAAAGCTAAAACACTTTGTGTTTTCTAGAAGAGTATTTCTGCAAAATAAGCCCCAAACTTATGCAGGCAAGGCAGGCTGCATAGTGAAATGTGAGCCCTGAAGGGTTAAACCATACAGCGCTGTAGTATTTGGAATCGCTGGCAGATGTAAGTGTGTTGTGTTACCATGGCAATTGGGGCTATAGTCTTAAAGAAGTTACAAAGGCAGAGTCAGATGTAACGGTAAAAAAGCCGTGATTTTCCTAGGCTGTGCCTTGTTTTGGATGGAAATGCTGGCTCATGCAGCGTGGAGAGTGATCTCATTGGCTCACATCACAATCCTCCCTCTCTCTCAGCGCGCTCTCCCCCTCTCTCTTCCCTTCAGAATGGTAACACAGCCTTAGCCATCGCCAGGCGCCTGGGATACATCTCTGTGGTCGATACGCTGAAGGTTGTAACAGAGGAGATCACCACCACCACAACTGTGAGTTGCACGTGCATTCAGATGTGGCTCTTCTTTACTCAGAGTGTTGTCTTTCTGCTCTTCCCTCAGGCTCTCTGTGCATCTCTTTCCTTTTTTGTTTTGTTTGGGGAGTTTTAGCTCCCTCCCCCCTCCCCTTCCCTTTTTGTTGCATTTTTGCTACAGTGCTTTGAGCGTGTCTTATAAGCATGTGGAAGTGTGTGCAAGGCAACAGGCTCCCCTGAGCTAGGGAACAAACTCTGTGTGCACACCGATAGAAAATAACAATTCAGAGTGAAACTTGTTTCTAGACCTGGGTCTGAGCTGCAAACCCAAACTTTCCTGAAGTTTATATGTTGTTGTTTAGATCCAGCCATTTCTCTGCTTGTCTTTCACCTCTCCTTTCCCGTCTGGCCTTACATCCCCACACTTTTGACACCTTCTGAGGCTCAATCCTTGCAGCATCTCTACGTTTGGACCACACCAGCCGTGGCCTGGAGCCAAGCCTAATGATGCTCACTGGATGGCTGTGAATCACATCCATCATCTTCTTATTCAAGTCACTTCCAGTTCAAACAGATCCTGTTTTTCCAAAATGCATAGGAATCTTTCCTTATGGGCTCAGTCCTCTCAGTGCTCCACACTCTTGGAGTCTGTATTTTGACATCAGGGCTCGTGAACAGTGTGTGCTGAACATCAGCAAGGTGGTACTGCAGCTTTAAGCCAGGAAAAGCTGATCTATCTGGACACCCTGAGAGGAGAAGGTTTTCCCTTCTTGCACTTTTACCTCCCATCTACAAATGTCATAGCAGGTAGGAAGGGAGAACATTAGAAATAGCGCCTAATTAAAAAATTAGATTTTATTTAAGTCTCGGTTACTGCATTTATCCTGAAACATTGCTGTAAGGTCATGCTTTTTGATTTCATTTTAGATTTTTTTTTTTTTTTTAATGCAAGATTAGCAGCTGAGAAACCCCATCAGCTCTAGATGACATTTAGGAGCTCAGAGCTGCAAAAATACGTAGATTACTAAAAAGATGCCACTGCTCAGTCATGGGGAGGGTTAGAAGAAGAGAAGTCCAAAATCACTTGTAAAGAAATGGGAAAATAATTTTGATTTTGTTGCATGCTGACAGCAAATCCCACTTGATATGAACCAAGGAAGATGCAATAAAGATAACATGGCATAAGGTTACAAATAGAATGAGTCGTAATTTATTAATGACCTGCAAAGATCAGGCTGAGTCAGGTTTGGAGGAGGAATTCCGGCGTAATTCCAGAAGTCTCTTAATAAAGATTGTGTGTCTCTGTTGTTATTACTTCATATTCTACAGCACATCACACATGTACGTGCATAAACACATATGTATCTAATCAGAAGTTTAGGAAAATAAAACCTAGGGAAATTTTTTTTTAGAGACTTTAGTTCTTATATTTTTAAGCTTCAGAGGAAACCTTTGTCACATATTCTGTGCTGTGTCCTAGCACAAATTTTTAATTTACTTTTTGATAAAAGCAGTAACTTCCTTTCTCATTTCCACTGTGTTTCACTGTGCAGCTTTGGACCTTGTCTCATGTAAGTGTTAGGTCTTTGAAATAATAGGAATTGCACTGCAAAAAGACACGTGTGAGCTATTTATTTGGGATAAATAGTTCTTTAAACATTGAGGATTAATGGTATTTTCTACCAGATCCCTGATGCCTGGGGTTTAGGACTGAATCAAGTACTGAAACTTACTTGCAGGGTTGACCTTTAGTGCTTGCATAGAAATCTAAAATCTGTGTGTGCATACTTGGAAAGTCAGGTGGGAGCCCTCAATAACTCAGATTCTCCAACTGTGAATATGTGTAACCCTTATACCTTAGGGGGATGTGTGGAATGGTGGTGTTTGGGGGGGGTGGGGGGGGGATGTTGATTAAACATAATGTAGAACAAGTCCTGCAAAGGAGGGCTAATAGCAGGTGCTCCCTGCAGTCAGGGTCCCCAGATGGTGAGGCTGGTGTTGCCAGACCTGAGCGCAGCGCTGAGCCTGAGAGAAGGTGCTGTCACCATAGCTGCCTCCTCCTGTGAGGCTGAGCCCTGCACCCAGGATGTTACACAGCCCCATGCGGGATTGATATGCAAGTCACTGCCTCTGGAGATGAGGAATAGATCCCTGTGCCAAAGCCTTTCTTTGCTCTAACTTGGAACAAACCTTCCACTTACTTGCAGTAGTGCTACTATTAGTGGAACTACATGAATATACAGCAATAGGGAGAATTACGTGCACGTTTTTTACTGAAAGATTAGAGGACAATAAGAAATGAGAATAAACTGGATTTTCAGAGGTTTGCTATGTAATTAAGTTTGGGGCCATTTGTACAAACAAGCACAGCCTTCCTGTGGATGGATGAATATACAAGGAGCTTTCAGGTTGTTTGCAGTATGCTGCTGTGAGTAAGTCATTACTGCAAGCACATATAGGTTTACTTAGCTGAATTGTATATTGGAATTATTCTATGCCACCCAGTGAAAATCTGGCCTTACAACGAAAGGCTCAAATACAGAAGCCTTAAGTAAACTCCATCATGGACTTCTCACTACACCTAGAGAGTTTGAGGAATACGCACTGAGCAATTTCCCATGTGGACCATTCATGGGGCTAGATAAGGATTTTAAATTTTGAGAGTATTTGATGAGCCTATCAATTAAAAAAAATTCTAATATTACACTAGAAATGCCTTTAAATGCATTAATTCCAAAGAGAAGTTCTTGGGATTAGAATTAATGTAGAATTAATGATTCTTGCTGAGTTCAGTGTTCCAAAATTGGCAATGAAATTTTTTTTTTCTGTAATGTGCATATGCACACACACTCTTTTAAATCTCTTTTCCAAGTTTTGTTTCAATTGCTAAGTTATGAAGTAATTTTTTTCTCACTGATGGGAAAACCAGGAAGTCAATAAAGTATCCTTGCTTCCCTGTAAACAGATAATAACATCTGCAAGCCTTAGAGACCAGGTTTTTATATGGAGGCCTGTAAAAACCTAAGTAACAAATAGATGGTTGTAGAGGTCCATAAACCTTGGTTACCTGGGAGACAGAAAAGTGAACAGTGATCCTCTCTACCTGCAGCTTGTGCTTTAGCTTACCTGATGGTTCAACTCACTTGTTAACTCTGGTGTTGAAGAGACAAAGTCAGTGCCACCTGAAGGACAGCACCTCCCCATCTGTCATGGCTGGCCTTGTCATCCCACTGCTGCCTGACATTTCTATCCCAGGAAAGCCATGGGAATACAGGGGAAAAGTCAGTCCTGGTGGTGGGGCCATTCGGTGAATATAAACTAATTTGCAACCCTGAACATGTGTTCTGCTGTGACAGAAATAATGAGTTGTTTTTACTCATGGGTAAGAGTGAATTTAGGAGCCTAATTAGGATTGCCAGTTGAGGCAAAGGGCATTGTTCTTTCCCTGTACCTCAGGAGGGTAAACTGCTGTCAGAGTTAAATAGATTTCAGAAACGTAAAGCAGACTTTTAAAACTAATTTCCAAAGTAATTACACAGTTGGTAACTTAGTTATTTATTAAAGTGCAGTATTGTACAATAAGCAAGAAAGCTGACTTTGTCAGTTTGTTAGAAACAGAGGAGCACATAACAGGACCAGGAAATAACTAGTAAGTTTTGTGCAACAAAAGTTGCTATTGACTTCACTGCTTGATATCAGCGGGCATTTTCCCAAAAGAATATTGCATAAGGGACTCAGGGTTTGGCTGATTTAATTATTCCTCCCATGAAAGGTTTTGGCTCCTTTGCATGTGATGTTCATGTATGCCTGATAGACGGTGTCTGCAGCAGGGAGGGAGCGCTGCCTCAGCGGGGGTTTCTCAGGGACACACTGCCCTCTGTGCCAGAGGGGCACCTGTGCCCCACACTTCCCTAAGGGCCGTGTGCCCCCTGCCCTCTGTGGCCTCCTGGCACTGTCCTCCGTGCCAGAGGGGCACCTGTGCTCCCACACTTCCCTAAGGGCCGTGTGCCAGCTGCTCTCCACAGCTCCCCACCTCGCTGGGAGAAGCCAGGGAAATTGGTACTTTGTGGTTGTGACCAAGGCATTTCTGATCACTGCTGCTTTTGAAGCCCTTGGCATTTTGTCCCCTGTATCTTAGCACGCTGAAGATTTCCCTGCAGACAACTTTTTCACATCTTGCACTTCCTGCAGTTTGTCTTGTTATGTTCTTCATCTCCTTCTCCAATGTGAATCTGGATGCTAAAAAGATGTCCTCATTCTCAATTCAGCACCCCTGGGGATTGTCTATTTCCTCCCAGAAGTCATTTGTAAAGATAAAATTATATTTTAAGTACCCCAACAAACTTCCAGTGTTTTCCTGCTCTTGTGTCTAACCAGAATCCTCCCACTATTCCTCAGTCCATAATTGCCTTGATTCACAATATTTTGAGCTTTTAGGTGCATAAGATATTTCAGAATCTTCAAACAACATTTTTTTCCCCCCTCTGATGTGTACGTGCTTAGGGGGAATATACCTGATTTATGAAAAATTTATGAAAAGGATATAATTAATATGCACTGTAGTCACCTTTTTCTGGAGAAGGGGGAGAAATGTTTCAAGTGATCTGTGTAAATCCTTCACATCTTTTTTTAGTTCAGGAATTTCATATCATTCATAACTTCATTTCCAAATGTTTTACAATTTAATAATTTCCATATGTCCCATACAACTTTCTCAAGCTCTTCTGTAGACATTACCTAATTCATTTTAAAATCATCTTGGAAACATTGAGCTGAATTGTTCTGCATCCATTTATAAATAAATTTTATTTCTTTGACCAGCTCATTATCTTATGGTTTTGTACTTTTCTGCCAGAAGAAACTTTACCTTATGCAGCACTGAGAATAGGAGCTTCTGGAATAAAGATGAAAAAGCAAGTTAGGAGAAGAAGAACCATGTTGTGAAATGCCTCAGCATGTCCCACTGCTGTCTGTTGAAAATGCCCTACTGTAAACTTTGCTCCTCTGACTGATGATTCTGTCTTTGCAGACTGTAACAGAGAAGCACAAGCTAAATGTACCCGAGACAATGACTGAGGTCCTGGATGTGTCAGATGAAGAAGGTGGGTGACTTTGCTAAATTCCTCTTCCATATCACCTATGTAACCTGTTATACAGGCTCAAGAAGCTGCTTGAGTACTCTGACACCTTCATTTTGCTGTGCTTGCAATGAAGTTCTTTTTAAAATGATGTAATCATTATGGTATTTTTATAAAGATGCCAAAATCTGAAACACAGCAAAATCCTGGACCCCTACATCTTTTCCAGAAAAAGCTTGTCTGAATCAAATTGGCAAATGAGTCCATTTCCCAACTCCAGGCTTTACAATTTCACTGTAGAACTGCCCCGAAGTTGGCTTTGACCCTCCCATAAAGAGGAATCCGAGCAGTTAATTTTTTTGGATCTGTGCCACTTGTATCAGATACAAATATCCAGGAGTTTTGCCTAATTGGAAACATTTGTGTAAGAAGATGCATAAGGTGGAGGGTGAGGAGAGCATTCCCTGGAGGGAGCTTTTGGCACAGGGGAGCTCAGGGATGCACATGGTGTGATACAAAGTAAGAACATGCCCATAAATTCAGCACTTGGGTTTCAGAGGCCTTTGCACACACAGGTAGGAGATGTGTCCCACCACTTAGCTACCTCCCAAGGGAATTTCTCTGACCTTCTGGAAGGAGTGACAAAGTATCACACTTTTATACAGCTCAGAATTGCAGAAATGGCCTAAACCCACCCTTTTCTAAGAGTTTGCGAGTGACTTCTTAGAAATTTTAGTCACAGCAGTATTAATAAATATAAACACGGTTGGAAGGCTTTTCTGTGTTCCTTTTTACACTTGGGAGTAAATATTACAATATCCTACATGTGCTATTTTATGGTGGTTGTTATTTTTTCGCACAAATAATTTGTAGGGTGAGTAGTTTCCAGAAAGTCCTGGGAATTTGGAAACTCAGCTTACAGGGTTGGTATTTTTCTTCTGCAAAGAAAACAGATGCACTTGTGGTTCTAAATGGTGCACGAAGTTAATGGCATTCATTAATTATAAGTGCTTGTATTGCTTTTAGAAATGGGATTTATGCTGATAAATGAGTTACACTCTTGAGAAAATATGATGCTTAGGCTCCAGATGCAACTTTTTGTTTTAAAATGCAAAAACAAACAAGTGTGATTCAAAATCAATTATTTTCTGCTGCATCATGACCAGTGAAATGATTTTGCTACTTTGCCTCTGATTAAGAAGCATTCAAAACTGCTTGTGTAATTATTATGTTGAATCACCTTTAAATAGCTCATTGCCTTATGATCACCTTTAGTTTTCTCTGTCTTTTGATCTACCATTGAATCATCTTTAAATCCACAAAGCCTAGTATGTCTTCCTGCTTCTACTGGTTTAATCCAGGGTGTTCCTTTTTCTCAAACCAATTTGTGTGTTGTACAGCCTTTAAACACTCTGATGAGGAGCCCTTCAGTGATGGGGAAGCATATAGTGGCACGGGTGCTGTTAGCAGGAGTTCGTGGAGTAAGACTTACAGACTCTTTGTTTGACTCAGTCTATTATTTTTTGTGTAGTAACAACACATGTTTGCAGAATTTGGGTATCTAACACTGCTCCTCTCTGTTATTTTGAAGTGTGGTTGAGTGTGTTTCATGAAAGGTGGGAGGAAGAAGGGAAGCCAGAAAATCTCAGATTTATTACCTATATCTTGAGTGTGTTGGCAGAACTTGAAGGGGCTGTCCTGCATGACTAATGCTCTCCTGTGCTTTGAATTAACATTCACTGCAAGAACTCCTAATGTGGATGGTGCTTGTCCCAGTAACTTTAAATAGCTGGGGACAGGAAGGCTGCAGAACTTCTTCAATGGAGAGGATGAACCATTTAGGGGTGGGCTAGCAGTAAGGTTTCAGTGATGCTGTGCTCTTTCAAGTGACACATTATGTTCTGAAATAAATCAATGTGCTGCTGAAAACCTGCCAGCTGTATTTATATAAAGTTGAACATAAGAGTACTTGAGCAGAGTATTTCAGGTCCCATTGTGTAGCATGTTTATCACTGATGATAAATACTTTGCATTTTGCTTGGAAGATTGGTATGTTGCATAATTGTATGCTGTCATGTTGTTAATATAGTGTTTTTATTCCTAAAACTAAGTTAACAGTCTGAGCAGTATAAAATAAAAGGCAATTATCTATCAGATAGCTTAGCTTGGTGTGGAAGGTCCTGCTCTGGGCAGCCTGTTTTAAAATATCTTGAATGGACAGAGTGCCACTAATTCTTCTTCAATTTTCTTGTACGTTTTTCTGTGTTTATCCACTGAATTGTTATTAAGAATGCTTTACTTTTTATGTTACCTGCAAAACCAAATCTTCCTTTTGAACAGAATCACATTTTATTTTTTGTTTAAAATGGGATTTAACCCCTGCTCATGGGGATTGCACTACAGATGCCCATAGGCAGAGCTGTTAAGTGACATGGTTTGTGCAACGTGTACCTCTGCCAGCAGAAATGCTCAGTGTGGATAAAGTTCACTAAAAACTCTCTAGGTTTTTATCATTGTATCAGCTTTGGCTGTATTGCTGCAAAGTTCACTTGCTTTAAACCTATCACCCCAAAAGAAGCATTTTGCACCTGAGAGATCCTTAGAACAAGCAAAGGGAAATTACTGCAAAGCATCTTGTGAAATGTATTTTAATGATGTCTACAGAATTAGGGAAGTTAAGCACAAGCAAATATTTTTGTTAGGGCTGAGTCTGTGTAAATACACAGGAAAATATAGAAAAGGCAGAAGCCTGGTTTCTTTCTTATTTCCCCATATATTAATATGCACCTCTATCCATTCCTTGCCTCATTTTTGTGCCAGAAGAGCTGCACAAACTAACAGTGGTTTATCTTTGAGATTCCCATGGGAGATAGTGCAGTAAGTTAGTGCTATAGAGAAAGAATACAACCAGTAAAACAGAATGTTCAAGAGCTCTCACTTAATTCTTTTTGAGCCTCCTCATTGTCAGTTAATTTTCAAAAGTTGTAGTTTCAGGTCTGCTTGAGACCAAGTTCTGGCTGCTGCAGAAGTTGTCAAGCTCTAAGCATGCTAACCCACATCCTCCATTCTGGCAGCACAAACATTTCACCATGTGGTGACCCAGCCCAGAGAACTGATCTGTCTGACAATGAATCTGTTTGTCCTGACAAGTTATTTTCCAGCCAGACAACTTTTGCTGGCAGAAGAGAATAGAAAGGCTGAAAAGGGTGAAATACCGCTCTCAGGGGCAGCATGGCCTGAGATGGCAACCAGGAAAGTTGACTCACACCAAACTCTAATTAGTGCTGATGCTGCAATTGCAGAGAAGGGGTGGCAGAGATTGTCCATCCCTTCCCTATTTGTTGTGTGCAAAGAGTTCATGGGCAAGGTGTTCTATCTGTGAACCACGGCATTGTAGTGACCTTGGATTCCAGGAAGCAGTTCACAGCTGATCCTATATCTGTCTGCATCAGATTTCTGATAAGAAAGAAAATCCCCCACAGTGCTTAAATGCAACAACGAATTTCCTGAGTGCCCCCACACATGGCCTTGGAGTGGCTAATGCTGCTGCATCTGTATGGGAAATGAGCAGCTGAGTCTGGGCAGAATCCACTGCTGTTGTACATGCACAGAATTCCTATGAAGAAGCACCTGAATTAGTGGGAAATTTAATTTCCTCAATTAAACCTGGAAGTTAAAGTTCAGCCAGGAATTGTTCTTAACAGACTAAGGTTGCTGTTGCTGCACGTTAAAACACAGTAAATTTAGAATAGCACCCCTGAGTTAATTCACCTTCTAAATAAAGCACTTTGTATCCAGTAGTATAAAATGTAGCCACAGGATGCTGATTTACAGAAGTGAAGCCTTGATGGCTTAGGGATGTAGGGGTAGTTTGCTATTTTATTGTTTCTTACCTAGATCCAACATAGCAACTTCCTAAATACCAAGGTAACCACCTGTCAAGTACTGGAATTCTTTTTGCAATGGGTTCATAGGCAAGAAAACAAAATTAAGGTGTCTCGCCCTCCCCAGAGGGCCTTGAGAGTAGAAGTGCACTTCTTTTGAGATTTCCTTCACCTTCTGCCATTCTGTGAGTGCTGCCCTTGGCTCCCAATAGCTGACATGATGATAAATTTTAAGTCATCAGTAAATTTTCACTCATCAATATCTGAAAGCACATGTGAAACCCCACTTTCCTGTCTGGCTAAAAAGAAACAAAGTTAAAGCATTAGCCAAGCTGTAATCCAGGGAAGTTTCTAGTGTGGGCAGCTAAGTAGAGGATTGACTTAGGGAATTCAAAGTGTCCAAACAAAGTGTAAGAGAAGCTCTGCAGTTATGGAACGTATATTCCATAAAAATTGTTATTGCCATAGTTGTTCTTTCTCCATCTGCAGCGCTTCTGTGGTGAGCTTTAGACTTATCTGCATGCTGCAGAGAAAACAATAATTTTGGCAAACTCATTTAACTGTATCTGGCTTTAAAAGCATCTATTAAAAGTGATTTCTGGCAGTTTGACACAGCCCCCTTTCCTTTATTATTTTATTTTAAAATTGTCTCTGTATTTTCTCTATATTTTGTGAGAAAACATTCCAGAGCAATTCTCATGCAGCAGTCGAATTTTGCAAATTCATAGATGGCCACTGCAAACCATGGAGCATGCAAACCAGCAATGTCAAGGGTTATATTTGTCACAAAGTGGTTAGTAAGTGGTGGAAATGTTCCTGGCACTAATTTGATGGGGGATGAGATGGCAGACGGGTTGTTTCTGGCATGGTGAAAAAGGGCAGTTCCTGTATTGCCACAAAGCAACCATCTGGTGAGATCTGCTGTGTCAGGAAGCCCTTGGCCAGCTGAACACGCAGTCGTTTGGAGTTAAACACCTATTTTTTCTCTCCATATGCTAGGAGGCACTGTGTGTTTGGGGCATTCATCTCAGGACAGGAAGATGGGAGGGCACAGGCCGTGGGGGGAGTTCCCTCAGTCCTTGCCTGCTAGTCTGAGATATCTGTGCATGGTCTGGTTACTGTTTGCAGATGTCCCATCACATCAAACACTGTGACTTAGTCCCACTATTGACATCTCTCAGATCAGAGGCCAAGCTGAAATCAGAGTAGACTTTGGATTTGTTTTTTTTGGTTTTTTTTTTTATTTTAAGGTTGTGGGTGTGATGAAAGTGATAAAGATTTTGCCTTTGTTTCTATTATAAATGGAATGTCTGGCATGATTATCATTATCTAGTTTATTTGAAATATAACTTGAAATTCCTTTTACTATTTGATTAATAGCATTGCCTTAATATCTTCCAAGTTTTCACTAAGCCCTGTGCTTTTAATGTGACATTCCCAGGAAACAGGAGGCATCTTCTGTCAGAAGACAGGAAATATGAAGTGATTAAATACATTTTATTGTTTTCTGTGAAACTGTGCCCAGTTTCTCCCTCTTAATGTGGGCAGATGGAATTTTCAAGAGTTTTTGCTGTTATACTGAAGAGATTCAAGACTCATTTTTACATATAATATTTGTGTATGCATAAAAATCTTAACACCCTCCCCCCAAAGTTTACTTAGTTTTAGACGACAAATAATAAATTATTTATTTCTTGCTGAAATGTCATCTTAAAAAAACAGCTTGATTTGCTTTGTGAAAATAAGTATCAAGATGAACTTCAGTTAGCCCACACAGCCTAGCAAACAAGAAGGCATAAAGCTCTTGGTGGCCTGGGGTTATGTTGTGAGGCTCCGTGGGTCACACCAAGCCTCTGGCAGGCTCACACTGCAGTGATTTACCAGCGGGAAAATGACTGAAATATCCAGGCAGAAACTGTGGAGAAGGAAGCGTCTTGCAAGTGGGAATGAAAAGAAACATCTACACGTTGCTTGGCAATGGAATCTGTTTTGTTAGTCTGCTGGGGAAAAGCAAATCGTGACTTCATATAGACAGAATTTCCTGGGGAAAAGAATGCTGGACCTAAAAAGAAAAAGGATTGAATTTCATTATTCAGAGTATATGGATAAAGGTTACTGTGTCAGATGACAAATGATCGTTTAGGCTGGGATTCATTACGGATTATGATCATTCCCATCTATGCAAGTGAGCTTATTTCCAGTTTACGGATGTTGCCATGTTCTAGAAACATGAATTTTGTTGCTGATCACAGAAAGATCTTGGAATATAGGTGACGGAGCCTTGTATGATGTGAAGTTTGGATAATAGAGAGTTTAAGTTAACCTTTGCAGCTATAAGGCATAAGGCACAGAAGAGATGTTTTAATCTGAAAACATGTAGATTACAATCAAATGAGTGGTGATATTTAACCACAAACTGTCAGGCTGGGATGCAGCATGGCTATGTCCAGAAAGCTGAAATGGATTAAAGAACAGAAAGACCATGCTTTAGAGTATAGCAAAAAAGTGTGCTCCTTGCCAGTGTGTGCAACAGCAAGAAATATATGAAATCTAGTTGATTAATCACCTTGATTTTAATTTTATTTTTCAAAAGACCTTGCTTGATGTGCCAGTTTGATTAAATACATTAATTGCTTGTGGTTTGCAGTGTTTCCTGAGTGGAAAATGCCTTCCTGTTCATTGTGCCATCCAGCTCTTAGATTCTGAGTGCCATGGAATCAAACTCGTGTGTGTACTTATCCCTTGTGGGTTGATTTGCAGGTGATGACACAATGACAGGAGATGGAGGGGAGTACCTTAGGCCAGAAGACCTCCGGGAGCTGGGAGATGACTCTTTGCCAAGCAGCCAGTTCTTAGATGGAATGAACTACCTGAGGTACAGCTTGGAAGGAGGACGCTCAGACAGGTATTTGCCCAGATATGGAACTTTTCTCATGGTACTTCTGCACTCATTTTGCTCTAAGTGTGTGAAATCCCTTTGCTGGGTCTCTGCTTGGGGTGCACTGGTGAGCATTTGTTTACTCGGTGTGTTAGTGTGGCAGTCACCACTTGGCAGGAGGAAGGGGTGGTCACCCTCATCTCCTGCGGCCACGAGTCAGGGGATGGGTGGACAGGGGCTTTGAGATCTGGTGAGCTGACTTTTTGGAGTGGTTTGCTGGCTCAAGATATCAGGAGAGGAGCAATGGACTTTCCAGGTCATTTTGCACTGGACTGGCAGTGAGGGTATTGTCTGCAAGCACCTCCAATCTTTCTGGTTCCTCATGGTAGAATTAGCAGGAAAGAGAATACTTGTCCTTCTACTGATACAACAATAACAATAATAAAATAGAAAAATTAGTTTGTTCAGTCCAGACAATGTACTGATTTGCTTATGCCTAAAGAGTTGAATTTAAGCTTAGATCTCTTTGTGGAATAATAATGCATGCAGCTTTGATTTAATTTTTCTTTTTCTGAGTGTCATTATATTCTACAAAAAATATGGAGCTCCCTTCCCAAAAGGAAAGATTTCATTAGTGAGCATAAGTGTAGGCTCAAGCTGGCAGATTAACCCCCACAGTTCTAGTTCAGAATAGCCACCCAGGCATTCCTGGGTGCAATCAGCACTGTTTCCAGACTCACTGCCTTTAGAACTGGGGTACACTAAAGGGAAGAAAAGAAAAAAAGTTGAAATCTTGGCAACAGAATTTCAAAGCTACCTCGTTTTCCAGTCTTGGTCGTTATCCTGGCAGCATTTCTGAAGCTCAGTGGAATCAGTAGGATCCGTTCTGTTTACTTGAGTAGGCTGGGAATTGCTTCTGGAACAAAAGATGTCAGGAAACAGTTTGGTTTGCCTCGCAGCATGTGTAAATCCCAGCATTCAGGTCCTGCAAGCCCAGAGTCTCTGTTGGTTTTTAGACAGTGAGTCCACTGAAAACAAAGAGACTGTGTGGCTTTTTAACGCTCAGAGGAAGTCTATGAACTACATCAGAATGCCTAAAATCAAAACCTTTCATTCTCTCAATGGTAGCAAAGTTTGGGAGTTTTTTAGGTTTTAAGATCTTGTATAGAAAAGATTGTGCAGGCAAGTGTTAAGCCAGTTTAAGTTAGGCTCCTATTTAGATTTTAGCTTTTAAATCTTGTCAGTGGATTTCAGTAGATTCTCACTGACATGTCACTGATATGGTTTCATTTGTATCATATGAAAATTATTTCAAATCCTGTATCAAGCAAAATTATACTCAAATGCAGCTAAATTCTAAAGGGAGAAATATTGAAAGAGGGACATCTTTCTAACTCCATGGCCTCATTTTCTGTCACATTCAGGTTACTGATTTTAAGAATTTTCAGAGACTGCTTCAGTTGTTTTGCATTTCCTTTTAATGTGATTTTCATTGCATTATGATGACTTTGGTTTTTCAGGAAATTCAGTAAAGCAAGATAGTATTAGCACTCTAGACTCATATGATCTTACACATTAAACAATTTGATTTACAAACATGTATTTTTCATTTGTAACCATCTTTCCGATTTATTTTATTTCTCTCTCCCCTTCATTTTTCTTTTCCATATGCTTTCATTAGCATCATGCCCAGGTAGGTATTACACAGCATGAGCACCTGTTGTCTCTATCTCCTCCTATGGCACCTGTCTCTGCTCATCCACTTTGGAAGCCTGCTGTATGCAGAAAGTTGAGTTGGAGAACCAAAGGAACAATGCTAATGTTGAGAAACATTTTTGACGTCCATTTTTACAGTGTTCAGTGACCCCAGGGTTTTTTCTGAGCTTCTGAAAGAACATATGTAAATATACACTTACATCTAAACAAGAGATAATGCTCAACCGGTCTAGAGCTCATTAGGTCTCTGTCTAGGCTGGGAAGTGAGCGTGCACTGCAAGTCCCTCAGTCAAGCAGAGTAGAAACTTGGCATGGAGATGCTAGTCCCACTTTCTGGATACCACTAGGGCCTTGATCAGGGCTTAGAGGTGGGTGGCATGTGCCTGTGCACACAGGCAAGACACACTCTTAGGTTCAGCAGCATTGCAGCATTCCTGGGTTCCGCAGGTCTGTCTCTGGAGCTGAGTGCTTTTGGTCCCACAGCCCTTCAGACTTGAGATTTATCAACCACATTTGAGAAGAATCTGCATTTAGGTGTTGGTCTTGTGTCTGATTTAGGCAGGCTTTTTTATGTTTCGTAGAATTCCTGAATGCTTATGGCAATAATAAACAGTAAGTCCCGTGCTCAGTCCCTGAGGGACTGTCATTTCAATCAGTACCTTTATTCCTAAGTCTGAGCAGCACAGACCTTTTAACTCCTGGTTTGCTCTTCATTGAGCTGGTCCAACACACAGATGGGGCAGTGACATCTGAGCTCTACTTTTGAAATTGAGTGTAGCAGGGAATTTATATATAATGTATATAACTATGTATTATACTATAATATATAATTGTACTATAACTACCTGCAGACCTCAGTCACTGATGTTCCTATCCTGTCTGCAGATGAAGCCCAGCTCATTTTGTATTTATTAGAGCTTATGGACAGGTACTACACAGTGAATAGCACTGGGCTACTTGTATTGCTGGTGGTAGCAGTGAGGATGGACAGGACCACCATAGGGATAACCAGCCAAATGCAGTTCAGGATTCCCTTCATTCAGTGTCTATCCAGGATGTGGTGTTAGCTGAATAGCAGAACCTACAGCTTGGATGGTGACTATCTCACGAGCATTGCATGGCTCAGCAGAGTGGTTCTGGAAGTGTCAAACATGGAAATGAATACAGGATAATGATGGCAAATGGGGTCTGCTACTGAAGCTTGTTCTTCAACCAAAGAAGAAGTGTTAAATTTCAGTTTGCTTTTTTTCAAGGCTTTCTGAAAGCTGTCTTTGCTTCCAGTTTTGTACAATCTACTTGGGATGCTGAACAGGCCGCTGGTATAAGCTAATGCTCAACAGCACTGATTATTCATCAATGCCATATATTTCTAATAAAAATAAGAAAACCGTTTGGTTCTATAAATGGATCAAAAATTACTGAGTGAGTGTAACTATTGTTAAAAAAAGGCTGTGGTCTGAATCAGATGATATGCACTTAAAGCATTTGAAACTCATGTCTGTAATGAACCCGTGACTCTTATTGCTAACTGCTGAAAATGAATTATCCCTTAAAACTCTGTGCATCTGGATAAATGGCCTATTGTTCTGATCCAGCATGTTAGTCATTATGAGCACTACTCACGGATGTGTAAGCCAGGAACACAAAACTGCTTCCTTCAGTTAGAGGTGCAGTATTCCTCAAGGTCTACATCAACATGACAGAGTACACACACAACATCTGAGGGTGGATGATCTGGTTTTTAAAATCACTGTTGTCATACTGCAGCTAGTGAACATAACAAGGACAAAACTCATGCTATTTGGTAGCAGAAACCCCATTTACCTCAATATGTCCTTCTGTGGTGTCGTATTTGTCTATTTTTTTTTTTTTTTTGCTTTTTGCTGGTGGATACTGTGGCTACATTCTGAGCCAGTGCTTGGAAGCAGCTTATTTACTGCCTTGCACCTCTCATTGCTACAGCAACCAGTGCTCTGTAGAGCTGTGTGTACTTACAGCGAGACCAGTGCTCACACTGGGGCTGTCTCCCTGCAGATGCTGTTGGCATGCACAGGAAGGTTCTGTTTTACACAGGAGCTTGTGGCTGGCCACACTTCACCTTGCTGTGTGTACCTTCCAGGGGACAATGTCAGGCTTACTGATTTACAGCTTAAGAGGAGAGAGTAAATCCCAGCAAAGCTTCAGAAAGAGTCATTCCAGCTTTTCTTCGGGATGGTAGCATCCTGGTTTTCCATAGCGGTTTGCTTGTGTGATGCAGCAGAGAAGTCCTCCAAAGAGCCTTAACAGAAATGAAAGGTCTTTGTTATGATGAAACCATCATGCCACGAAGCCAAATCTAAAGTACTTGTGAGTATAAAATAAACTGTCATCTAGATTGATCTCTAGGTTCTGCATTTGGGAGCAAATAGGTCAGTGCAAAGGCTTTGTGGCCGTGGTCAGACAGGTGCCACAACACAGGTGTGCAAAGCTGTGTTTCCCCTGACTGTGCTCTGCTGCCCCTGGAAGCTGCATGGTGTTGCTAATAGCACGCTTTTCTCATTCTCCCACTCTGTCATGACACCTTTGCAACATCCTGTGTGCTGCTGATGCATTGCTCTGGCATCCTACCAACCTCCCAGCCTGCGGTCCTTCAGTTCCGACAGGTCCCACACGCTGAGCCACGCCTCCTACCTGCGCGACAGCGCCATGATCGACGACACCGTGGTCATCCCCAGCCAGCAGGTGAGCAAACCTCTCCCAGCCCCTTCTTTTCTAGGCATTTTAATGGCATCCTGTGCTGTGCAGTATTTATTCCAAAATAAATGGATATGCTGAGCGAATGTAGCACAGGGACTGTGTTCTTAATGTTCTCTGTTTTAGCTGATGTTTGAATGTTGCTAATAGACATCGTGCTACACATTCAGGGGATGTAATGAACTCGTAGCCATTGTCCTGAAGGTACTGTCTTGAAACATGCTTGTAGTTAAAAAAAAGAGATTTAGGAAATGCCTTCTTAGTGAAATCACAGCATTCTTTCACTGAGACCACTAACATAGGATTACATTGGGGAAATACAAAGTGCTACAATAAGGGTTTCTAGTATCTTAATGCTATTAGTACTCCTTTGTTTTAAAAGAAAATGTTTAAATGCTTTAGGCACTGCTATGCAAAATACTTTTTTTTTTGTTCATTAATGGCTTTCATTGTAGTAAAATGGGGTTATTTTGCTTCCCAAGGTAACAACTCTGGCCAAAGAAGCTGAAAGGAATTCATATCGCTTAAGCTTGGGCCCTGAAATCTTGGACAATGTGGCTCTTTCTTCCAGCCCTATTCATTCAGGGTGAGTGCATCAACTAGCATTACACTACAAAATGAGAAACAGAGTACCTGCAGTGACACAAGCTTCAACTAATGCTTAACTAGGAGCTGTATTTTAATTCATTGCCTCCAGGAGCTGCCAATAAATTGTTATGATCTTTTAAGATCTGACAACCAAGCAGGCCTGAGTACCAAGACTATTCACTGAAATCATTGCAAGTCAGTGGGCCTTCAGTCAAGTACAAGGGGAATGAATGTGATAAATGACACATACACGCAGGCATTTGTGTGCATTTTATGGAGAAATAAGTACAATGCCTTTCAGAGTTAATAATAATTAACACCAAGTGCTTAATCACTCCAGATGGTCAGCACTTACTGTGCTGGTGGAGTAGTTGAGGTGAGCACCACCTCAGCTCCAAACAGCTCCAGTGTTTGCCTTCTAAATTACATAAATAGACAAACAACCTAAACATGATGTGTTTTGCACATATTTGACCACTGTCTTCATGTACAACTGACTCTTTGTAAGCATTTGCATTTAGGCAAACTCACTGTCAAGGCAGGTCAAAATGCAGGCCCAGCCAAGACCATATTTACAAACCTTATCCTGGCTGGCCTTAAAATCTGTGGCTGCATTTGTTTTAAATGCTCTTCCTTACTGGTTTAAGTAATTTCAGTCTTCACACTGAATTCTACATTTGTGTCCTGCCATCAGACTGGATGGGAAATGTGTAGGTGAATTCAGAAGAAAATGGAGTAATCAAAAAGCAGTTAGTCTCTGTGGGCTGTGTACACAGCATGACTGGACAGCACAAGGGGAAAGACTATTTTTGTCAATCCTGAATGAGTTTGCTGCTATTTTACAGTCTGTATTTTTAAAAAATAGCACTGAAGTCCCATTTGGAATGACAGGCAGTCCTGATCTAGAGGAGGGACAATACTGCCACATTGACTCACGTGACATAGATGAGAACATTGTTTGTTTGCTGATTGTAGGATAGTTGATTGTGACCAGCACTGTTTGGATTTGCTTCTCATGATCTCCAAAACTAACAAATGAAATGCAAATACTTAATATGTAAAGTGTGTGTCTGTTTATATATATTCTGGTATGAAAGCTTTAAAATTGCTTTGGTGCTTTACTCTAACCCTGGAGAGCTTACAGGTTTTTCCAAAGGATGTGTTAATTTGCCTTTTCTGAAAGGTAGGTCTTTTCTGTGATTGCTGAGGGTGAACCAAATGCTTTCTATAAGAGTGGCACTTATTTCTTGGATGTGCAATTATTTTGTTGTTTTCTTTTAAAAAGTATGAGTGATATATCCATCTTTTGAGATGATCAGGATGCTAGTGGTAGGATAAAACATGTGATTTTAGTAGGAGCAACACTCTCTGTAGCCTTATATGAAATAGTGAATTTTAACACAACACAAATTATGTTCTTCTTTCTATATACACACTAACCTGACACTAAATATTGTAATAAAGAAAGCTTTAATAACAATTCCTCAGCCTTTGAAAAAGACCATACAACGCTTCATTTTTATCTTGTTTAGATTGGTCTGAGTCATAATAAACTCTTGGGGTGCATCTGTTTAGTTAGGAAAGTACATTGACTACTAGAGTTTTGCTTCTAAGACCTTACTTTAAAAGCGAAGCAGTTGTAGAAGTTCATGATTGTTGCACTCACTCTGCTGGAACAACAAATGTATTTGTGATTCATAGCCCTGTTTTCAGCCATGCTCCTCTCCACATGCAAACACACACTGTTAGTGGGTTCTTATGAATCAGCAGCAGGGCTGACATTTAGGGCATGCAGTGAAGTAGTAGTTACATATCATGGAAGGAAACTCATAGAATTTTCAAAGAAACCCTAGATAAACACTGTCAGTGGTCCTACACAAGGGTGTGGCATTGGTTTTGCCCAAGATACTGAAAATGTGTTGAATTCAGATGGTGTTTTTGAGAAATAACACATCAGCAAGGTATTGGATGGTAATTTATTTGTTGCAGGTGTAGTAAGCTTGTGTTCTGTACAATCTGAGGAGAGAAATGACACTTTTCTCCACTCCAGTGGTGAACCCCAAATTGTTGTAGGGTTCTTACAGATCTCCCATTGTAGGGAAGTGGATCTTACCTGTGGATCACAGTGTAACAACCCCAGGCAAAGGGATAAATTCATAGGGAACTGTTCTCTCGATGTGGAACTCCACGTATTTCAGCCTTTGCATAACTAACTGAATCTTCCTCCATGTCTGAAATTTCAGAAGGGAAAGGTTTTAACCGTCCATTTAGCTTTTAAATATAACTGTTCCTTCAACATGTTGATAATTTCATCAGGAAGGAAGAAAAATTAAGTTCTTTGGGCAGAGTTTTTTGCAACCATTTTGAAACGCCAAAAATATTTCTCTCCTAAGAGATTGTGCTCTTGTGGGGCTAAAAATCTCAACATAAAGGTCTCCTGGTCATTTTACGCAGCTGACAGTTTCCAGATAGTTTTCTACTTCAGCTGAAGAAAAAAGTATGAATTCCTGCACTTAAACTCTCTTTCAAGCAAATCAGATTTTCTTCTTCTCATAAAACTACTTGATCTTACACATTGAGCAAAGTTAAGGATCTCTGAGAATGCCAAAAAGTTTGGGTGCCAAACATCCAATAAGATAGAGTTGTATGACTTTGCTGCTGATATTAGGGGATATAATTTATAATTTCCTGCTGTAATGTGGAAGACAGAACTAGGGCCTACATAAATGTAAATATGTTTCACAGTTTTAGGCTCATACCACACAATCTCCTATTGTGTATTTTATTAAGCTCGAAGGCAAAAAATAAGAGCACTGAACTGAAAGACTTGCAGCATTTAGACATTGCTTGGCAGTACCATATTTTTATCTCCCATAAGAATATGCATGAATGGTGAAGATAAGGGTAACTGTAAGATTTTAAAAGCATTAATGGTGTGCAAAACTATGTTGTTCTCTTAGCTGTGTTCTGGTGATACAGTGGAATCAGTTGTATAGATTTATATTTCTATGAATTTTCTTTCTCTACAGCTGAGTAGAGTCACAGCAGGTCAGAGAGCAAATCTGACATGTTGTCAGGATGGTGGCACTGTGAGGAAGGAGCTTTGGGTCCATGCTTTGATATCAGCTTGGTATTGTGCTCTAGAGCAAATATGCAGCAGCTCTGCAGGTTTTCCAACTCTGACTCACAGTAAAGCTCCTGTTTGATCACAGATCCTGATTTCTTTTATATAATTTGCTTAAGAAGTCCCTGTTTGACTAACGGATTGTCAGAGTGTGTCATTACTTATATCTTGATATTAATTATACAGTTGGGATTTTATTAGTGAGTTTATCTTGCTGGAAGTCATTGTTTCCATCTATGAAAAGATGAGGGATTGGGCAGCTCGTACTGTGACAAATAATGTGAATTATCATTCTTAGCTGCATGTCTGCAAAAAAGGAGGCTGGATCCTTGCTAACAAGGTAAACAAAATATATTTCAAGTGTTGTATTTTGAATCCATACTATGTTTTTCCCAATGTGAGATTGATTTCCTGGAAATCGTTATGGAAACAGGACCTGGCAGCGACCAGCTGATAGTCATTTCTTAAACCTGAAAGTCTAAATGATTTCAAATTGTTCTGCAGCTTTATGGCCTTTGTTCAGAAAGTTACAATGAGGAAAAAGAGTGAGTGTGTTTCATTAATAGCAAAGCATGTTAATGGAAGAAAATGGCAATGGACATCCATAAAATAAAAAAGGAAGTTGGAAAACTAATTGTCCATGTGACACTAAGTGATTACTGAGAGCCTAAACAGGTCAAAATGAGATTCTGAAATTTGTCATTTTGTAGAACAAAAGGAGGACAAGAAACATGTTGAAATGGAAGGAAGTGGAGGACAATGCATTGATAGAGTTTAAGAAAAGAAAAACATGATTTATTGTGCTATCAGGAACGCTGGCTGGAATTGCTTTAGGTGCCTTAGCCTTTGTTATCCCACAGTCCACATTATAGATGTGGATAGCTAAAGCAAGCAGCATTTCCCCATGTCTGCTTCTGAGAGTTTTACTCGGAGTCCAGCTGTGCATTTTAGGTGTCTGGGCTCCAGTGTGAGAATGTCCAGAGAGAAATCCCTCCAGTTTCACTGCTGTACTGGTAGTGGCCACTTGGAACTGAGGCTGTTTATGCAGGCTTGTTTTCCATACTCACTTCAACCTTCCCACATGCGAGGAATATGCATATGTATGTATATGTTCATGTGTTTGCTTTAGAAATCTGTTTCATTTTTCCTGTATTTCATTTAACTCATTCTTTTTTTCCCCCTTTCTGTTCCTTTTTGATGTTAAACCATCTATTCTATTGCAGATGCTCTTCTCCATGTCTTGATCTTGACAACAGCAGGTGAACTTCTGCATAATTTCTTTCTTTCTTACATTGCACTTCTCACCCACCCTATTTATCCTCCCCTCTTACCTCACTTCAGGATGCTTTAGTGTTTTGATTGTGCCCATTAGCCAAGAGAAAAAAATCAACCTAACCAGCAGTAATAGTTATATATGGCATGACTCCTCTTATACAGTAAGTGTCCACTTTCTCCATCTGCTTCGGCATCTATAACAAAACCATTCTGGAATTGTTAATAAGCCCACTGCAAAAAGTCTTAACAAAGCTCCTTATACCATTCTAGCTTGTTTTAACCATTGATGTGTTTAACCATACCTTTTCTTTGGTGGTGGTGTGGTTTAATATTCATATTTAAAGAAGCAGTCCCTGCCCAGATAATTCAACACAAACCACTGTAATTATTGTATTAGTAAGTGGGCCTTTTATCTCACTCATCTGTATAAAGAATATTGCAGAGCCACTCTCTAAGCCACATTTCCAAATTGTACCCCACTACATTTGAACTAGTAGAATAACAGCCCACCTTAGTATATCTTATTTTTTATGCCACACATATTTTTTGTGTGGTGGTTAGTCAGTGCTTGAACCACTGGCACATTACATTCTGCACAGAACACCTGAAGCTGAACCATCCCAAAGGAGATTATCCTCCCTTGGCAAAATAAGTGCTAATTGGCACAGTACCTGTTCACCTCCTTCAGCCTAGCCCTAGAAAGGTGAAAATTGCCTTAAATATTAAGCTCTGCAAAATTATAAAGTGGCTAATTAAATGCCCAAACTACAGGTCCATTTTCTTAGGTCATGTCGCTGAGTTTCTCAGCAGCTGACTAATGCAGTGAAGAGAACGATGTCAGAAGTTAATATTGTAGAGGTTTCCTATGTTAGGATCATGTTTTTTGTCCTCCTGGAATGTGAATTTTGCCTTGTTTCTGGATGGCACAGTTACAGCCTGCTGGAAAGCACTCGGAGGTAGTTGAATGACTTTGCTGTTGACTTCAGTGGGAGCTGGATCAAGGCCTTTTTTCTGAGTTTCAGCCTCTCTCCGGTTTCCTTCTCCCGCTGAACACTTTCCAATGGCTGAAGCACCCTGATTGTTTGTTTCTGCTTCTTCACACTGCGACTAACACTGAATGCTGCTATCTCCTTGTTTCCCAGTTTCTTTTATAAATTGACATAATGTGTGCTGAGAAGTTTTTGACTGTGTCTACACCGGGTGTGCTCTGGTTGGAGCTTTGTTCCCTGCTATCTGCTGAGCGCATGTGTGCCTGCCCAGCTGCTTGGGAAGAGCAACCGCACCCGAGCCCAACGTATGGAAGTGGTGGTGGAGACTTTGTCTAGCTTGGTCTGTGTGTTCCAAGAGCTGTTGCCTGTCCTAGAAAGCCCCCTCACCTGCTGGGTTTGCATGGCTCTCCCGATGACTCTGCAGAATGAGTGCCCCCACGCTTGAAACTCTGCCTCTGCGAAGCTCTGGAGCAACAGGGACTCCTCACAAAGCACACAAGCGGCTTCCTTCACTCCCTCCAGCACTGACACGTCCAATTTCCAGTGTCTTTGTTCATCCTGCTGTTATCTTTCACATGAGGATAGATACAGAATAAACACAAGTTAATTCTATATGAATAAAATCAGCAAAGGGAATAACTCACACTCACATCTAAAATACAAATATTTCATGAAAATACACCCCAACTTTTTGCCCCTTCTGTTCAATGTGTATATTTTGTCTGTGTTTTGATCAAGTACAAACCCTGAGACCTGCTTGCTCTGCTTTCTGTAGAAGGTGTGGAAGCAGCCTGAAGGATTTAGGGCCCTTTTGTGTGTGTAGTCAACCCCAAGGCCACGACAGCCAGTGTTATTCGATATATCTCTAATATGGCAAGCATGTAGTTCTTAATTGCTCCAAAGCTGGAGAGGATGAAATGGCCTCTCTAGTTCATAGCTAAGATTGCTAAATTGAGAAAGAATGGATGATGTTTGAGCTGACTGCTGTGTGTTTAACGAAGCGCGTATAGACTCCCCTGCAGTCTGGAACTGATTCCTATAAGAGAACTGCTTTTGTACTTTATCTTCTCTTTAGAAAAATAATTTTGATTTTCGCTTCTCTTTAAAAGAGAGAAGGCAATGATGTCCCCAAACCCGATTTGTTTCCCCAGTCTGGCTTTTATATCGTACTACCACCTTGCCAGAGCTCAGGAAATCTCAGTATTGATCCAATTTTCAAGACTGCCAGGGTCACATATTTCTGTCATGTTTAATTTCTAACAGAACCTTTAAAACTAAAAATGAAACTTACTCAAAGGCTGTCTTAGTACTGAGAAAGATGCAGCTTTAACCTGCAGTCTGCTTTGACTTTGAGTCATCACTTAATTGAATTTTAAGTTAAAGTTCATTTAATCCCTTTTCTTATCTGGGTTTTTCTTTCTTTTTTCCCTCCTCTTGAACTCTTTTCTGCCATCTGTGTTTTTCTTTAATGATCCCTCTCCCCTTTATTCTGTGTACATACAGTGACAGTGCTGATAGTGCTGTAGTAGTGCTCCATGCAGCTGGAACATGGAGCAAGGTCTGAGTTTGCTGCTTAGCTTTAGGGAGTGTATGGAATGTTCAGGTTATTCACGTGCTACTGTTATGCACTGGTTTCTTTTTGACCTTGGGAATTTAGCATGATAAGGTATCCCTTCCCAGAGTGATGGCTTCATCTGCCATTTATCCCTGCTAGTGTTTTTATGTTGAGCGCAATCTCTTCCTCTCAGTCACGTCACTTAACAACACTTGGTAACAGAGGTGGAAGAGGGAAAATAATATCTGTGTGCGTGGGCAACAAAATAATTAGTTTGAATTTTACATTTACTCTATGTTAGTCATACAAATCTTCTGCTTTCCTAAATGCACACTTCAGAAAGCATGTTTTATGTCATGCATTGGTTTTGTATGAATTATTTGTATATTGATAGACACACTCCTTCAAAAGGGAAAAGCTTTTCCGGTCCTGGAACAGCAGTGGCCCCATCCAGATGCCCTATTATGTGGCAAATAGGCAGAATAAGAGGCTGCTGTGATTCAGAAAAGGCTTTCTTGTGAATTATTTGCTTCAGTCTCTTGCATAGCCAAAATTAAGTGAAATGCGCAGATTAAAAAAAAAAAAGGATGAAAAAAAATTTGGATTAAATAAGTGTATGAAAAAATAAATGCAGTAAAAAAGATGGGAAAGAAGCAGAGTGAAATAGTGGAAAAGGATGTATTTTTACACTCTGTGTTTACAAACCCTGTGTTGGTGTTCTGTCCTTCCAGGATTATGGTACAGACCTAAAGCTTAGAATTTTCCCCTTCAGTTTCTTTCCTTTGCACTTCTATTCATGCTAGTTCTCCAAAATCTCCTTTCCAGCAATTCCATAGTAATCTATAGCTGGGCTTGGCTCCTCAACACTAACTATCCACATAGTTAATGTGATAATTGGCACCAATCTTTCTGTGCTGTCTGAATAACAACCTTAGATCTTTTTTATGATAGAAATAGCTGTTTTCACTGATAATAGTAATAATAATATCCTACTGGTTTTATCCTAGCACTGTTATCTTTGTTATCTTTGTGTCCACCTCCCAGTGAGACTTACCTCTGCCTGTTTTTCCACTCCTTGGAGCTGTGGTTGTTCCAGTGAGAGAGGGCTGAAGTGAGATAGACTTTGTGATAGATTTACTGACCCACCAGGCACATTCAGTAAACTCAAACTGAAGGAAGGAGGTGCAACCATGCTAAAAAAAGAGCCCCCAAGGGTCAGTCAGAAGGCAGATGACTTGGTTTGGATCCTCACCTTTGGTGTGTTTGTATTCTAGCATTGAGCAGTGGGTTTGGCATTGCTGAGGCAAGTAGGGAGATAAGCTAAGGAGAACCTGGGACAGCAGGTGACCCAGCACTAATATTTTAGTGATGGACAGCAAAAAAAGGTGATCCTCGTGTTAAAGAATGCAATCCTGAGTATTATGTCAATAATGAAAATAACAGAATCCTAAATATTGTGTTTATGACAGCTTGCACGATGAGAAATGTGAATGCTGCTTTCATTCAGTCAGAGCTCTCATTAGCTTCTGGGAGTTGTGGGGGAGTGTTTGTGCTGCTCTTAGCAGTAACTTTAAAATGAGAACCTCTTCTTCCAGCAGTGCCATTGGCTGCCTCAAACACACCCATTGTACTGGAGACTTGGACACGTTCTCTGAAACATCACACCGAACCGTTTTGATAACACCACTTCATGTACTTCAGGGGCAATTGCAGCGCAAGCCGAGAGCATTAGCGCAGCAATTGAGCATTTAGTGTCTCTTAAGCTCTTCTTTCATCTGTGCTCTAATGTGTACAAAGAATGTATTTTGTGAAGGAAGCTCCCATTTTTCTCAACAAATCCCCAGACAATGGAAGCTGTAAAATGTTTTCATTTTCTTTTTTTCCCCCTTGTTAAAACCACAGAAACACCAACCTCTAAGGAATGAGCTAATGGTTGTACTACCCAGAGTTTTACCCTAAGCAAAGCCTAGAGGTATCTGAATGGCAGTAGACTAGGAGCCTGCATGTGTGAGACAGACTGGCATCCGTGGTGCATGGTGTGCTTCCGACTGGCGCTTGTGGCTCCTTCCCATCGTCCATCTCTGACCTGCACGGTGTGTCGAGTGTTGTGTTTTTACAGCATGTGGAATTCTTGTAGCTGTGTGGACAATGAATGGATGCAATGTTTGTTGCACAGAACGGTCAAGGGGGCACTGGAAAAATCCCTGTATTTGTTACTCCTGTTATAAGGGCTTTTCTCTATTGCAGGTCCTTCAGTAGCATTTCTGCGACTCCCCATTGTGCTGGTTCTATATTAGTGGCTAGAAGTAGGCCTGACACCGTTCTGTCTCATCTACTCTTATTTTCACTTCCAGCAACCTGGCATTACCATCCCACATCAGGCATGATCCTGTAATCAAACAGTAAAAAAAAAAAAAAAAGAAAATTGGAAGTAGTTCTATACCTTTCCAAAAAATGTCCCCAGTTTGTCAAAACAGATCTGTTGGTATATGTGGAACTACAAAAAATTCAGCACAAGAGAATTTCCAAACAAAATGAAATGTTTTTCTCCCTTTTAAAGAAAAAGGAATCAATTATTTACCTTGTGCTAGAAGTAAGCTCCCTGTAGATGGCTTTCTGCATCTCTAAGTTTTCCCATTGTATGTGCAAGGTATCCCTTGCTGTGCAAGGTGACAGAAAACCCAAAATCCATAAATAAACCTTTTATATAGTGACTCTAGCTCTTCTCATCTGACCAAACCACAAATTTGCCTTCAAACCATAACAACATGCTGGAGTTTTTAATATAAATAGGTGATAATCCCTCTGATGGAGCATGAATTTTATTCATGCATTCCAGAATGAAATTTGATTATTTTTTTTCTAAGAAATTATAGTTTATCAAATAACTAAAAAATTATATTGAGAATCTAACAAAAAAAAAAAAAAAACAAAAAAACAAAAACAACACCTAAAAAACCTGAGCCATTCCATCAGAATTGGCTTTATATTTATGAATCATAAATAATTTTTTTCAATAAGATGTATTTGCTTGTGAAGTATTTAAAGAGTGCCAGCTTTAAATACAGCTTCTTGCAGGTACAGAGTAGTGATATTTGCACTTTGCAGCAGCTACAGGTGTTCACATTTATTAATGTCTGCTGGTATTTTACCAACAGCAGCCCTGTGACATGAGACTTTCTGTGAAGAACTATTGGGTAGCAGTTGCCAGTTTAATTAATAATGAACTCAGCATGATTTGGTGCTTCACGTGGGAGAAAGGCTTTTTCTCATTGTACCTCTTGAGCAAGAGCTCTGTTTACATACGTCGTTTGTACGTATGTGGAACGTAACCGAGGGAGCTGGTGGCGTGCTCTGGATCTCACTGTCTGCCCTGATTTTGCAGCTTCCTGGTGAGTTTCATGGTGGACGCTCGCGGCGGCGCCATGCGGGGCTGCCGGCACAACGGGCTGCGCATCATCATCCCCCCGCGCAAGTGCACGGCGCCGACGCGCGTGACGTGCCGCCTGGTGAAGCGCCACAGGCTGGCCACCATGCCGCCCATGGTGGAGGGAGAAGGGCTGGCCAGCCGCCTCATCGAAGTGGGACCCTCTGGGGCTCAGTTCCTTGGGTAAGGGGGGCCACGTGGCCCGAAGGGAAACCTTCAGCCTGTTCCTGTGTTTGCACTGAAATGGTTCCTTTGGCAAACTTGAACTGGGAAGGATCTGTGTAGCGTGCGGTAGCAAGCAGTGCAGCTGTCGGGGATCGAGTCGCAAAGCTTTCACACTTTTTGTTCAACACGGGTGTTTCAAACATCAGCGCTGTGGTTAATGTGCTTCCTTGGGTATAATTGTTGCTCAGTGTTGTGATATTAGAGTGGGAAAAGACTTTTGCAGCCAGAAAAGGCAGCTCATGCCATATTAAAAAAATTAATAGCACTGTGCTGATCTAACCCCCAAATGTGAAGCCTGCTACCTACACAACACAAGGTACAGAAGCTTCTTTTAGAGTCTTGGGTTGTGGTATCGCATATTTGGTCTATCTGGGAAGCACAGTGCTGTTGATTTTTCTGGGGTTGAAATTGCTAAATTAAACAGTAGGACAGCTCTGGATTTTCTTGGCCATTTCTTTCCTTCCTGTCCTGCAAAGCCCATAGAAAGATCAGATTTGTGTCTGCTGCTGAGCTCATTTTAGCAATATTCAGCTGAAAGCAGCAGTTATCTGCACTTTTGAAAATTAGTTTTACCAGCTATTCTCCCTATCAACTGTGACATCCAAAAGTGGATGACTGAAGGAACCCCTTCCAATGCAGTAAGAAACTTCATTCAGAAACTGTAAAAAAGTGGCTGGAAACACCAATAGTTTAAATCCATTTGGAAACAACTCAGTTGCTTTAAAATCCATTTATAACGGGCAGTCATCAGAGTCACCATCTTTGTTAGTGCTACCACTTATTCTTTTCACATCTTGGTCATTTCTGAAAAGAAGGAGAAAGAAATGTAAAGAGCGGAAGAAATACTGTGCTGTCACATTCAGTCTTCCCATTATCTTTGTCACACACAAATGGATTTTAAGTATGTCTCCCATTCTTTTTTAATGGTTTTCCTATCTGATGAGAGTGGCTCCCCTGCAAGACAGGCATATAGTGTAGTTTATTCATTCTCAGACCTTTGTGCCCTTCCTGGAAGAGTTTTCCAAGGTGTTGTGCTGGCAGTGAGATCAGAAAATCACTGTGCTGTTTGCAGGGGTGCATTCTAAGGTCCAGATCCTGCTCCCTTTGAGTACATGGCCAAAACCCCCAAGAAAGAAAAGATCCTAAATTAACAAATCTGATTTTCTGATTTGTGTCACCAAATTGTCGTAGCTAGGACGGAACCTTATTCAGTGTACAGCCTAATTCCACTCTGTGGACCAGACAGTGGCACTGGCATTCTGGCACAAAAAATACATAAAGTTTATTTATGTTCTTTCTTTCACTGCTGCTTTGGATGTACTCAGTAAACTTCATCTGCCTACGGCTCCTCCCCCACTTAATGAGGGAGAAAGCTTGGTCAGCCGAATCCTTCAGCTGGGGCCTCCTGGGACCAAATTCCTTGGGTAGGAGAGACTTGAAACAAATTGATGGATGCTGACCTCCCCATTCTTCTCCTCCTTCTGCAATATGATTTTTTTATGTCATTATGCCCATGATATTGTCCCTTTCTATCATTTGAAATTTTGTACACTTAACCCTTAGTGGACCATTTTTCAACCTTTGTGGTTTGTGGTTTTGTTTTGGTGGTATGTTTGTATCTTTTTCTTCAAGTACTGTGGCCTTCATTTTTGTTTTGGCATGAAATCTTCCTAGTTCTGTGCTTGATGTCTGTAGCAAAGCAACCTGGATTGGGACCACAACAAAAAAAAAAAGAAAAAAAAGAAGAATCTACTGTAAATTTTAAACTCTTTTTTTGTATCAAGGACTGATCAGTCAGTAAGTTGTATGTTGGATACCACCAGTGTGATAGAGCACATGGCATTTACTTCCTACCTGGTAACCTGTGTGAGTCCTCTAATTAGAGAAGTGTATCTACTAATATCTTTATATCTTCTCTCTTATTTCTAAGAGTATGTATGTATATGTATATCTCAATACAGATATATTATATGTACACATATGTGTTGTATATGTGTGTGTGTATATATATATATGAGTGCATATGCTGGTGCAGATGTTGACTTTCAAGGCAACAAGGCAAATTCTTCTCTCTTATACTGCAGTAGTAACCCAATCAATCTCCTCAGACTTCCTGTATCTCTCCCAGGGTGTAAATCAGGAATAAATTCATTGGAATATATAGAATTACAAAGTGAAATTGGCACAGGACACAATTGCCTCCGGATTGCAATGAAATTATTCTGATTTGCACTAGTATAAGTGAGATCAGAATTTGTCCCACTATTCCTATACATTACAGTAGATTCTCTTTGAAATGAAGTTGCACAGGTTAACCCAGACAGTAGTGAGAAATAAAATGAGCATGAGTTTTTGATGGATTTGCAAAAACAATCACCAAATTTCCAGATAAGCACTATTACCTTACCAAATCTCATTCATTCACACTGTGGAAAGAGGTGAATGCACTTTTTCATCTGTCCTTCAGCACTTATTGGGTCCCTGTAACAATCTAGTCTGTGTTAGTGACCTACTAGTTTAGGATTATGCCAAACTATTCCAGCCAAATAGGTAGAATTCCAGGTCACTTTGTAGCAGACAGAATAGAGTTGCTGTTAATCCTGTTTCTTCCTCTCTCCCGTGTGCCTTTAATGCGCTGTGTTGCTGTGCCAGGCCCGTGATTGTGGAGATTCCCCATTTTGCTGCCCTGCGTGGCAAGGAGAGAGAGCTGGTGATCCTGCGCAGCGAGAACGGGGACAGCTGGAAGGAGCATTTCTGTGAATACACTGAGGATGAACTGAACGAAATCCTGAATGGGATGGATGAAGGTATCCAGTGGCACTTGGTTTCTTACCCTGCTCCCGTGTTCCTTCTGTACCCTGGCTGTAGCAGCTTTTACCATGGTGCTCACTTCCTTTGCATGGGCTGCTGAAGCAGCGGGGCAGGATGTCTCCCTTCATGAAGCTGACAATAGACTCCAGACTTGTGTTTTCTCCTGTTCCTTCTTGTAGTGTTAAACAAAAAGCTTCCATAGCAAACAGCTCTCCAAAACAAGTCAATTATCATACTGATCCTTTTGGAGCAGCTCCGTGTGTGGGAGGAAATGTCAGTCATGGGTACTCTTGCTTTCTGAGAGAACAGAATGGCCTCGGGCTGTCTAGGAGCTGCAAAAGTTGTTATTAATTTGTTGGGTTTTTTTTCAAAAAACCTCAGAAATCCCAAAGTAAACAAGACAACTCACAGCATTAAAAGTGAACTCATATTTTGATAGTGTTTTGAAGTTTTGTTTCATTGATGCTGGAACCAATCCCTTTGCTTGTTTGGCTGCTGATTTTGAGGTGTTGCCAGTGCCTTCAGTTCATGGCTTAATCTGTCTGCCTGTTCTTTCTGGATTGCTCTGGTTTAGCCGAACACAGGGGTGTGTTTCCTTTTCCCGTTATTTCTAGACAGAATACTTTGTGTAAGTTGCACAAAATGTGAAAAGCTTGAGTGCGTTTTGAAGGTGGCTATACTGTTTCTATGAAACTCCATCCCCTCTTCTGCCCTCAGTACTTGACACTCCAGAGGAGCTCGAGAAGAAGCGCATCTGCCGCATCATCACCCGGGATTTCCCTCAGTACTTCGCGGTGGTGTCCCGGATCAAGCAGGACAGCAACCTCATCGGGCCCGAGGGAGGGGTGCTGAGCAGCACCGTGGTCCCACAGGTGCAGGCAGTCTTCCCAGAAGGAGCGCTCACCAAACGAATTCGCGTTGGCCTCCAGGTACAGTGAAGCATTCACAGAGTTTTGGTTTTATTTTTGGTGACAAATCACCTTGTTTGAATGGACAACCAGCATATCCAGCTTGTTGTGTTGTATGTTCTCTGCAACACTTCTAGTAAAAGCAATAAAAGAAAAAAATCCATGCAAAAGTCAAAGTGGTAAAGCATTGGGTTTTCCAGTCAGTTCAGAGTGTTGTCTATTGTCTGTATAACTTTGGGAAGAAATTTTGGTGATGATGCTGATATTAGTGTAGGTCATAGAATTTCCTAAATATAGAGTGTTGTCTATTAACTGTCTTTTGGGAAGAAATTTGGTGATGATGCTGATATTAGTGTAGGTCACAGAATTTGCTAAATACTTCTTATGAAAGGCATCAGAGAAGTACAAAGTGCTGTATATAATTAAACATGCTAAACTATTATTAAATGTACAGATTTTCAGTGTGAATGGACCAGTATAACAATTCATTTCCCACAGAGAGGGAAGTCTTTCCTCTGTCTCCATCCTATCGTGCTGCTGCATGCATCCATGATTTACCTTGTCCAGGAAACTGTGGTTGTTTAAATCTCCTGGCACTAGCTGAATAGCACTGTAAAACAGCCCGAGTTTGTTCTCAGGGGAAAAAAGTAACCAGGTTATCGTTTGGTACTGGTTAAGTGAATTTAAATTAATGCTGTAAAAATCTGATAAGCAACAAGAAAGGAGATAGGAAGAAGAGGCAGGCATGGGAAAGTTAAAGAAGTGAGGTCTCCCCTTCTCACTGGCAATCAATTCTTCTATCTGCAGATTTTCATGGGAAATTGTGCTATTTGAAAAGTTAAGGGGTTTGTGGGCAATACACAGATCCAGCTCTTTACACATCATTAAACTGTTTTCAAGTAACTGCTCTGTTATTTCCTGTTGCTGTGGAAAGGCTCAACCTATGCACACTGAACTTACAAAGAAGATTTTGGGCAACAAGGCTACCTTCAGTCCCATAGTCACTCTGGAGCCCAGGAGAAGGAAATTCCACAAGCCCATCACGATGACGATTCCCGTGCCCAAGGCCTCCAGCGACGGGCTCATGAACGGCTACGGAGGCGACACGCCCACTCTAAGGTTACTATGCAGCATAACAGGTAGGATGCCAGTCCTGGAGCTCTCCGTGTGCTTCCTGAAACTGTCAGTCCCTGTGGCTGGAAAGGCTGAACTGATTACACCCAGGGAAAGCTGAATGGGAATCTGACTGGGCTAGAAGCTGTGAAAATAAGCTGCTTTCCAAACAATTCCTTTACACCAGAAACAACAGTTGTTGTTTGCACTAACAAGAGATGTGTAATATAATCACAGGCTTGGGGTTTGGTCGTTTTTTTGCATTTTCCTTACAGTTTGTTTCTTGAGAACCAACATACCTCTGCCTGGCAGAGTAAGTGTTCCACAGACTTACTGTTGCAGTATACTTAGGAGGAAAATACTGGAGTTAAACCCTTGACTTGCCATGGTTCCAAAGTGATTAGCATCTCCTTCAGTCTCCCTTAAGACAGAAATGAGCTGCAAGTGTTTAATTAATTCATTTAATCCTGTGCTACATCACTTAAAAAGCATTTGGGTACTTGGTATTTTCAGGATAAGCCCATCCAGTCCTACTAGCATCAGTGGAATACCGTAGACCCGAGGAGAAATTATACCTGGGCTTATTACTTGTTTCACGGCAATTAAAAACTGTAAAGAATTTCTTAGAAGCAAAAAAGTGGCAGACTTACTGGTTTTGATTTTATTTTTAAACCTCTGTCATTTCAGGAGGAACCACCCCTGCCCAATGGGAAGACATCACTGGGACAACACCACTGACATTTGTTAATGAATGTGTTTCCTTCACGACAAATGTGTCTGCCAGGTACCTACACAACCAAACTGCACTTTTACAGGAATTCTATCAAATACATGCCTTTGTTCCACAAATATTTCTGTTAAATGATTTTAGTTTGGAGAGTAGAATGAACAGAGATATTGATTATTATTCAAATTTCCATGGAAACAGAAATCCTTTATTTGGGTACCTCACTATACATCTTGTAAGAGGCATTACTTGTGGAATATCCCAAACTGAGAAGTCAGGCAGAAACCGACTCCAGGTGTGCCAAACTGGGGTCTAGAAGCATCTCTTCCATACACCTGTTCTTGTGAGGAGATTTAACTGCTCTCTTACTGAAAGCAGGTTTTCATTAAAAAAAGAGAGTAATATATATGAATGCACGTATGTATTTTAGTTTGTGTCCATGATGCATATCACAGCAATGCCCAAAAATCTCCTCCTCTGTAACAGGAGATGCAATCTGTGACCTGGAAAATATTTCATCTAGGCTCTGTGCTTCAGCAAACAGTTTAAAAAATCATGGATAACTTGCCCATGAAATTCAGCACAAACATTCAGTATCTGGGGCAGTTATTGCTGTTAATTCGGTTTGTTATTTATTGAAAGAGTATTCAGTGTTGAAATGAGATCAGCTCTTGCAGTCCAAGTCCATATTAACATGAGGTGAAATAAAGCATTAGTTTTTTATCCTTTCTCAGTTCAGAACAGGCTGTTTTCCTGCTGCTGCTTTGCTGATGCACGTTTCAGTTTGGTGTAACTGAAGATTGCACCGCAGCAGCAGTGGCCACAAGAGGGGGATCTGACAGTGCATTCAGCAGAGGTCTGTGCAAAGGCAGCACTTAAAGGCTAATTTAGGAACCACCTTGGAAACAAGACACAGAGTTTGAGAGGTCCAAATCCCAAAAACTGTCAAGTCCCCAGCAGCAGGGGACCACACGGGATAGCCAGAATGAGGGTGACACTTTATGGCCCTACAGTTCTTATTTGTAGTAACTCTTCCTTAATTCTGATGATGATGTGAAAATTGATTACTATTGTTAATGGTCTGTGATACAGGCAGGGTCCCATGGAGAGATTTTAATGGGTTCTGCCTCTTCTTTTTAATCTAAATGAATGTTCCACTACCTACTTTGCCCCAAACAGGATTTGAAATGCTGGTACAGTTTAAAAAAGGGATTTTCCATCTAATTTCTGACTCTTTGCTAGTCACAGTAATTTTTTAATGTCTAGTTAAGCATTAATGATGGACAACAATTTTACCATTCATAAAACTAATTCTGTCCAAGATGAGCTTGGGAAAGAGATATATACTTGCCATGTGAATTACACTGAAGACTTGGGGACAGTGTTTGTTTTCCATTTCCTGAGCTGTAGGTTTTAAAAGACTTAATATCTGTTGGGGCTTTTTAGCCCCTGGTGGTTGACAGCAAATCACTGAAGCATCTGGTGGTTTCTCAGAGGATGTGGCCTCTCCAGTTGCAGTCCAGCACAGCATAGTTCTCCCACGCAGGAAAAGGAAAGGATCAGTGTGCAGAGCCTTTCTGTAGCACACATGCCTTCCCTCTTGCAGAAGTCAGCAGCCTGGGGCTTTGAGCAGCACGTTTGTTAAACATTCTTAAGATGAGCACAGCATGGAATTTGCTGTTCTTCAGCTGCAGATGAGTAAGTGCAGAGCAGCCACACTCCAAAGGTGTGCTTTGGGGTTATAATGTAGCCATGTAATCCACTGTGAGGAATAGCATCCCTATAGATCAGAGCAGCTTTTGAGCTGCCTCTGACCTCTCCTGACTTCCGCCTTCATCCGCCAGCTGGGAAACTTGAGCCTTCCACCCACACAGTGAATTTTATTGAAAAAAAATGGCATCAGCTCCAGAGAAACTCAAGTGGTAGCTGGGAAAGAAGGCAGGACGTGTTATTCCTTGGAAAATGCTTGGTGACTAAATTCACATAGGAATAATTTCTGATTTTGCATGCAGCTTTGCACAGTGGACAAAGTCATTTATGTTCACCTAAAGACCTCAGGTTTTGCTGTTGTATGTAAGGAATTGACTGCTCTTTCCTTTAAGCTGAGTGGGAGACAAAACCCAAAAGTGATGATGATTTTTCTGCTCCTCTGACTTGTTATCTCCCATTGCTCTGGTTTCCAGGTAATGCTGCCAGGATGGCAAAACACAGAATTTCCTTTCTTAAATCCTTCTCCGCTGATGGCACAACTCTTTATTTTGTTTTACAGGTTTTGGTTGATAGACTGTCGTCAGACACAAGAATCTGTTACTTTTGCTTCCCAAGTGTACAGAGAAATTATCTGTGTCCCCTACATGGCCAAATTTGTGGTGTTTGCCAAATCTCATGATCCCATTGAAGCACGGTTAAGATGTTTCTGCATGACAGATGACAAGGTGGATAAAACTCTAGAACAACAAGAAAACTTTGCTGAAGTTGCCAGAAGCAGGGACGTAGAGGTAGTGTGCAAGACTTTAAGTTTTCTCTATTTTCTAGTGTCTGCTTTTAAACTAGTATTTTCCACCTTCCCTCTGCCACGAGGACTGAAAAATAATCTGTCTACGAGTACTGTCACGATGCAGTGTCAACAGCCATGATAGGATGGAAACTTGGACTTGTGTCAGGTGTAAGGAAAAAGTAGTGAGGAAACCCTATTCCCAGAGGGCAACTGAGAGCTCAGCCCACAGGGCTAGAGGGAGAGGGTCAGAGCCAAAATTGATGGCTAAATCCTGGCTTCCAGCAGCCCCATAAATGCACATCACTAACCAGAAAGGCAGCTGGCAGGGGTCACAGTTTGTCAGCACGTTCACATACCAAGAGGTTCAAATAGCAGGTTTGATTAATATTCTGCTTTACAAAAATAAAATTACACTAAATCAGTTGCTGAGCAGGCAAAAGCTTTCCTATGTGGAATTCAGCAAACTGCCTGCTAAATGCAGTTTTTCTGGCTCTGTCAGCTTCCCTAGAAGGGATGACAAATTGAAGGTGCTTTAACTTACGTGGCACATTCTGCTTAGTTCTGTTTCTTTTCTGTGAGAATCCCACTTTAAAAGAATTGTCCTTGCTGTTCTTGAGGCTCTGACAGGCATCTCTTGTGCAGATCAGCAAGATAAAATAGGGGCTTATCAAACTGAATGACAAGGCTGAATTTTTGGAAAGTAAGGATGAGCCACAAATGGATTTGCAGTTTGAATGGAACATTTCCCAAACTGCTGATCTGATACTCAGACATGTGGAGGGGCCGTAACAGCCGCAATCTGAAGATACAAGTGGTGCCATTATAGAGAGATTTCAGAGGGGTATTTATCTGAGGCCTGCCTTTCAAAAGCTCTCAGCCTCTACAGATCCAGCTGAAATAAACAGTAGGACTCAGTAGGCCCACACTGAGTTCTGATGGTTGAAGAGAATATTTCTTTGACTGTGGTGATGAGGTTAGCAAACTATGCTAAAATTGGAGTCAATCGAAAATCAAAATTAAAATCTAGATTTAAGAGTTTGCCCGGATTTATGACACTGAGTAATCTACTGTTGTATTTAAAGTACTGCACTATTGTTACTAAATTAGCAATTTAGTCGCTTTGGAATTTAATACTCTGAAATGTTTCCACACATTTTAGGTCACTGTGCATAACAAATCTTGTAAATGCTGGCAAGTCTTAACAATTCCAGAAACTGATTTGTACTGTTGCAGAGCTATCCTTAGGAAGCAATCCTAATCACCTCATAAGGATTAATTGATGGTTTGCTTTTTTTCCTTTGCAACAGGTGTTAGAAGGAAAACCCATCTACGTTGACTGCTTTGGCAATCTGGTGCCACTCACAAAGAGTGGGCAGCATCATATATTCAGTTTCTTTGCCTTCAAAGAAAATAGACTTCCTCTGTTTGTTAAGGTAATGTTGCTGGCTCCTTTTCTGATATTTCAAGTTATCACTTCACCATATTTTTTGTGAACGAAGGAAAGCCAAACTACTTAATTTATATAAATTCCCAACTGGAACCTAATTTTATCCCTGCACTATTCCATTTGAAAAACTTTTTTTATGAGTAGGAAAATTTGTAAAATAAAAGCCAAAGTAAAAACCCTTCATTCCTCTCAAATTAAGTAACGTGTTAACCCACTGTGGTCAGAAGGGCTGCTGTCACCAAGCCACCACCACCACCTCTTCTAAGAGGGAGATTAGAGAGCACTGGAAACCTCTTCCACAAACTTTTCCTTCTACCCAGAAATTCCCACTACAAAGGAGGAAACTATTACCATTGTATAAATAACACTCTTAGAGAAATGATATATGAATGGAAACTTCCAGTAAGTGGAGAAAATCAACCCACATGGTCATTGTGTTATATTTGCTGTGTGCTGCTAGACAAATTTGAAACTTTCTCCCTCCTTACAACAATATTTTATGAGCTTGTTTTAATTTACAACTTTAGCTGTGCCACTGCCTTCCTTTGGCTTTGCAGATTTTCCCCCCTGCTGAGTTTTTCACCAACAACATTCAACATATATCGAATACACAAATACATCCGTACGTACATTTACAAACAGCAGGGGAAAAAGTGAAGACACATTATTTTTTCCCAGGTAGACTTTTTCTCCCCATCTGGTCCCTCCTGCTGGATAGTTTTTGAGAGACACAAGTAGGTCACACAGCAGAGCAGCGGGTTAAATGTGTGTGTTTTCACTGTGCCAGGTCCGAGATAGCACTCAAGAGCCCTGCGGACGATTATCGTTCATGAAGGAGCCAAAATCTACCAGAGGCCTCGTTCATCAAGCCATATGTAATTTAAACATCACTTTACCCATTTACACAAAGGTACTGTGAAATTATACCAGCTGTAGGCATCAGCATTATCATACAAACAGGAAATGAGGAGGAGGGCCAAACAGGGTTAAAGATTTGTGGGCAGGGGTTTGAAAGAGGAAAAAATTCCACGCAAGGGCTTTTGGTGTTTTGAGTTTGGTGCTCCTAATGCCAGTGTTTGAAGACATCATCAGGTATTTCCTGAGGACTCAGAAGAGATGAGTGGGAGTGCTCTCAGAGAGTAAACTCTTGTTTCCTTAGAACGTGTCAGTTTATGTTTATTCTCTGAAAACACAAAGGGTTTTTTTCTTTCCTGGTCAGATTAGAAGCTGCATGTCTTTTAGAGATGTATTTGCCCAAAATGATGGTCATTTTCTTCTCAGGATTTTTAGAATATAGTAAATCTTTATTATAGCATTTTAGCATAATTTTAAAACAGAGCATCTCAACATTTTTGTGACTTTAAATGGTAATAGTTCTTGAATATTTTAAGTGTTTATATAAGCTAATTTATGGGTGAAAAAGCATGTCTATGTTTAAAGTTTTGGTACAAATAAGAACATCTAACTTTTCAGTTTGTATTTTGCTCGGTTCTGTAGCCTTTTGTGTTTTAATTGACAGTTCAGTTTTGCTGCTTTTTGTCATAAGAAATCAACTGCAGAAATGTGCTGTATTTTCTTCTTTTCTGTTAAATGTTGTGGGAAGTCACTTTTTCCTACTCTTTCCTAAAAAAAATTTGCCTTTTGCCTGCTCTGTTTCCCCCTTCTCTTTTTGCATGGCACTTTGGGACCAAAAGGAATCAGATTCAGATCCAGAACCAGAAGAGGTAACGTTGCTAAATCAGCATGTTCTTGCCTACACATGTTGCTCAAACACAACTAACAGACACAACTCAGAACTGATCCTTAGTTCAGTGCTACAAACACAGCCAAGAGGGCCTTGCACAGACTGACTTTGGGAATAGACAGAGTTGAACTTCGCCTGTGTTAAAATGGCCAGTCTTCTCCATTTATAACACCCAGTAGACTGGATGGTACAGTTTACTGAGCTGGATGACAGACATCCAGTACAGAATCAGTGTTAACCCAGAAGCAGCAAGTGAAGGGTTTAGAATTTTCATCTTTAGCACTAACTAAATTGTATCAGCTGCCTCTGGAGCTCCCAGCCCCGGTCTGGCACTCAGGGATGTTACTTAAGCTCTGGCCCCTACACGAATGAGTAACGTTAGAAAAGCGTCCTCACATTTTGATGATGTTCAGCTGTTGGAAACACTGTGAGAACAGCCAGCTCCCCAAAGATGATGGACATCTTTCCCATGCACTGCACAACAGATTCAGCAGGTCTGTGGCATGGCTTGCAGTTTTCTGTTATCATTACAAAAATGTTTACCACTCCTATGGTAAATAGGACTTCTATTTTTGTGTAGGAAACTAAAGCACAAAAAGACAAGCTCATTGATTGCTATAAGCATTTTAAACTTTTGTATGTTAATAACATTAATCTGTATGCTGACATAAATCTGGACTGATCTGGAAGGACTGAAAGTGAGGGAGGCCAGGACATGCCAGGGGTGCAGGGTAGGCAATGTAGGGCAATGTGTGCATCAGAGGAATTCAGGCTATTGCGGATCTGTTACACACACTGCTGGCTGTGAGATGAAATTATGTGAGCCTAAAGGATTGCCAGGCATGTATGAACATGCACGTGTGGCCAGGGATTTCCTTCTGTTCAGCATCAGCTCATGGAAAGGACTCCTAACATCTTGACTGAGGCAGCGTGTTGCATTTGTCTTTATAAAGAATAGTTTGAACATTGTAAACCTTTTCAGCACTCACTAAAACCTTGGGGGCTTTACCATGCGTGGTATCTTGCACCAGCAGTACTGCACAGCTGATTTGCATTCTTCACAGTTGTCCTACCCCTACCACAAATTTGTATAGGAAATTAAAGCTTTAATGCTACTTCTAAATTTGCATATTTTTCCATAGCCAAATTTAAACAACATGTGCTGGTGCGGGCAAATGCTAGCAGAACTGAAATAAACTTAAATTACAAAGCTACCTCAAAAATTTTCTTCTTGAAATTTCATGGCCTGAGATTGTGTTTTGTTCAATTCTTTTTTGGCAAGGACTGTGTTTTCTTTTGAATAACAGTAAAATTGTATGGTTTTTATGATCTGTACCCAAATAACTCTGAAAAATCAAAAAGGGGGCCTTGTGAGGGCCATCTCGGCTCCCATTTCAAGTATCAATAGCTATTAATGGCATCCAGCCCCGTGTCGTGCCTTGGGCAGTTCTGCCATCATTGGTGCACCTGCATTTCATCATCACTGCGCACAGAGGCAAAAATGCAGTTCATGCTCTCAGAATGGATGTGCCCAAGGAATCACAAAGCATGAAACCTCCTGGTTGCCTTCCAGATGGACCATATGCCTTCACGTAACCATACTGGACTGTTTTGCTTTAGACAAGAGGAAATAATTTAAGAGAAATGCAACCAAACACCTGGAAATGCAAAAGTTTAGGTCCTCTACGCTTACTAAGAGCATTTAAAGAAAATACACTGCAACATTTTGCATCTACTGTTGACCATAACTATAGTGAAGTAACCATTTTCCTGGTATTAGAGACCCTAAATAAATTAAGCCATGCTTCTACTGTTATTTTAAATGCATTCTTGGTTCCATTTAAGTCCATGTGTCTCCATACAACTAGCATTTCACCTGTGGCTTCTGTACAGCAATTATAGTTGAAGTTTTAAATCTCCTGCTTTTTTCCTCTTCCAGGTTGATATGACTTCAGAAAAAAGTAAGATTTTTTTTTTTCTTGAGAATGTTATAATGCAATTTGTATGAGAGATGTTAAGAGTAAAGATAAGCATGAAAGAGAGCTAAGTTTTAACTGCTATTGCTAATAACATCAATACTTTAAAAACTTAATAAAAACCAATGTAATATCTCAGCAGCTATCCAATTCAATACAATTAACATGTAAATTAACAAGTAATACAGTTAAAAACCGTTCATCTAAGCCTTTACTTTCCTTTGACATCCCTAGTGAACCTGCTATGGCTATTTTGCTTGTATGAATGCTCATCCCTCCATTTTTTTGTTTTCTCCATTTGTTGACACAGCTTCTTGCCTCATATTTGAGACAGATGACAGTATCACTTTTAATGAAAACCTAATGAGCACTCCAATCTACTTTGTTAATCTCATGGAATACAACCATGCCAAAAAGTGATACTGTCCAAAGGAATCAGCCTGTTTAACCCTCCCTCCCTTGCCCCACCCTTTACTGTGGTGAAATATGGCTGGAAATCTGGCCTGGCAGCTTGGCACAGCACAAACACCCTCTGTACATGCACCATCAGGCTGTGACCATGAGCGACCACGGGCGAGGGGCTCGCAAACGTCTCCCTTATGGGAGGGGCAAATCAAGTGAATCTGCACACACAGAGGTGTCTCTAATGAGAGCTGCTTCCAAATGCAACCATTTCTTGGATCTGTTCAGAAAAAGCAGGACACCTGCCTTGTCTCCAGTTTGGAGTGTGATGTCTCGCCTCCTCTGCAGTTAAAGTGCAATGTCTTGCATTGTCCTCCTGCCACTTCCTCACTGCCTGCTCTGCCAGGGCCCCAGAGAGCCCCAGTGAGTGCTCCTGCTCCAGCCACACACTGTCTGGAGAGCACTTCCTATTTATTTCCCACTGGAGTTGCTTTGCTTCAGGCTGATTAACTCGATTATTGGCCAGTGGAAGAGCCATACATTTGATATTTATGAAAGCACATATTGCAAATTTACAAAATTACTGGCTGGCATTTCAGCATGCACCAGACAGTTCATTGTAAAGCAGCAGCACCAAGGACCACATTTTCAGCACCACAATACCCTGCAGCAATCTGTCTCTAATTAATGTACAGCACAAATATTAGCATTCGTTACACTCAGGAGAACAGCATAGCAAAATGGATGTATTTTACAAATAAAAGCAGCTCATTATGTGTTGCTTAAAGTCTCCTTATTTGCATTAGTTCTTTGACTTTCACTGGGGTGCTGAAATGTGCAGTTCCATGTGACATGCTACCTTTAAAGGGAAAATGTCCATCTGTGATTCCTAAGCATTGTGTTCTGTTTGTAACTTGCTTCAGTTCTCCAGTGTTTTGTTCTGTTCAATATCCATTTTCTGCTAGTCCTTGCTGAAATGAAATATTACCAGCAGGCAGTTATGGCATAATGGGAATTATCTGCAGCCACCTTCCTGTATATTGATTGCCAGATTAGACAAATATTTCACCACAGTATGTTTACAGTATTTTCATGTACCTTTAAATTTATATGAATAACTTTTAGAGCTCTTGTTTTTAACCAAAGCTACATACCCAGCAGCATTTGCAACACCTTTGCTTTGCATGGAAATAACTTGCCTTACATGAATTGTACGTATGTGTCTAGTGTGACTGTCTGTGACTTTGGGTTGCCATACATTACATTTTTTAAAACTCTGAAATCACTTCTAAGTTGATTCACAGTTTTTTCTTATTATCTCTCCTTTTCTTCTCTGTCTTCTCTTTCCTCAGTCAGTTCATTAGTTGTCAATGAGGATGTTCCAAGGAAAGGACCATGCCTCTTAAAACAAAAGCCTGTTTGTTTCATTGTGTAGGTGTGAAATCCCCTTAGATGAAATGCCGGTTTGCAGCTGATTCAGATCTCTACATATTTGATCATATTTTAGATTACTGCAGAATTACTTTTTGCTTTTTATTTTGGTCATTAAGAAAAACAAAACTGCTAACCCAATGTTATTCTGACAGTTTGCTAACACTGGCTTTCTCTTAGAGGAAATCGACTTTCAATCAGTTCTAATGCTTTCCCCCTTTTTCTTGTTTTTCTTTTTATTTGAACATTGATCTGTAACATCTGAACAATCTTGAGATGCCTCTCTTTGTGTAACTTCACTGTGTTTCTTCTGGTTTTGATTTGAAATTTTGTTGTTGTTGTTTTGGGTTTTTTTTAGTGGTGTCCTGGTTTGGTTTGTTCCAGCTTTGATACTGTATGTGTGGTTGTGCTCTAGAGATAAAGTGAAGCAAGTTATTTCCTGCCATTTTCCTTTTCAGTTGGTTTTTTTCCCATCCCCCGTTAGCTTTGCTTTGCTCTTGTACCCTCAGATCTTGTGGATCCACCATTCCCGGCCCATTTTGTTGACCTTCCTACCACTACAGTCAAAGACTGTCATTTTCAGTCCTGATTACATTTTCCAATCTCTATTTTTGATTTCCATTTTACTTTCAATGTTTTTCATTCGCATCAAAGATGACGAGACAGAATCTACAGAAACATCTGTCCTGAAAAGCCATCTGGTTAACGAAGTCCCTGTACTAGCCAGTCCAGACCTGTTGTCTGAAGTTTCTGAGATGAAACAAGATCTGATCAAAATGACTGCCATCCTGACAAGTGACCCTTCTGATAAATCAGGCTCCATTAAGGTGAAAGATCTTGAAAAGTCTGCTGAAGAAGAGCCAGGAGAACCTTTTGAAATAGTTGAAAGAGTGAAAGAGGACTTAGAAAAAGTAAATGAAATTCTGAGAGGTGGATCCTACACCAGAGAAGAACATGTTTTGCAGAAGTCCCTTTCCAGACAAGAACCCTTAGAAGAAGAATGGATCATTGTCAGCGATGAAGAAATTGAAGAGGCCAGGAGAAATGCTCCATCAGAAGTCACAGAGCCGAGCCGCGTAGAAGTCAGGGTAGACAAAGGGACAACAAAAAAAGGGGAGCCAGACGTGACAGGTGCAGAGGATTTAAAAACACACGTTTCTCCTCATGAGGGACAGCCACAGGCCTTACAAGAGGAGGTAGTAGAAGAGAAAATCAAAGCTGCAGCAGTAAGCAGGGATTCTGAAAAAAAAGGAAAAGAATCTCCAAAAACTGGGAAATCAAGCTCGCAGGAGCAACAGAAGGCAGCCTCAGAAGTTAAAAAGCCCGTTAGGTCAAAACTACGAGAAAAACCAAAGCCAAAGGAAGGCAAGGTGCACGGCAGCGGAGAGAAACTGAGACTGCCTAAGCTCACTGCAGACGAGGCACCGGCTGGGGAGCCTGGCCTAAAGGTGACAGGTGCTCCAGAGCCTAAAGCTGTGTCCCCTGTTATCGAGGAAACTCCCATTGGGTCAATAAAAGATAAAGTGAAAGCTCTTCAGAAACGAGTGGAAGATGAGCAAAAAGTACGGTCAAAACTGCCCGTCAGAGTTCAGGCCAAAGAAGGCCCTGCCGAAAAGGCGCCTAAAAAACCAGCGCAAGTCAAAAAGCCCGTGGCACACAAAGCCCAGCCGCCCGTCTCACCTTCTTCTAAGACAGAGAGACTGGAAGAGACCATGTCTGTTCGGGAACTAATGAAAGCCTTCCAGTCAGGGCAAGACCCGTCCAAGAATATTTCCGGACTCTTTGAACACAAATCTGTCAAGCAGAAACAACAGGCCCCTGAGAAGGAAACTCCCCGCAAGAAAACAATTCCTTTGCAGAGTGAAACGAAGCGAGTGTCAAACCTCAAGACAGACAAACAGAAGGACAAACCAAGCATGGTGTCAAAAGCAGAGAAAGAGCCACAATCAAAGAAAGGAAAATCTCAGATTTCCACCATCGAAACTGCCAAAAAAGCTAGTGGCAAAGACCAAGCAAAAGATCAGAGCAGTAAAAAGCCAACCCAACCTCTCCCTCCAGTAATGGCTGCTGAAAGTGCCAAAGAAACAGCGGCTGGGAAGAGCAGGACTTCTGACGATCAGGGAGATCTTGACTTCCAGATCAGCCCTGACAGGAAAACCTCAACAGACTTTTCTGATGTCATTAAAGAAGAACTGGAGGATAATGACAAATACCAACAGTTCCGACACCTCTCAGTGACGGAGGAGGGAGAGGTTAACTTGGAGCAAGTACTGACCAGTCCTTTTGGTGCTGCTTTTCCCACAGAGTATGGCAAGGATGGATTCCTTCCTGCTCTTTCTCTGCAAAGTGCTGCTCTTGATGGGAGCTCAGAGAGCCTTAAACACGAAGGTGTGGCTGACTCTCCAGGCAGCCTACTTGACGGGACCCCTCAGATCAGCTCGGAGGAAAGTTACAAGCATGAGGGTCTGGCAGAGACTCCCGAAACAAGCCCAGAAAGCCTTTCATTCTCACCAAAGAAAACTGATGGGCAAATTGAAGACGCTAAAGGAGCGGCTCAAGTACACACAACAGCAGAAACATGTTCAACGAAGGAACTCTCCTCAAAGGAAGATGCAAAAGGTATTACTGAGAGGCAGCTAGATGCTGTTACCGCGACTAGTGAGTCTCATTCTGACCATTTATCAGAAGAGCATGTACCTCCAGCCTCTGAAGAAGAGGCTGATAAACTTAAAGAAAGTAGCTCAGCTTCCATTGTGAAAGATATTAGCAGGGATAAAGAATCCAGAACCACTGCACATTTCACTAAGTCTTCTGAAACACATGACACTGCTTTAGAGAAAGAAAAAGATGTAGCCTCTGAACGCCGTCTTACAGTTAGAAGTCCCCAGAAATTGGAACTTGCACTTGCTAGCCATGATAGTGAAGGCTTTAGCCCAGTTGCAGATGACTCTTTGACTATAAGTCATAAAGACTCCCTGGAAGCAAGCCCAGTGCTAGAAGATAACTCATCACACAAAACGCCCGACTCTTTGGAGCCCAGTCCTATGAAAGAGTCCCCCTGCCGCGATTCCCTTGAAAGCAGCCCCGTAGAACCAACAGTGAAGGCTTGTATTTTGGGGCAGGGTCCTCTTCCGTCTATTCATAGCAAAGCAGAAGCCTGCCCAGAGCTGGCATCGGTGCGTTCCAGGATTCTCCGTGACCCTGAGGGAAGTGCCGATGATGACAGTCTAGAGCAAACATCCCTCATGGAGAGTTCGGGGAAAAGCCCCATTTCCCCCGAAACTCCTAGTTCGGAAGAAATTAGCTACGAAATCACACCTAAAATGGCAGACATACCAAAGTCAGCCACCATCCCTGAAGTCAATGAAGAACCGGAGGACGATTCGGAAAGTGAACCAAAGAAGAGATTCACCCCTGAAGAAGAGATGTTTAAAATGGTGACCAAAATCAAAATGTTTGATGAATTGGAACAAGAAGCAAAACAGAAGAGAGATTATAAAAGGAGTTGTAAGCAAGATGAATCTTCTGTGGTTGCCAATTCAGAAGCCTCACGGGAGGCTGAAGCATCGGAGCCAACTACTGTAGTAGAAAAAGGCATACCCACGGTGGTGACACCTGCTGCTGAATCTAGAAAGAGTTCTTCCTCTTCCGAAAGTGAGCCGGAACTGACTCGGCTCAAAAAAGAAGCTGACTCAGGCCTCTTAATGGAGCCTGTGATCCGAGTGCAGCCACCCTCACCGTTACCATCTAGTATTGACTCCAGCTCTAGCCCTGACGAAGCAGGTTTCCAACCCATTGATTCCCAGCCGTGCTCTGTCGGGATAGGTGAGGTTAAAGCGCCAGGCAAAGGTGACAAAGAGGAGCTGCATATCCTTGGGCACAGCTGTAAGCCTTCCATGGGCACTTGTCCCTCCGATGGTTGTGCGTCAGCAGAAAGTGCAGAATCAAAATGTTGTGATGGTACAGGTGACTGTGAGATGGTCGGTCCCGATGCTCCGGTCACACGATCTGGATGTACTCCCTGTCACTCTGTTGGTGACAGTTCTCAAAAAGAGGTTCATGCTGAGTCTTCACTAACAATGGGGCAGTGTGAGGCTACTGAAAAAGGTGTTAAACCCACGGCCCTGTTACCACGCAGTGATCTCATTTCGATGGGAGCTGTGTCAGAAGAGGCAGATGGTCTTTCTCATGGACACGGTACCACCGAGTACTCTGTCCCACGCGACAGCAAACTGGCTGAAGGTGACACCACTGACCATTCTGCTTTGGCAAGGGATTCAGGAAAAGCAGATACAGGTTGTGAGACATCTCACAGGGCTGCTCATGCTGAGGAGCCCTTACCAGAGTATTCGTCCCTAACCACTGGCACAGGGGAACTCGACAGCTGTGCAGCAGATGCCACTGACGGTAGTGCTCCATATATAGTGAGCCCTTACGAAAATGTGTCTTCTGGACATTTCTTCATTGACTCTGAAAGTGAGGTAGGATCTGGTAGAAGTCTGCTATCTAGGGAAACCTATTCTATTGCAGAAGGGAGAGATCAGACTGGTGAATCTCTACTTAGCAGAGACACAGGCAATGATTATTGCTCTTCAGAGGAAGTGTACATGGAAATAGAGCCCAAACCAGAGGATGGATTTCAGACAATATCACAAGGGTCTCCGACCTCAGAATCAACAAAATTATCTGAATCTGCCCTTGAGGATATGAGACATGAAACAGAGAAATTGGTGGGTCAGGTTGTCATCACAAGAACCGATGTGGATTCTGACATGTGGAGTGAAATACGTGAAGATGATGAAGCTTTTGAAGCTCGGGTGAAAGAAGAGGAACAGAAGATATTTGGGTTGATGGTAGACAGGCGATCCCAAGGCACTACCCCTGACACGACACCTGCCAGGACACCCACCGAAGAAGGGACACCACTCAGTGAACAGAATCCTTTTCTTTTTCAGGAAGGCAAGTTGTTTGAGATGACTAGAAGTGGAGCAATTGACATGACCAAAAGGAACTACCCAGATGAAAGCTTTCACTTCTTCCAAGTGGGCCAGGAGCCTCAGGAAGAAGTTTCTTTATGTGAAGAAGTGAAAGAAGCAGCAGAGGCAGAATCTTCAAAGCTGAAGGAGTCAGTGGACCCATTTGCACCGTCAGAGTCAGAGGAGTCAGATATACAAGAACAAGATGCATTGAGATATTCACCCCCATCACCTGAGTCTAATGATGGATCTGAAGAAATGGGTGAAGGTGCCAGTGCAGGCACTGCAAAAGCAGATCTTAAATCCAGAATTCCAATTAAAATGGGTATTTCAGCTTCTTCAAAATCACCAAAGAAAGAAATTGCTGCCTCTGAAGCTGAGTCCCTCTCCAGAATGGAGACTGACACGGTTGATAGCAGTCAGGTGCCTTGCCCCATCTCTCCCGAGCAGTGTGCGGTAGAAGATGAATTAGATTTTTCCAAAGTCACTCGATTGGTTAGTTCTGAACAGGGTGAGGAGTCCCCAGACTCTTCCCCAGAGGAACAGAGGTCTGTGATTGAAATCCCCACTGCTCTAATGGAGAGTGTGCCTTCTTGTGAAAGCAAATCCAAAATCCCTGTAAGAACAGCTGCTGCCGCATCGCAATCCTCGCAACAATCGGAAAACGAGAGCCTTTCCCCGGATGACTTCCTGGACAGTTCGCAGTGTGAAGGAAAAGATGACCAAGCGAAACCAAAGTCTAAAATTCCTGTGAAAGCCGCTTTCCAAAAAGCCGAACCACAACACCCGTACGCGGACACGTCCGTCCGCAGGCCAGAGTCACCCAAAGTGCTCGACGTGACGAGCGCAGTCCCTGCAAAGCCAGACAGCCGCAGTAAATCGGAATCTGACGCCAGTAGTCCCGTGGACCCAAAGACCAAACGTTCCATCAAAGCCAGGAGTTATGCTGAGGCAGAGGCAGAGGCCAGGGAGAGGGAGAGTGAGATGAAGTTTGAGTTAGACTCAGATGAGGCAACAACAGCAAGATCGAAGGTATTTTCTTCACGGTTGCCAGTTAAAAGCAGAAGTGCTACAGGCTCCCGCAGTGCTTTTAGTCCCACTAAAGAAAGTAAGGACCATTTTTTTGATCTTTACAAAAACTCCATAGAGTTTTTTGAAGAAATTAGTGATGAAGCTTCTAAATTAGTGGAAAGACTCACGCAGTCAGAGAGAGAACAAGAATTAGTTTCAGATGATGAAAGCAGTAGTGCCCTAGAAGTTTCAGTTATTGAAAATGTGCCATCCAGTGACACTCAGCAGTCAGTTCCTGAAGACATCTTTGACATCAGACCCATTTGGGATGAGTCTGTAGAGACTCAGATTGAACGTATCCCTGACGAAAATGCCCATGACCGTGCTGAAGGTATTTGCCAACGACTGGGATTCCCTGTGCGACGCATGTCATGAATTAAACTCTTTTGTTCTTTGTTTTCTTTGGTGTGTGCGTGTGTGTGCGTTTGTGCACAGGTGTAATGCGTGTGGCATTTTCTTTTCAGCTTTTGGTGGTTAGTTGTGCTTTTTTTTTTCCCTTGTGAGCCGTATTTGGTTTTTTTGTCTTGTGTCTGTGTTCTTGTCTGTGAAACGATCTCAAGATTGCAAACCATAAATGCTTATGGGAAGTGTTACCTTAATAAGCAAAAACACTTCTAGAAATATGTATGGTTTTGTCATTAAACTGATTGCTTAGGTCATGCACGTTTTGGCTTTTGACTTTTCCCTGGCCCTATTACTAGCTATTAACTTCTACTAATAATGAAATGCTTGGGCGTCAATTGAAAGCGAGACAGGCAAATTTATAGACTTTTGAGTTAGTACACAATGAGATCTGCGGGAGTTTTAAACAATGAAGCTTTTTATGTTCCTTTTTTTTTGACAGTCTGTGTCTGAAGAAAACTCTGAGTCACCAGTAACTCTTGTAGTACACATTTTCTGGTGCTTGGTTTTCCTCTCGCCTACTTGTGTGTTAGTACTGAGTAGCCCTCATGGAAATCAGAGCCGGAATGACACGTGCATATCACGAACCCTAAGCAATTTCCTGATTCTGAGGTGTCGCAGTTCACGTGTGCATTCAGGGAAAATCAAAACTCAAATTCCACCATCCTAAAATTAGCTCAGGGGATGGGAGGAGCTGTCAGTCTCACCATTAGTGAAGTGAAGTGAATGAGGACTGACAAATGACTATCTGATTTTTCCTTGCCTTCACTGTCAGTATTCTGTCTCACTCCCCGTCCAAAGGGTCAAAGATGCTAAAATTAACAGTATCTCAAATACAGACCATAATCTGACATGCTGTATGGACTGTTTGAACAAAACTTGCCTTACAACACAAAGAACATGATCAGAAGCACTGGTCCCAGTGACTTCTTCAACCCTAGCATTTACTAAGGAGGCATGGAAACTACGGCTCTTGACTTAGCCTAAGTCTTCAACTGAACTTTACAATGAAGTTTTAGAGTAAAATGCCTGGCCAAAATAGGCATAGTAGGTGCTTCAGTCCTAGATTAGGTTTTCACATGAACATCTGATTTCCAAGTAGAAAAAATAGATAGTCCTGTGCTTTTTGAGAAACCAAGCTTTTTGGCTTCATTTGAACCTAGGAATTTACAAGCCTCACTTGAGTTACGCAGCCTGTCCACATTTAGACACAGCAGCTAGGAAAAAACAGCGCTTTCCCTTCTTGGGCTCTCTCTCCTATGGACATGGTTTTTAACTTGCAAAAGGCAACTTCCAGCTCTCTTTGACCTTTAGATCAACAGGATGATCAGGAAAGGACAGAGGAAAGACTGGCCCACATCGCGGATCATCTTGGATTCAGCTGGACAGGTAAAGTGCACGTTTTCTGCTCCAGAGATAAAGGAGGGGAATGGTCCACACTCCTCTCATGTTTTTTTTGGATGATTTTCTGATTATCTAAAAATGTTTTAGAAAAATATTTCAGAAGCTTATTTTGTTTGGGATACTAAGAGTCCTAAATGGGTTAACAAAGGAACCTGCTCTAAACAATCACTTTAATATGGTGGATTTAATAGACTTGAGGCAGCAAATGATAGTGGGGACAAGTGAAAGTAACATGGATTGAGATGGAAATGTTTTCTCAGGTTTTGGGGTTAAACTGTAATTCACAGAAATTTACTTTTCTTTGAATGAAGTTAGACCAGGGGAGTAGTAGTAGTAGGAGAACTCTTTACAGAGATGGATTTCTTTTTCAGAGCTAGCAAGAGAACTGGACTTCACAGAGGAGCAAATTCACCAGATCCGAATTGAAAATCCCAATTCTCTTCAAGACCAGAGCCATGCACTCCTCAAATACTGGCTTGAAAGGGATGGGAAACATGCAACAGGTTTGTCTCCAGTTATTGAGTGTAACTGACTCCAGTCTGCTAAGGTGACAGGTGTGTTGTAATCATGAAGAAAATTTGGGGAAAATTTAGGCTACAGAAAGGATGACCAATGACCATGGATTTTACTCAGTATTGTTTCTAATCTTGTCTGTATAACACAGCAACTCAGCAAATTTGTTAAAAGGAAAAAAACCCAGAGTGCTAGTTTTTATAGGCAGCCGTTTGGTTCTTTTTAGATTTTACATAGCACTGCTTCTAAATGTATCTATAATTTATATACGACATTGGTCAGTCTCCTATATATGCCCTTCCTATGGAGAAGGGAGGGAATGTGCTTGATTCTTAACTGAGCTGCACGTGTCCTTCCAATGGCACAGATACCAATCTGACCCAGTGTCTGACGAAAATCAACCGCATGGACATCGTTCACCTGATGGAGACCAGCGGCATAGACCCCGTGCAGGGCCACGGCACGCGCACGTACGCGGACACGGAGCAGTCCTTGGCACTGGACCACAGTGAAGGTAAGCGGCTCCTGACCCAAACTGTGGGTACCTCTCCAAGCATCACTCTGCTCTGAAGTGTTGGCCCAGGCTCTTGTGACAGAGCACTGGAATCCTGTTTTGAAAGCACAGACAATGTGGATGGATGCAAGCACGGCATCGCAAGGGTCACATTTCACCCGGTAGAAGAACTTTAGCTGATTCCTCAGAAGCAAACACTGTGGCCAGCAACGTTTGCCCAGTTTACGTTGGGGTTTGGTTTTTTTGCTTGTACAAGTGCTTTCATGAGAGTTTAGAAGTTTGTACTAGAATTTGACCAAGATATTAAAAAGGGAAACTACTCCGTGCTTTCACAGAAAACCCCTTTGGATTTGAGTATCCAGGATATTGTAATTCTGTTAGGATGCTATTGCATTTCTTAGGTTGGAAAGTTCAGTGGATTAGATCCAGTGGTTGCAAACTGAAGAAACACCACCAAATTATTTGGCATAAAATCCTCTTTTCCAGGAGTGACACTTTTTGGTGCCTAACTCAATACTGAAGCATATTAGACAGCTGCAAAGGTCCCAGTCTTGAAGAAAATGTAGGAATAGAAGGCTGCTTGTTACAATTCGCATTCTCATATCACAGCCAAGTAGTTTTAGAAGGTTAACCTCTCTGTCCACCTCAAATTCAGTACAAGCTTTTTTGTTCCCCACCTCCCCCCCAATTTGTTCTTCAGAATTCACTAGGTTTCCAGTGACTATGGCACCTATCCCTCTATGAAGTGTTTTCATCTTTTTTTGGTACAGTTGATTTTTCCAGAAGCAGATAAATAATGAATATGGGGGGGAAAAGTCACAAAAATCTATCCTACTGAGCTGGAAAAAAAATCTGTTGTGAATCTTCTATACTTGGAGGGCTTCAAGCATAATTACTTGAGGTAACTTTCTGGGTAACTGTTATTTGCCTGTTACTGTCCAAATCTGGCTGTAGTAGTGGCAATCTAGCATGCCTTGGGCTACTCCTGGAGGCCAGGTGCCCTCCCACTCAAGGTGTTGAAGAACTTCAGGTCACGTGTTGTGCCTGGGGATTTTCAGTGCACACTGAGCATGGGAAGGATTTCTGCATTCTGGTCAGACTTGTAAGGATATTTCTCATCTCTCTGCCTTGGCAAGGGTTTTCAGCACTGCAAGAGGAAGTGTGCAGCTCGAGACACAAGAAAGAACAGCAGAGACTGTCTAAGGACAGCGAGCCAACCGAGCACCCCCCTCTGGTCTCCGAGGAAGACGTGTCTGTCAGTTATTCCCCGTTCCAGGACAGTACTCCCAGGAGTGAAGCCGAAGTGTCCATGACTGAGCTTCTGAGGCAAGCACACAAGGAACAAGCAGAAACTGAATTCTCAGGGAAACCCCAAGACGTGCCAGGGAAACCATCTGCTTCACAACAGGAATACTTGTAAGTGCCGAAAGACCAGGATGAAGCCATAGGGAACAGGTTCTCTTTTCTCTGTGTAATAAGAGGATTTTACAGTTGCCTTTGAAACTTATGAACACACTAGAATTTCCCTCAAATTGTGGTTTTCACTTTTTAATCCATGTGGGAGAAGCCTTGAGGCTGAGGAGAGAAAGTCAGTCTGTCACTGTGAGTACAAAGCAATAACTGTCTAGTACACAGGAAAGAAAAGAGGGTTGATAGAGAAGTGAAGGGGGTTTTATGTCTGTGTTCAGTCCTCATGTCTTGGATGACAAGTGATGACATATTGATAAAAGTAATCCAAAAGGACTCTTTCTTCAGCTTCAGGATGGCTTTTTCAATGGAGGCAATTTTTTTCAAGTTAATCATTACTTACAAAACTCATAACTACCTATTAAGAACTGGACTTGTGCAAGTGCATTTAAGGTGGCCAAAGGAGCAGAAATGGGGTGTTACAGAGGCAAGACACAAGTGCTTACAGGAATAACACGTGATAGAGTACACATAGAGGACCTGTGAAGCAAAAACTTGATTTCTGAGGTGGGGCTGTCAGTGGGGTTGGTGTAATTTGGAATGGAATTTGAAATAGATCATGTTTATTTCTCCACAGATTCCCTGATTATGTGCCCCATGCTGAGACCTCTCTGCAGGGTAGAGTCAGGTATTAATAAGCCAGCAAAATTCCTGCTAGGAGATGCAGCTCCCAGCAGTCAAAGGGCAGCTGAGTCCAGCAAATGGACTTAGGGGGATTCCTTTGCTCAGGATATGCCGGGAGAGAGTGTGGGAGACAGAAAATACCATCTAGGAAAGCTTCTGCTGCAGTGTTAGGTAAAAATACCAATGCTCCCTAAGGATTTGCATCAGGAAATGAATTTCTTTGAGGAACAGATTTCTTTGAGACAATAGTGCCAACAGTACATGAGAGTAATGACGACAGGAATTTCACTACACTGCAGGTCTAATCTGATCTAGGGGGAAAATCGGGCTAGATTTAAATAGGAACATATAAGGAACATGCTCCAAGGGAAATATACAACAATATTGAGTGTGCATTTGCTGGAATTAGATGTATTTTCTTTATACATGTATTACATAGTAACACATATAAAAATAGGTTTAATTAACTTGGGGCAGCAATTAATCATGAATCAGAGTTCAACCATAAAAATACCATTACAAAGAAAAACTGAACCTCTACTAAATTTCTGTTTGCTAAAGCTCCAGAATTCTACATGAAAGTTGTTTTTTCCTCTTTGCAGCTGCACAGCCTGTGCTCAGTGCTGTAAGTGCCTCACATCCTTCTCTAGCGGTCCAGGCTCTCCCACTAAAAAAAAATAAATGGTAGTATGTAGAGATATGAGGGCACAAGTGAAAGCAAAGCTCTCTGAAATACTTTACAAACACCAGGTTTTGCAGACGTGCATGGAAGAGTTGGATATCCATTTGGAGATTTGCTCAGGAAGATAGGTGGCATTCCCAGACACACTGCTCTGTAGCTCCTGTCAAGGAGTATCAGTTATTTCTAGACTTTCCCAAACCACAGAAAACACAACAATACGAAATCAGTGCCTAATGTTCCATTGCTGGAAATGGGGAAGCAGTGCACGGTGATAACTCGCTTGGACCTGTAATTCACAGCGTCACGACTCCAGGAACAGAGCAGTCCATGGGAGCTGGAAAAGCAGCGAGCGGAAAATCTGCGCACTCAAGCACGGCAAAGGGAGAGGTGCAGAGAGCCCCCCCACAGCCCCCGTCCCCTGTGCAGAGAGGAGACTCCCCCATCATCCAAGAGCCTGAGGACACCCAGCTCCACAGGGAAAGCCTCTCTCCAAGGAGATCTAGTCTCGTGATAGTGGAGTCCACTGAGGAGCAGATGGAGAAGTCTGGAAGGGGCTTTGAAGAGGAATCTTTAGAAAAGGTAAATCAACAACTTTGCCTCAATGTAATTGATGCAATAAACAAATTTTTATTACTTGCTCATTCCTTAAGATAAGAATATTTGTAATTAATTTGCATCTGGCACTGAATTTTTCCTCCTTCCCTCTGTGGTTTAAAGGGTCAGGTGATGGCTTTTCTCCCTGAGGTTTTCAAAGTTGAAGCAAACCCCAGATCCCAAAGTCTAGGCTGGTAGTTCTGGTTCTGCTCTACCCTCCTTTGTCCTGTGACAGTTCCATCTGTGCCTGAGAGAGAGAGTGTCAGTAACAGGGCAGAGACAAACCGAAAGAGACATAATGCAGTCAAAGTAATAACAGTAAAGCTCATAAAGAAAAGCAAGGCTAGCCCAGAGCAGCATGAGAAGTGGTGTGAAAGGTCTCTAAAGTCAGTGAGACAGAAAAGAGACAGCAGCTGTGCATTGCAGAGCACTGGAAGAAAGGTGTTTATGTAGCACACAGGCAGTACAGAGATACAGCGACAGGAGAGCGCAGAGGATATCAGAAACTGTACAGGGTAAGTCTTGGGTTGTGTGAGACAAGGGACTTCATGGCAGCATTCAGAGAGGGCAAGACATCCACCAGCAAGGAAAGAGAGTAACCATATGGCTTTTAGTGGAGAATTAGTTTCCTGGCAGGTGAAGGTTTAAGAATAAACAGCTTGCTTTGCCTGTTCTAAGTGGAATAAAAGGAGAAGGCATCCTTGGGTAGGAAATTAGTTTTATAAGTCAAGTTAGAGCGGAGAAGGTGCAGCTGTACTGAGGCAGAAATTGTTTCACCTTTGTGTTCGTTAGAAACAAGGCCTTTTCTCTTTTCTCCTATGTGGCTGAAGGTATCACCTCTAGAATGAAGGGTTTCAGAGCTCTGCCTCTGGGATCTCAGGGAAAAGTGGAATTTCAAGTGTATCAGATGATTGAAAGGGTATCTACAGCAGGGCCCAGTACAAGGGCTGCTGGAGGACAGCTGCCCTCAAAATAGTGCACTGTTTTTTCCCTCTAATACTTTTACTGAAGTGAAACAACAGCAGCAGCTGGTATCACCACCCTCCCTTATTTATTTTCCCTTTTATGTTTTCCTACTACAGCTATTTCCCAGTGCATTCTTTTCAGCCTCTCTTTGCCATCCAAGGTGTTTGTTTAAATTTTTAATTCTTCCTTATGCAGGATAGACAAGTTCAGCATTTGTTACCAATTCTTCCTTTCTGAGGCTACTGCTAACTGTCCTCTTGTCAACACTGTTCAGTCCTACTGTCTGTACCCTGCTCTCTGTACTTCCCCCTGTGGAGGATTTAAAAGGCTTTTGCATATTTTTCTATGTAATTAACCCAGGAAGCATATGCAAAATGTAAGAATTGCAGAGCTGGTGTAGGAAGACAGAAGCTGTAGCTACTGCTAGTACCACACACAGATCCTGCTTCCATGCTTCCCCTAGGAGTTAACAGAGGAGTTAGGTGGGCTGGAGCTCAGCTCAGACGAGGATGAGATGGTCACTACCAGAGTCATTCGGCGCCGGGTGATCATTCAGGTACCGGGAGTTGAATGACTGCACGAGCCTGTGCTGCCTTAGGCCTGAGTTTGTGTTGCACCTCAGTTATTTGGGATGCTCCCAAATAATGCATCTCTGTTGGATAAACCTTAGGATTACAGTAACACTGCTAACCCACCCCTAAACTCCATGGATGCCTCGGCGAGGAAGATGAAGGCTTGTCAGCCCTGTATACAACAAGGTCAAGTAACTTATCTTCGCCTGTGTGCTGTGGCATCACTTTTCTCTGCATGCCTTTTTAAGGATTTATTTGCAGAATAGGTTTTTTCCTAACATTGCTGATTTTTTTCCATTCCGTAACCAATTAACTGATGTTAAAGTGGCTTATTTCAAGACCCGCATGAAGGCCTTGCTTCACACAGCTTTGTTCTTTGTCATACAGGCTGACAGTATGCCTGAAATGCCACCAGAAACAGTCACAGAAGAGCAGTACACAGATGAACATGGCCACACGGTGGTGAAGAAGGTATTGTCAGTTCTGCCCCTTGCTACCTTCTTCCTCTCCAGGAAGGAAAGGAAAGAAAAATCATCCATAGAAATGCCAGACTTTGTGCTATGAAGGGGCATGATTTGAAGAATAGAGTGGAAGGAATGAGAATTTCAGCTCATGAGAGATACCAAAGTTTGAACAACAATTTAGATTCTCAAAACTGTTCTGTTACAGTGTACAACCTAACAGGATCTATTTTGTTAACTTTCATTTAAAGCCAAGGAAAATTCTGCATAGATCCACATATTTTAGAAGATAGTTGTTTATTTCTTTTTTAAAAAACCCACAAAAAAACCCACTCCACTGCAATCTTACCTGTTTGTTTGCTTGTCCTAATGAAAGCAATGGAAGGCTGGGTCTGTAAGAGTCAGACAAACCCAGAGTCTAGATCTTCAAAATAGATCATGCTTTGAAAAACAAATTCTGCACAGCACAGAAGTGAAAGGGGAACTTGTGTGCTCTTTTCTTTATCTGACAACTTGGTGCTCAGTGATTTGGTCTAGGACTTGGCTGAGCTGGGATGGTAGGAAACCCCATCTTCTGAGAAGACATCTCACCCCTTCAGCTGGATAGGCTATCTCTGGAACCTGTTTGAATTCCTGGTGGAATAAACCACCCCAGCCAAAGATTCCTTGATCTCATTGCACAGAGGCAAGTGTGACGTTTCTTATGGATAGGTCTGTGCCTTGAACTGTGCCAGGCAGAGGTTTGGATCATCCACAGGAGGATGCACACCCACCCTCCTGAGCAATTTCACATCTTGAACCCTGTAATTCTCTTCTTGCTTTGGCCAGCCAGTGCCTTGAGAGCTTTAGCACCAGATGAGTCTCTTGAGTAGGAGCTGAGGAATAGAACATGGAACCATCTACGCAGGTTCTTTCATACAGGACAAAATGCCCTTTGAGTAGCAAATACTAGGTAGAGAACAGAGAGGAAATGTTACTGCTATGTCTTTGGGGACTAAACTCCATTCCTTCAGGTGACTCGGAAGATCATCCGGCGATACGTTGCTCCAGATGGCTTGGAAAAAGAGGAAGTGCTAATGCAGGGAACACCGCAAGCGCCCATCACTGTGGAAGAGGGAGATGGTTATTCCAAAGTGGTGAAGCGAGTTGTGCTGAAGAGTGACAGTGAGCACTCAGAGGTAGGGTGTGCTTTGCCCGCCGTGGCACAGAGCAGCAGCACCCCAGCAGGGCTCTTAACCACTGCAGCTTAGCGTGCTCATTCTGCCACTCAGTCCTAGAACCCCTCAGTTACAGCAAGTTTACCTTGCTGCTCTGTTCTTGCTTTGAAGAGGCTAAAAACGTCTATGATTTAAACAAAAACTGTTTTAGAGCCAGGTAATTAAAAATAAAAACACTCTGAAAAGGTAAGTGCCTTCCTGCTGTACTTCACTGTCTGGCCCTACAGGCAGTTGGATCAGCACAACCAAGTTGTGAGGGAGGGCCAGAAGCTGGCAATGGGGTGTGCCCTCAGCAGTGCTGGGCAGTTACTGGCATTGTAAAATACATCACTGATACTTTTGCTTGCAGGAATTACTCATCAGAAGTAATTCTTTAGGAATAAAGTAGCAAGAAAGAAGAGCCTTGATTTCCCCCCCCCTTTTTTTTTTCTATTTTCCTTTTTTCTTTTTTAAAATTTTTTTCTATTTTCTTTTTTCCCTTCTTTTTCCTTTTTCCCTCTTTTTCCTTTGTTATTTTTCCTTTTTTTATATTTTTCCTTTTTCTTCCATTTTCTTTTCCTGTTTTTCTTTTTTACTTCTTTCTATTGTTTTCCTTTCTTCTATTTTCCTTTTATCTTTTTTCCTATTTTTGTTTTTACCTTTCTTATTTTTTTTTCCTTTTTTTCTTTTTCCTCTTTTTCATTTTTTCTTTTCTTTTTTCCCCTGTTTTTTTTTTCTTTTTCTTTCCGTTAAGCTGACCCTAGCAGATCTACACTTTACCCTGTGGAGCCCATGGACACAGCAGTTAATTAGGCCAGTGCACATCATGAAGTGCGGAATTCATCTCCATCTCACTTGTGCTTTCTGACCTTGCAGGTGACCCTGTCAGAACCTGCCATTCTCTCTAGTGCCTCCAAATTCCAGTCCGAGCCAGTGGAGGGCCGGAAAGTCAGCAAGGTCATCAAGACCACTGTAGTGCATGGAGAGAGGACGGAGAAACACCTGGGGGATGCCAGCTTGGCCTCTGATCTTCCATCAGCCAAAGAGGACTTTGAAGAGGTAAAAATAACTTTTATATATTACAGCAGTACAGCAAGTGTGGTCACAACCCCAGGGACAAAGTCTGTTCTCCTGAAAGAACCAAAGCTGGTGGCCCAGCAGACTCAGCTGGCGAGTCCTAAGCTGAGGGTAACTCTATTCTTATACTCGGCAAAGTTACAAAAATATGCATGTATAAATAATGTGTAGTGAAAGCTGGCATTGCAGAATTAGCGAAGATGCTTGCTAAGACTAAAAGAAAACATCATGGAGGCTTTGTGTGAAATGCTTAGAAGTCTTGGGTGTGAGTGCAGTTCAAGTCATCACTGTGTTATCACTGTGGAGGTTATTATAGAAGTGGCTACAGTTAAGCCCCCGCCCCAGCCACATAGATGTGTTCCTCCCCTGCATCCAGTCTCTTGTCCCCTTTATTAGCATGTCTTAGATGTTGAAATAAATACTTAAAAACAGATAAATAGATAAAAGCTGTGCAGCAGTAGGTGACGTGGATATGCATTTTGGGTTTTGTGAGCAGGAATCCAGACCAGCAGCCTGGTCCCCTTTTCCTCACAGAGGCCAAACAGGGGGCAAGAACTGTCTGGTAGAAGTTCAGAGACGGCTTGGGAAGGAGCACTTAGCGCCCAGTTACTGTCTCAGTAAATCCACAAGTCTGGAGCCACTACTGCAACATGCTTTGGTACAATCATTACTGAAATGAAACTGCCCCCAGGAGACACTGTATGCCATGTGTCTGCAGGAGGGAGGGATGCTTCAAAGGATGCAGTTGCTTCTTACAGGTGCCTGTTCAGCATTTTCTCAGCATTGGGCTGTGTGAATATGAAGGACTAAGGTAGGAAGAGCTCCAGGTGTTTTGGGTGTGTTGTAATTTGAAGTTTGTGTTTTCATTGGAGGCTTTGAGCTATACAGGTCAACACATGACAGTGCAAGTCCCTGCTTTGGTAGAGAAAGAAATCAAGAAAGACGATGGATCAGTAATTAAAAGGTTTGGCTTGGCAAGCTGATGAAGTGTTACTGCAAACGAATTAACACAGTCACAGGAGTGGATTGCAGTGAGTGCCTGCTAAGCTTTAGTTGCAGCAGTACTACAGCCATGACTAACCTGGCAGGGGTGATAGCCTACAGAACACTGAAATAAAACACCTTCCACACAACATTGGTACGGGAGTTAATACAAAGGCTGGTATTTATTATCTACAGTTTTATAAGTTTAACAAAGAAGCATAGTTCTAAATGAATGGAGAATGAATGGATGGATGATGGGGAATGAATGAAGGGATGATGAATATTGGAGAATTAATGGATGTATGGTGAATGACTGGATAATAGGGAATAAATAATGATGAATGAGTGATGGGATGATGAAAAAATGGACAATGGGGGATGAATGAATGGATGGTGAAGGGTTGATGGATAAAGAGGTGATATTGGATAATGGAGTGTGGTGGATATCCCATGTGTGGAGATGCGAATCTTGACTCCATGTTTCAGAAGGCTGGTTTATTATCTTATGATATATATTGTATTAAAATGAGACATTAAAACTGTACTAAAAGAATAGAGAGAATAGGATTCATCATGAGTCCTTGAATAGCAGGACTCCTGACTCTCCGAGAGTCTGAGCCAGTGGACTGTGATTGGCCATTAATTAGGAACAACCAACATACACCAATCACAGATGCACCTGTTGCATTCCACAGCAGCAGATAGTTAATTGTTGGCATTTCTTTCCTGACGCTTCTCAGGAGAAACAGCCTAGCAAAGGATTTTTCATAAAATATCAATGCTACAGTGGAGAATGATGGATGGATGAATGATGGTGATTAACAGATGGGTGATAGAGAATTAATGGCTGGATGAAAGACTGGATGAGGATGACCAGGAACAAACAGATGATGAATAAATGGAGGGATGACAGATAAATAGGTGATGGGTAGATGAATAAAGGATGGATGATGGACAGAGGGATGCATGGGACGAATGTATGAATGAATGGATGGATGAGGAATGACTGGTTGATGAAGAATGAATGAAGGGCTGCATGAATGGACAATGAATGATAGAGAATGAATGAATGGATGGGATGAATGAATGACTGGATGGTGGAGAGTGGAGAAAGGGATGAATGAGTGGGTGATGGAGAATGAATGAAGAGATGGAATGAGTGGATGATGGATGACAGAAGGCATGAAGGACTGCATAGGATGAATGAATGCATGATGAATGTTGGGATGCTGGTGATGAATGAAGGGCTGACTGAATGGATAATGGAGAAGTAATGGCTGGATGGTGAATGGCTGGATGCTAGGGAATGAGCAGATGATTAATAAATGGAGGGATGCAAGATCAATAGGTCAATGGCTGGAGAATGGATGAATGCCGAAGAATGATTAGCTAGGTGGATGATAATAAATGAGTGGCTGATGGAGAATGAATGAAGAGATGGATGAGGAATGACTGAATGAAAGAATGAGATGAATGAATGGATGACGGAAAAAAAACAAGAGCTTGCTGAATGAACAATGGCTGGGTGCTAGAGAACGGATCAATGACTGGATGACAGAGAGTAAATAGATGGGTGAGTGATGACTGTGTGATGATGGAGGAGTGGGTGACTGGGACACTTCCCTCCGCCGAGCGCCATTGGCACTCAGCGCTCCCTTTCGCAGTATTATTGTGCTCTTAGCGCCATTGTGCGCCTCTTAGCGGTATTCGCGGTTTTCGCGGGTTTAGCGGTATTCGCGGGTTTAGCGGTACTCGCGGTTTTTCGCGGGTTTAGCGGTTTTTAGCGGTATTCGCAGGTTTAGCGCTTTTAGCGGTATTCGCGGGTTTAGTGGTATTCGCGGGCTTAGCGGTATTTCCGGGCTTAGCAGTTTTAGCAGTATTCCCGGTTTTCCGCGGTATTCGGGTGGGTTTTTTGTGGTATTTGCGCTCACTTAGCTGTTTTCACGGACTTAGCGGTATTCGGGGGTTTCACGGTAAATGCGGTTTTAGTGCTCACTTAGCGGCATTCACATCCACTTTTTTCACGTTATTCACGCTCACTTAGCCTATTCCTGCTTTTTTCCGCAGTATTCGCACTTGGCGCTTTTCGCGGTGTTCGTGCTCACTTCTCGGTATTTGTGCTTACTCAGTGGTGCTTGCAGTATTCACAGTATTTGCGCTCACTTCGTGGTAGTCACACCCACTTAGCACAATTAGCAGTATTCTCTCCTTTCATCTATCGCCCACTCTCCATCCATTCAACCATCATCCAGTCTCCATACATCCATTCTCCATTCCTCATTCATTCATCATCCACTCTCCATCCACCCTTTCAATCATCATCCAAATTTCCATTCATCCAATCATTGTCCACTGTCCAATTATCATCCACCTCTCCATGCATCCATCCAATCATCATCCAGCTCTCCATACAGCCGTTCCTCATACAATCATCATCAACTTTTCATCTATCCATCCTCCAATCATCCAGTCTCCATCCATGCATCCAATCAACAGCCACTCTCCCCTCATCCAACTGTCCACCCACCCATCTATCCATGCACTGTGATGCCTTTCTGTCTGGTTCTAGAAATAAGAGGCAGACACAGGGTGGTAAACAGGGGTGTTGTTATCTAAGTGTCCTTAGGTGCACTTTCCCTCAGGTAGAAAATGCTGAGGATGCACACCTGGAACAACACCTGTACAGTCTTTATTGATTTGCTTATTTTAATTAGCATTCATCCATCTGTACATTCATTGTTCATCCATTCCCCATCCACTCACTCTCCAACCATCATTCTTCAGTCTCCTTTCACTCATCACCCTTTTTCCAGTTGTCATCCATGCTCCATACATTCATCCTTCATTCTCCATGCATCCATCATCCATTCTCCAAGCACTTAGATGCCTTTCTCTCTGATTCTAGAAATAAGAGGCAGACACAGGGTGGTAAAAAGGGTACCTTTATATAGGGATCCTCAGCTGGAAAACACTGAGGATGCACACTCTGCATGATGCATGTAAAATTTTTATTGATTTTGCAAATTACCATACCTGACGAGAGTCCCCCACTAAAATCCACCCAGTGAAGTCATGCCCCCAACTCTAGTGTCTTCTAAATCCCTCCTTGGATAAGGACTCAGCTCTGTTGATAAAAATACTTCTCAAAGATCTGATTTCAACCTTGGTGTCTATGGAATACCATGATAGCAGAGGGGTCCTGGAATTTGTTTTGTCATTCTGCCTAAGAAAATACCGAAGCTGGGTTATAATAACAGGCTACAAACATATGTGTAAAGAGTACAGAGAACACATAAAATAAAAAGGGTAAAAATTCATAGGCGTTAGCTATTGCATCACACTTACACCTTGCTGTGCCTTCTCTCCAGCATGTGTAACTCTGCCTTGGAAAAGCCTGAAAACCACAATTCTCTCAGACCTCCAGAACCGTGGCCTTTCTAAGCTGGGTCTCTCTTTTTTTTTTTTTTTTTTTGTTCCAGGACAATACTAAGTAAAGCCAGCACACAGAAGAGGACTGTGATGAAGGACCGCTATGGAAAACATGTTCACATAGAAGAGCTGGAAGACACCCCAGAAGCGCTCCCCAGGGATGACCTCCAGCATGACCTCCAGCAGCTTCTTAGGCACTTCTGCCAAGAGGACTGGACACAGGAGGCCAAGTGAGAAGCTGCCGCCCCTGCACAGCGCCACGTGACCCCTCCCATACGCAGCCGTCACCGTCCCTGGGTAGCAGAGTCGTCACTGCCGCTCCTACCTGTGCAGCTGCAGTGAATTCATTTCTCCCCATCCCGAGTTGCATTTTGTGCTGTTATGATTTTTCACCCTGTAAGCTAATTTGTGACCAAAGATAGCATCCTTCAGGCAGGATGATTTATCCGCCATGCTGGCACCCTGTCAGCGTCGCCACTTGTCCCTGTCCCTTTGCTCTGGCGCTCGCTTACTGACACGGCCCTTGCCAAGCAGACTTCATCGACAGGCCTCTTCCACTGACTGTGTACATGCACCGTACAAAGGAGTTGACGTGTAAACTGTAAATAGCAGAGTATTTGAACTCGCTAGACCACAGAATACTCACTGCCCGTTGGCATCGTGGGTTACGAGATGCAGTGACCCTGCGGAATGGTGACAGACGACGGAACGGCACCACCCGGACCACAGATGCTGACTGACCCCGGAGGAAGCGCTGCAGAGCTACCGAGTACTAAGAGTTACTGTTTAGAGATCTGGTCTAGGCAAAGGCTGCGCCAGTCAGGCAAAAGGCAGCTGTTCACATGAATCACAGCTGACTGTGGCCATGAATTGTGCAGACACCTTCACACAGCCACTGCAATGTTTCCAAAAGAAAAAGAAAGAATAACTTCCCCACTAGGTACCCAAGTTGCTAGCAGCTCTACCTGCGGCATGTTCGCATATGGTATTCAAGCCTATAGATCCGGACCTGTGGTGGGGTGTATTAAACAATCCTAACTCCGGTAGTTTCCCGTTTCCATCACTGCTTAGCCGACCTCACCGACTGACTGGGAGTGCTTCCTGCTGGCCACTGCACTGTAGATAACTACGGAACAAAGACTTACCCACTATACAAGGAAAATAATTAATTCACCGTGTTTTATCGAGATTGCCTCTTAGCCGATACACGCATGTGGCATTTGAAGGTCAAAACCAAACCCTCCTAGAACCATGTCAGCTTCTTGGCCCTCTTAGCACTGAGCGAGCAGTTTTTATCTTCTGATCAAATGTTTTTTAAAGAACAAGTGCTCACAATCCTTGGCAGCCGGTTTCTGTTCATATTTTGTTATGTAACTATATTATATATATATATATTTCTAAACCGACCCTCTGAAAACCACATTAGCATGTCTGCACTTTTACTTTCCACAAGGGGAACGTAGGGATCTGATGTTTTGGGTGTTCTATACCTTAATATTTAATGGAGGAAGCTCTGTAGGGTTTTAGCATAACACGCATACACACAAACACACCAACTTAATGCTTTTAAACAGCTATCTCATTTTTTTATAGTAGACTCAGCACCACAGTAAAACCAACCCTCTCTTCTAGGAGCAATCCTTTGTCCAAGCTTATCTGGCCTTCTACAATTATAGGGTTCTTTGGTTTTGGTTTTTTTTTAATGACTCACTCAGTGCTCAGAACAAGGGCACTTCCTCATTAAGGTAATAATGCCAAAAGCATGGAAACACCTCTGGAGTTCTGGCTTCCTGTGGGCAGAACCATGAGGTGCCGTGCTGACACTTTTTGGGCAGGCAAGAAAAGAAACTTAAAGAAAAAAGTGTTTTGGCAGCCAAATCGAATGAGACCCCTGATGAAACATCTCACAGCGCATCGTGGCTTCCTGACTGTCCGAGACAGCACAGGAGGGTCTTCAAGGATGGGGCTCTCAAGAAATGCATTTCTGTTGTGTTATTTGCGGTGCAGATGATGTTCTGTGTAACAGCATAATGGTTATTCACCTCTTATTTTGATTTTTTGCTGTGTTATCAGAGAACTTGAATACTGTGAGAAGAAGTGAATTTTAAGTTGACGAATCAGCATCTTGTTCCCATGGTGATAACACTAATTGAATATATCTATGAGGGCATGTATTAGTTAAAAATTAAAAAGATACAACACTAACAATACATAGCTGCAATGTGTACAATGGCTGATTTAACTAAATAAAAATGTACAAGTGTTAAATGTAGCAATGGTGGCTCACTCGCTTTTACTGCTGGCCCGGCGGGATGAGGGATGGTGCCCACACAGGGACCTCAGTGGTGCCATCAGTCACAGTTCCTCTGTGCCCAGCTTGCTCGCTTGTCACAGACACAGCGACACCTCAAGGACACGACCTAAGCCAAAAGCTGCTCTTTCCTCTCTTCCTCCTTTTGCAATGACAGACAACTCTGTGTAAACAAGTCCAAGAATCAAAGAAATCCAACTCAAACCCACAGACAGCAAGCCAACAACCCCACCTTAAAAGAAACTGCACGACCCTCCAGCACACCACTCTCCTGCTGGCCTGAGGACAAGTGGGGAAAACCAGATGAGGATAACAAATGGGGAATTACAGAGACGCATGCGCCCAGGTGAGCATCACTGCCTGTGCTGGAGAGCATGGCAGTGCTGGGGAAATGGGAGACACAACAGAGGTAGGCTAGCAAATGTTTTTCTGTGTTTTCAAATCCCAACCTGATCAGTTTCACCCAACAATATCAGTACTCCCAAAGAAAAACACTATTTTGCTGAAAGACACTAGCCACTTCTCCTTAATGCCTTGAGTAAATACCTTTCCTGGAGTCACTTTTTTTTTTTTTTAACAAACAAGTCTTTAAATCCAGGGACTGACTTTGTTCTTGATATGCCCTCACAAGTACCGACAATAATTCAAGTACTAAGTTACTCTTGCTTTCCACCTTGAGAAGCAAAAGGCTTTCTTTTTTTATTTCTGTCTACAAATTATACGAACCAGAATCAACTAAGAGTTTCTCTAGTCTGAACGTAACACAGCTCAACAATGGGTTTTACTAGCAGAGCCTGTTACATCCTGCCTCTCTTCCCAGCAAGCCCTGGAAGATGCCAGTGGGGCCCTATGACCAGCACAGAGCTGTTTACTAAATTCCAACACCCCTGAAGACCTTAGTGGTAGGTACCACCAAAGGGTGGTAGCTGTCTCCTTCCATAGCTGTCTTCATATTTTTACTTAACATTCCATAAAACTGCACTACAAGTGCTGGAGCATCCTGTGGGGGCTTCCTAGAACACATGGATTCACGATGCAGAATTCAGTGAGCTGGTAAACACAGAATGAATTCTCTGCTGACAGATCATGCCATGGATAATCAATGGATTTTGTAACTATAAGCCATATACTCCGCAGACTACAGCCTGTAAGTTCAGGCCTTTGATAGTGGGCAACTTGCAAATCCAGGACATTTCCCTAAGGAAATAAACCCAAATGGCTTCACCCATAGCTTAAAACATTCACCATTATCCTACGTCTGACTCTGCAATTGCTGCAAGTGCTTGGCACGAGAAGCAGCATTTGAGAACCGCCTGAAGCTACAACAGTTGTTAGGTCTCAAAATATCTGGTAAAGAGGTCACTGGCTGCAAGTCTTGTCAGTGCAGTGACAATGCCAGAAAGGGCAGCTGTATCCTCAGCCTTTGCCATGTTTTCCAGTCCCCTACACAGAGCTGGCTTCTCTTGCCAGGCCTAACCCTGTCCTCAGCTGTGGCGGCAGCCATAGGCACAGTCCTGCTCCGCTTCCCCTGCTGGCTCTGGTTCCCACCTCTGCCATCAGGAGAGGATTATACATCTAGGAGCCTCCCGAGCATGGGGGGAGTTACTTGGGCCTCTGCAGGTAAAGGGAGTAAGGTGAGCTATGAGGAAACACATTCTGATGTACTGGAAGGGTGTGAGGAGTAACCCTCATTGGATGTGCACACTGCAGGGCTATGGGGACGCAGCACTGAACCCACAGCTCATTGCTTCAGCTGCTACAGTCACAGCCCAGACAAGGAGATGCAGCCACACAACCACCCCCAGACAGGAAACTCGCTCACGCCGCACCACAGGCCTGAACCCACTTATCCCATTGAACCAATGGGATATTTCCGGAGAGCTGAACGTCTAGTGAGAGCACCCATTTACTTCCAAAAACAACTGACTCCCTTTTCTCTCCAGCTTTCTGGATCTGCTCCACCAAATCAACATCCTTTTTGGTGAAATTAAGTTGTGGTGGTTTTTTTGTTTTGTTTTGGTTTTTTTTGTTTTTTTTTTTTAATAAATCCCGAGAGCCCTTTGTCTATTGACTAAATCAATACCTGAGTGATCATCATGTGAGGTCCACTGTTGCTGAGCTAATGCCTAAAGCTGAGCTCACCTGTCACCTTTCTCCCTTATAATTAAATTAAAAATAAATTTAAAAGAGCAAATAAACACAAATAAATATCTCAACCAAGTTAATTAACTTCAATTGTTCCAGCATCTGGCTGACCATGAGGATTATCTTCTCCCCTTTGTCATATCATTTCAGATGTGTTTTGTTATGTCCACAGGACTCCAAGGGAGCTGTCAGAATAACAGGATTAAAGTAAAAACAAAGAAGTGCTTGTGAAGTCCTGCAGAAGTGCTACAAACCTGTCTGAAACTCCCATGGTGCCCACAACACTCTCTCACTTCACGAACCTCAGAAGGAAATATCAGAATTACATCATGAGTAAAATGGTGGGGTCTCCTAACACATCCCTTTCCCAGAGCTTGTGGAGATCCCTCCCCTTGAGTGGGATCTCCCCTCAAGGTTATTCCTCAAGGCTAACAAATAGGATAGGCCCACAGTTGTTGGAATGGATGAGCAATACCCATCTCTATGTACTAGCTTGAAAATCATAGCTTCACTATCCCTTTGGAAATAGTGCACTATACTAGCACTAGTTCTAGCTACCCTCACTGCGCACGGAATCATTGTGATTAAGGTATTTTAGTCTATTTTTTATCATAATAAATAATTTTCTCTTTTATATATATAAATGTGGCTCACCATCCTTAATCTTGCAGGGTAAAGCTTCAATTACACCTGCTCAAGCCCTTGGACACAAAGCCTGGATGTGCTTGCACCCAGACCCTTCTTGTAGAAGAGTTTCAGAAAGCCTGGGTGCCCTTTGCAGCTCTGGACCCTTCTCCACTAACCTTGGCCTGCAGCTCACACTCCATGCACCCCTAAAGAAGATGTGAATGACAACCTAAGTTCTGGAGAGGACATAAGGAAAGCTACTTTGGAGACAGCCTGTTCTTTTTCCAGGTACCCAGAAACAACTGCTGTATCTGCAGAAGCCCTGTGGCTTCAGTTGGTGAGCTGCTGGTAGAATATTTCCAGCTGTTCATCCCAGGTAATGACGCAGGCTGCACCCAGTCCTCCCTCCTCCATGTGATGCTGCCTTAGCTCCAAGTTGCACAATATCAGGCTGAAGGGCAAGAGATCTAAAGAAATATCAATCCCACACACCTAAAGGACCATTCCTTGAAATTATGCAAAGAACTGAGTCAGTCCCTGCCCTTTTATCATGCACCAACAGTCTAATCTGTACAACGAAAAGCCACTGGTACTAACCAAAGGACTGAGCTGAAAACAATGAGTATTAATCTAAGTCAGAACTATCAGTAAGGGCAGAATCCCCAAACCCTCTTCACCCAGTCACACCAAACATGCAGAGACTAACACAAGGAGCATCTGAAAGTACCTGTTTCTATTACTATCTCCAGTGCTACAAGAAAAACACTAAAATACAGCTTAAAAGAGCTGGCTGAACATTTGTGAGGTCAGACAGAAATAACCTCTCAGCTTTCGCTGAGCAGAACTCAGAGACTTGCACAAGACTTCGACTGAACACCACTAGAGTGCAGCAAACCATCAGTATTTCATAGAAAAAAAAAACAATAATGCACCTACAAGATTTTCTTTTTTGCAAATACTCCTCTATTGGCAAAAAACTACCCATCCCTTATTCCAAATTTTAGAATTTAAAGAACATATGTATTTATTTTTACTCAGAGTGCTCCCATGTTCCCACCCTTCACCTGATTCTAAGGACTGCAGCCCCAGAACATGAGGACTCCATGCTCTGATCTGTCTAGAACCACTGGCTGCAAACCCTCTGGGGTTTGGGTTTTTGTGTGATTGTTTTGGGTTGCTTTTTGGGGTTTTTTTCCCCTAGTATTTTCTTCCTAGTCTGTAAAGCTCCCAAAAAGTTTTCCCCTTCTAAAATCCATTTATAGTCACACAAATATTTTCTCTGGTCAACAAAGAACATTTAAACGAAGCAAAAAAGGGGAAAAGGTGAACAGTTTCTGCCCTCCTATTTTCACTTTAGCTGACCAAACCCAGAGAAGGTTGCAAAGGAAAGGCAGAGGCTGTGTCACCTGGGGGCTCAGGCCAACCTGACCCTTCAGAAAGGGTTAAGAAAGGGCTCAGAAACTGCTGCACTTAAACTGTTTCACCAACCGCCCCGGGAAACAGGACTTAGAGATGCTGTATTGAAAATCCTTATTGATTGTAAAGTTAAAATACATTCCAAAGACTTTTTCTGGGGCTTTCTCCAACAGCAACAGCACTTATATAGAGTTACATGCTGAGAAATAAACAGAGAGAGCACTGGTGGTTCAAGTTTGGGAGACCAGGTTCCGATTGCCCAGATTTGATACCTCTCCCTTCGCAATACAAATCAACAGGCTAATTGGCAGTGGAGATTAAAAACACTGTTATTCATTGCATTTCCCACAAAGCTATCTTTCATGGAAACAGATAAATTCATTAAAAACCCCAGCAAAATCAAGCATTACATAACCACATCCTTTGCTGGTACAAATTCAACTGATGCTCAGATACCCCTTTTCCTCACACACCTCCGCAGCACACGATAATCACATCTCCAGTACAAGGACATCACAACTACTCTGATAGCATTTTTCGTTTCTTTGATTGAGATTTGAGATTGTTAGAACAGTTCAGAACAGTTAACTAATCAATTCAAGTAAAAAAACAGTACCATATTTTTTTCATTTGGTATTTCAAGACTCTTATCAAACAAAGCATTTGAAATTAAATCAGAAAAGGAAGGGATATAATCCCCAACATCACTTTTCCCTCCCCCATTCCCCCCCAACATGTGAAAACTTCACAATTAGAGCTTAACATTCACTTTT